AGGCGCGTCATCGTCGTCGGCGACGAAGCGCGACGCGAAGAGTCGCAGTCGTGTAAAGATCGGCCCCTTTCGTTTCGTTTCTTTTTTTTCGTTCGCAATCCTCCCTTTTTCGTTATCATCGTCGATATCACGCGATGAGACGGAGGAGCGACGCAAGGAACGCAGCGGAGAGCATCCGTGCTCTCGGAAGGCTGCGATATCTTAGCGTGATTTATAAATAACTGAGCGTCCCTTCGCACGAGCGCTTCTCCTCTTCTCACTCTCGCCCCCTCCCCTTTCTCCCTTCCTCCGCTTTGCACACCGACGCACTCCGGCTTTTTTGCGTTCCGAGAGACCCCGTAATTCAGGTTCCCTCGCGCATAGTATAGGCGCACAACGCGAAGGGTAATTAACCGTCGTGTCGGTGTCGAGAAAACCGCGCCTCCGGGGCGAGCTTCGCTCGGCAGAGAAGAAAAAGAGAACGGAAAAACGAACGCACGAAAATTTTCGGTGTTGATTCCCCCCGCCGGCTCGGTTTTTACCGGACCGAAACGTTGCCCTCTCCTTCCTCCCGACCACGTGTAACCATAACGCATCACCGATGCATGCGATACGAAGGTATCTCTTTCGGTATTCCGCGAAAAAATCGGGGAGAGACCCGCCACCCTTCGGTTGGCAAGCCAGACTGGTAGTTATGGGCCGCGCGAATTCATTAGGGCGACGATTATTTATTACCACGGTGTGGAAAAAAGGTGCAAGAGCAAGAGAAAGGGTAAAAACGCGTCGCTCTAATCTTGACGAGCCCGACGAGTTCTCGGAAGCGATCAGAAAGCGGGAATCGTTGATTGGCGATATTTATCATTAATTAACACATGCCTGTTTTGCATCGCGTTTGAAAAGATACACGCTGGACCGACAGATCGATTCGATCGCTGAGATTCGTTAGCGCGAAAAATCAAATGGATAAAGGATGGCTCGAATCTTCGACGATCGAGCGAACTCGGTCGTCGACGATTGAAATCTTGAGAGAGACGCGGTGACTCCGCCGCTAATCTCTCGGCGAGATACACTAATTTGCCGTCTTAATGACTCGACGCGATATGCAAATCGCGAGGCGAAGAGTATAATACTTAAGGAACACGGGCCGCTGATCGGCCATGTATTTTCGAGGAGACCACACTGCGCATATAGCCGGTGGTGAAAGTATAATTCATGCCTGTCGGTTAAGGTGTCGCGTGCGTCTCCGTGATCGGTTTACCGCTGCATTTAACACGATATCGATCAACCTTGGGAGACCGATTGATTTCGGGAAGGTCGTACCTTCTTCAGGAGGAAAACGTGTCTTCAACGTCGCCATCGAAGATCGACGTAATCCGCGGATTTTGTCTGGAACGATATCGATCAACGAATCCGAGAAACTGATTGATCTCATAAAGATAGTATTTTCTTCTTCGCATGGGGAATGTGCCTTCAACGTGTTTTCGCCATCGAAAGTCAACGTGATCCGCGGATTTCGCTTCTAACGCTTGGCGTAGACGCACCTTGCACTTTTATTCGCCGGGATTTACACCGCCGTCCTGCGATTTTCTGCGCCGCCGATAACGGCTGTCACCGCGGTAAATAGTGAGAGGCGACCGTTTTCCCGCTCGGGTACCGTTGGAAAATTTAGATAAGAGAGTCTCGTACCTGTAACGGGTATTGGCATCGAGAAAAAAAATCCCACCCCTCACCCACTCGCAAGGCGACGAGCTGGTCGTCGTCGATATTCTAGCGGTCGCGGAATCAACCGTAAAAGTGTCACTGATCGATTCCAGCGCTGGATGACACTGCTCGCCTCCGGTCGCTCATTTATTCCGCGCACAGCGAGGCTCGTCCTGCTTGAAAGATTCATTCGGCATTCCCAGCATTTTTGCCCGCTGGCCTGATGGAATCGGATATTGATACGTTGCTAGCTGTTGCTACTCGTCTATCCTTAATTCCAATCTGAATATTTTAAGCGACGCCGCGCTTGTGTCGGCGTGAATCGCGTATATTGCGAAGTCCGTGTCCGGAGTGAACGTACCGTACAGAAGACTTCGTATTAATGTAGTCCCGTTCCCTAGGTAGGTAAAGACATCGAAAATTTCCAATCAGGCGCATCATTTCTGAATATTTGCGCACCTTGCTTGCTCCTCCGGAGCATCGCTGCCAATTCATTGAATAATTAATATTTATGGAAATAATAACATACATGAATATTTCGACGTAATCGCGCCTGATTGGAAATTCTCGATATTACTATATCTAAGGAACAAGACTGCATCAACCCTGAAAGTAACACCCGCGATCTAGACGATCTCTCTCTGTTCCTATTGCCCGTTGCCTGGTATTGTGCAGAGACTTTAACGCATGGTAAAGTGCGGTGAAGTAACTGTCGTGTATCCGATAAAGCTCGTCGGCGCGCTGTCGCGAGCTCCGCCGTCGCTCGAGACGTATCATCTCGTGTCGTAAGGAATTATCGACGTCCTCTCTCGTCACTTCTCGACGTTTACGGCCGCTTCGCCCTCGCAGGTGTTTCTTCCGAGCTAACGATCATAGCTGGGACCGATAACCGCGGAACGAGCGCCAACTCGCGCTTTAATCTTCTTCTTGCTCTTCTTCTTCTTCTTCGTCTTCCTCGTCACGGATCTCCTCCTCGGGATCATCCTCGCGCGGCTCCCTGAGTCCTTTGTCCGACTTGCGATACGTTGTTGTTGTACATACGGCAGTTCCTTCGATCCATCGGCAACCAAGGACGACTGAATCACTGCCTCGTGCCGGCTATCATTAACGGTCTATAAAATTCTGCCGGTCGCACTCGCGTCTTACCAGCGCGTCACCTCGAGCGGACAGATACGACGCGACGCGAGTCCTTCCCTCTCGCTCCTAACGGTCCGAATTATTATTTTCTCGCGGGAGTAACCGACATTTATGGCCCTTGGCAATCTTTATCTCTATCCTATGTGGCAATACGTTAGGATGAGCCGCGGTGGACGGAGACCTCCGCTCGATCGTTAAGGGAATAAGCAAGCGGCCCGTTACGCGGGCTGATCTATGAAAGAACCGATTGCACATTTTGTTTATAATGTATACAATCCCGGCGAATTTATCGCGACGCGCAACCTGCAATCTTTTGTTTTACGATCACGAGTTCGACCCTCCTTTTTTCGCAAAGAGGCATTCTGAAATCCTCGCCCGAGGCGAAGTACTGCGGCGCATTGTTTTCGTTAAGGAATTCCCTTGCGTTTTTACGATTCACTTAAGGCCTCCTTCCGCATCCAGCTGTACTAAGTTAACGTTTGAAGAATCAACGGATCAAATCGGGATCAATCGAACGATTTGTATACGTATCCTGGATTTCGGCCTCCTTCTTCTTGTTTATCCTCTCTTCAGGTCCTTCAAACGGCGCGTCCGTGAGAAATAGCCAGATACCGCGGCTTTTTCGTCGCGAAAAATAACGTTACGGACATATAAACATAATTGTTGCGATACATCTGATTAATATAACGGGCTACGAGCACTTGAGCTGTCAACGGGAAGATCGGAACACGATCTTCAGCAAGTTCTCGAATACGGACACGCGCTTCTCTCAGCGCGTCGCAAAGCCGACTTTGCCGCACGACATGGAAGATGTAGGCCAACGTTGACGAATACGATGACCGTGAAAGCTGAATGAACATTAGGCAAATATAAAATAAATTATAAAAATTTCAGGAATTTTTTATAGTTTTAAAGATTCGGAAAAACTCTTTTTTCAATTTTCTCGCGGATTTTTTCGGTCTCTTTTCGGAGAAAAATGGAGAAAAGCGATTTTTTAAACCATATATTTATCTTAAAAAAATAATGAAGAAAATGTAAGCCAACCTTGATAAATACAATGAACATGAATGTTGAACTGATATCAGAAAATTATAAAAAAAAATTGCAAGAATTTCAGAATTCTTTTTTTAATTAAGAAAATCCAGGTCAAGATTGGCAAATATAATGATTACCAAATGTTGACCCAATATTAGACCCAATATCATATAATGAAAAAAATTAAAATCACTTCTCGGAAATTGTTTGTAACAATTTACGGCGGATATCGCATCGGCCAACGCCGGCGTATATTCGCCGTGTCGCGTGGGACCGCCTTAACTGTGAATACGTTGTGATGTAATAACATTGTAATGTGAGGAGCGGGTGGTCCGCGGTGGCCTTCTTAACCACAAGCGTGTAATCGAGCTTATACGCGAGAATGCGTGTTCCTTCGACTACTGTTACCGTCCAAATTTATTCGGTGACGTTGCAGCTATTTTGGCCAGGCCTCGTCCACCGAGGACGCTTCTTAAGAGTGACGGACAAAGTGTAACGGCACATTTGCAAAAGGACGCTCCTTCTTCGCGGAAGAAGACATTAGCATGTATTGTTGATCGTTTCGCGCTGCTGAAACGCGTTTGTGTTTACGTTTGCTTTTGTGGTCGAACGAACGCGAGCGGCCGGGCAAGCAAATGAACGAACGAACGAGCATGCGTCAACTTCTTCAATGAGCAAACGAATCGCGGAAATTTGAGATTTCGGAACTTCTCGACCCCAGAAAATACGTATTTGCAGCGAATCTTTTTCATTTCATATTCCGGCCGCGCGAACTCCCCGCGATGTGATACTGCTCGGTGGAGCGGCCTCACGGTGTCCTTAACGGTACACATCGGTGTGATATCTGCGCCGGCTTGTCGATAAACAAATACAGGGCGGTGTGCAAATTAACCGCGAATACGGGACCTGCTTTTCGGGTTTTCTCGCCAGGAAACGTGATGTTCTTCGAAATTCCTTCGAAGGCGGTGGAGGCACCGTTCTCCGTTGAGAACTGTGTCGCCTGCGGCCACACAGAAAATCCAGAGGTTATTAATTATGAATTATTAATTATCTTATTATATTAATTTTTTACTCACTTACAATATTGTTCGTCGAAATAGAAAATTAATACTTAAGAAGTTTACACCTAATACTTTCCACGTTCGCAGGACGAGGTGTAGTTTCCACGAGCCCGGATGACTCGGGAGATCTTGCAGTTTTAAGGAAGCAGCAAGCAGAACGCTTCAAATGGCGACGATCCAGGGAAAGATAAGGTAAATTATCAATTTATCAACTTCTGTTTGCATTTTTCCCGATTCGTGCGCTCGATGGCACTTGTATCTCTCCTAACTACGAGTTGTAAATTATCATCTTGTTGCGTAAATAATTTTTTTTTTCTTCAACGGGGAAGGGAGGAAAAGGAAGATAACCGTACATTGCACGCGATCGAACGTGCCTTCGGCGAAATACACCGCACTTTTAGAATTTCTCCGCGTATATTTCCCTAGCGATGTGTCATTTATACGCGCGCGTTTACGCGCCGCGAGCGATGCCCGTCCGTGGACGACGCCGTACCGGCCCATGGCGGTAATAAGGAAACTCATATGGTCCTCGAATCTGGTTTCGGCCATGTAGGCGACTTTACGATCGAGGCACAGTTAACCGTTGAGAGAGTTCGACCACTTCTGACCACATCGGCTCGTGCAGACCGATTCGCACAGAATCCCGCTGGTCTCTCTGGAAAAGATTTCTTCCTACACGCGGATTAGTCGATGCGACGCGGCGCCTACTCCCCTTGCAAATAACAGAATCTTATACTTTATACCCTAACGGAACCTTAATTTACGGCCTGAAGGTCGGGCTAAATATTCGACATCGGATATTATCGAGCGTTTCGTTTTTCGAGGAAGCGTCTCGCGCGGCGGGAAATTCCGCGCGGCTAATAAAATCTACGATGAAACGCCGCCGTCGTAATTTGCGGGCGACGCAACGACGGGGGAGGGGGATTATTTGCGTGCGTGCAGGAGTACACTCCTTTACGTATCGTGAAACGTTCGCGTAACGTCCGCGAGAGCGACGAAAGAGCGTAGGCCGGAGTCCTTGGCCCAGAGGAGTCACTCACCGTGAAGGAATTCCCCGCGGCCTCTTCCTAACAACCTTCGCGTCGAGATCTCCGATCTTGAACTTGATCCTATGCCGCTCGGTGCCTGCCGCTTCCGACTTCCAAAATCGATGGACATGATCGTTTAAAACAGATACAGCGGCTTATGTGGGATCGGCCGCGGAATTTAGTCGCGGTTATCAGCGGGGTCGTTATCCGATAGAGAACTCGTGAACTTCTGGGGAGATGAGTACGTGACACGTGATACGTTACCGCCGCTTGAAATCCAATTATTATTATTATTATTATTATCCATTTATCAACAGGAAGTATTTCTTTTAGTATATAGAAAATATAATAATAATAATAATAATAATATTCTGCCTCTTGAAACAATTCTTTTACTAGCACTTGGCTAATAGACCATGCACTAAAGTACACAAAAAACAAACAATTAACGGAGAGTTAAAATCGTCATTGATATGCCGAGGAGAGACCAATTAGTATCGCTAGACACATTATTTTCTCTAGCATTCTTATTTTCTACAGCTATTTCTCTATAAATACTAATACTCCAGCCGATAACACAGCGACAGAGCGTAACGCCTCGATCCTTTTCTTATGCAAATTTAATAACCGTCCAGCAGTTGTATACAATGGATTTATGCGCACGTGTCATTTATGCCGCCGAGAGGAGTTTGACAATAACCATCTAACTTACTAAATCAATGTCGCGAGGGGAATTACAGAACAGCCCCTCTCCCCTTGCCCATACGCTCATAGTGTGTAGCGAAACGTTCTTGAAAATGGAAGGCGGAACGTATATCTCGAATTGAGACTTCCCGAGAGCCAGGAAGCTCGCCGGTATGAGAGGAAGAAATGACCACCGTGAGCCATGAAGGTACGGGATGATGGATAAGCGGCCGGTGAGGCCGAGAGGGTGAAGAACTCCCCGGGTGAATTCAGAACGGGTCTCTCTCGTATCGCCAGGAGAAGCGGGAAGTCGGAGGAGGCGCGGAGATCCGGGTTGATGGTCTCGGTATCCTGATAAAACTCTCCTCTCTCTCTCTCTCTCTCTCTTTCCCTGTCTATCTCTCTCTCTTTTTCTCTCTCTTGTCCTTTTTTTTTCATAAGCGGCGCGAGCGGCCGCTCTTAAGGAGCCGGTGTTCCGTTACGAATATTTACTGCCGAAATTCCGGCGCAATGACGCGCGACCGGTGGATGCAGTTTTCTTGTTCCTCTTCTTCTTCCTCCTCCTCCTCCTCGTGACCTTGCGTGTATAACGAGAGGATATCGTGTTGCTGATTCGTTAGCCGAACTAACGAATAATTAGCTGTGAAACGACGTCGCATCGCGGCCAAACCCGATAATCTGCCCGGGAAACGTGTCGCCGCGCGAGGTGAATGCAATCGTTGTCGTCGGACGTACCAGAGAAGCGCTCGTGCAAAAGGAGGCGCAGGAGGTGTCGTAATATCGAGCGAGATGCTATCGGAGCGCTCGTGAATAATGCATATCCGAAGGCAACGCGATGCGATAATCGATGCGGTTTAAGCGCCTTTAAACGATTACGCCGATGACTTATGGTATCGATACGCGCGTTACTTAGGATCGCACGCACGGAACGTACACCTCGGGATCGTTCCATTACTATTTATGAATCACCTGGATGCGAGTGTATGCGTGTAGATATAAATTACGGAATATGTATAGATGTACGGATTTATCGAGGAAGAAGAGAGAAGGAGAATGAAGAACAAACGAGAGGAGAGAAGCGGTGAAGCGAAGAGTATTCTCTCGAGTATCGCACGATTTAAATTAAACTTTCGAGCATCTCGCAGGATTCAAATTGGAAGCAAGTGCAAAGTGTAACCGCCGCCCGTCGCCGACGTTAATCATATTACGCTGCGTCGCTAATTGACTCGAAGTACAATTAAGTGAGAAATCGCACAAGACGCCAGCCCGCTCGTTCTTGTAGATATTTCAGAGCGGAAGCGAGCCGGACTAACGTCGAGAGAAAAGAAGCGATAATGAGCACTGTTTTAGCGAAAAAGCTCTGATTCATCGTCAGAATATTTTTAGCCTCTTTCCGTGATTCTCTTTTTTCTCCATATCTTCTCTATATCTTTTACGCTCCGTGCAGCGACGATTTTACGTAATTTCTCGGCTGGAAGGGCACGGCGCAGTCAATTACATAAAATAAAACGTTACTTCCGCCGTTAACAATCGGCGGATACGGCAGCTGTTAGCAATGGTCGAACTATGGGTCTGCCCCTCGTCCCTTTGCGTTTGTCACGTTCCGGCACCAATCGTTCGTCGGAAATAACGGAGAAGAAAGTAATAATTAACGAAGAATAATTAATAATTTCGTCTGGCTTCGCGCTTCCTTCAAACCGCTGGAATTTTTAGACAATTTAAAAAGATTAAATCCACCGATTTACTGTTATAATTTGACGAGTGTATTTTCTTTTCTTCTGACTCTATGAAAATAATAATAATAATAGTCTTTATTTACGGGAAAAACCTTTTAAAATATATTAAAAAAAAACTAATGGCAGATTGATTACAAAGCATGAAATTGGATATCTTGCAAAACTGTTCTGGTTACCTTTGCGATACCAAACTTTCTCATTGTTAATTAATTTCTTTTAAAACTATATTGTAAAATAATAATGTAAATGGTCCTGTGAGTGGCTCAGTTATATATACTCATGTGGGTTTTAACATGAAAAAACAATAATAATTAACGGAGACTTGGAATGATTGGAATGTGCTCAATCGGGCAGTTGGCAACCTACGTTATTCGCTCGCTTACGCCACCAACAGGAAGCTATCGCCACCTCTTCTCCTTTTCGCTAAGATTCCTGTTTCCTCGTTTACCTACTAGAAGTAAGAGGTNCCCCCCCCCCCCCGTGAAGAAAGCATGTTATGCAATGAATTATTCTCCAATGGCAGCGATATCGTCTACGTTAACGAAAAGCTACGTCATCAGGCATACGAGTATTATTCGACTTGCCTGTAACGTCACGCTTGTAAAGTACGGTGAATCGGTTCGTTATTCGCTCGACTCGCAGAATGCCACTTATTCACGCGCAATGAACTGTAACTTTTAAATTTGAATTCTGACGTCGAAATTAACAAATCGACCGTAGTGCTGTACTCGGTGGAAACCTGCCGTCAAATCGACGCGGTAAATTACAATGCATCGTTAAGCATATATTTTTAACATCGACGAGCGTCAGATGTTATTATCCGGGTGCGCGTGTATATATATGCTTTTATCTTCTTATGTAAGTCCGATAAGTTCACGTGACGTAACGTCAAAACGTAACGTTAATTGTTCTAACCGTTACCGTTCACATATCATCGTGATCCAATATCGGTTGCTCCGAGTTAATTTTTCATATAGATCTTTAATATCAGTGACAAACAATTTGCGTTGGATATATTAAACGCTGCTATAGTAAAAATCTAACGACGGTAAAAAATGGCAAACCGATGATAAGCGCGACGAAATTGACGGATTACCAGCAAAATCAGATTCGAGATAAACGTTATCTGACGCAAGTTTAAAGAAAAGATTGGGTTTTCCCATCAGATATCCAACGAGAGAAAAAAGATCATGTGTGAAATTTGCCCATACATGACTATATATAATCATACATGTTCACAACGAAAAAATACTGCTGTTTACAAATTAAACGCAATCGAAGCAAATGCTTCCGGCTACTTGTGCTTCTGACAGCACATGATGTCGGCATTTAATTAAATGATATAACATTTTTTCCACATGGACATATATGATCATATATAACATATCATATGTAACCACATATATGGGCCAAATTCATGTATAATTTTATGTAATCATATATACAATCACTTTTCCCCGTGTGAAAAGTGAGCGAAGAGGTGACCTCTACTCTGATTTGCATCTATTTGAAAAAAAAATTTTAATATGCTGCATCGGTTCAAGTACACGTATCGTCCTCGTATGTCGTTACGTGCGTAACATGCCTAAAGCGCCACTAACACGCCACGAATTTAAATGGCGAGTTTGAACTAAAATCGGTAGTACATGCCGAATACAGAGAAAAAAAAGGAAAATTATATGGGGGGAGCGTTTTGTGCCCCCCCCCCCATCCTCGGTACAAACACAACTTCCCGATTCCCCATGCTCCTCTTCCAAGCCGCTAATGCGCTCGTCGATATTCGAGTGATAAAAATCGTTTCACGGAAACGATCCATTATTTAATCTGTCCCAGCACATACATACACGCATCCAGCACACACACAGACACACATCTCGGTGTCATACACGTCGCCAATTATTTCAAGGCTCCTCCGGCAGGATAAAAACTGACGTTACGGATACTCACCGACAGATACTCGCGTCGCCACTCATTACCGCATAACCGTCGTTACGATTTTGCAGTGCAATTATATCATTGTTCGTGTTCCAACGCCGGAAGAAAAGAAACAAAAAAAACGTACGTAACTCGAAGCACCATTACGACAATTCGGACAAATTACTCATTATGCGACTAGCGTGCGGACTAGGATACGCGCGATTACTTTAGTCGATTACCTTAGTCGAAAAGGTACGCGTATCGCTTTGGCTGAAAGAAAAGATATCGATGCGCTCGATCGCCGGCTGAATCGCGAAAGTCGTCGGTCCTCCGGCAAGGAAAGGGGGGCAGGGTGTCAACGGTCGTGCCGAGCCGTCATCTCGGCTGAATAACGCGCGAATAACGCGCTCATGACGCGCGGAATAACGCTCGTTACGCATGTATCTGATCGGAAGAGGTTGTTTTTCATTCGGGTCAAAGGACTTGGCGGCGAAGATCCCGAGCGTGCGAGTTACACCAGCCGCCCGGTGAGAACAGAGCGGAGAGTCTCCGAAGAGCAGCCTCTCCTCTCGCGTTCACCTCGTTACTTCCCGGCGCCCCGGATTTATTACGACGGACGACAAATTGCCGGCGATCCCGTGCTCGCGCCGACGATGTCACATGAGCAACGAGTAACGCATGCGTTAACGCGCGAACTCGCGCTGTGCGAACGAACGCGTGTGGATCGTTATGAGGAAACGAGGTGTGCACGTGCGGCACAGTTGTATAAGTGATCGGTGCGGCGAACAGGTAGAGGAGTCATGATGCATATTATATCGCGCCGACGGACCGAATTTTCCGTTTCCTTGAGACCGTTGCCGTGAGCCTCTCGTCGTCGTCGCGCTCGCTCGCCCGTCCGTTCGCTCGGCCGTGGACGATCACAGCTCGCCTCGGTTCTTTTAAACGGTGGGAAACGGTGCGGTGTTAATTTTTCAACTTTTTTTTTTAATAATTGAAACCAGAGGAAAAGAGATATATATATCGAGACTGGAGAGAGAAAGAAAGAGTGAGAGAGACGCTTGGCATTTCGCGGAGGTTGCATAGTGTCGCTGCCAAGAGTGCATCGCGTGTCGTCCCGTAATTATGGTGAATTCTGCCCGTGCAGGATACTTGAGGAGGACACGTCTGCGTGTTTCGTAGAGAAATATTGTATTTTTCCCAAAACGACGATTTTTCCAATTTTTCTTTTCCCCCTAGGGGAAATTTCAGAACACTAATTGTCAGACCGAAGCGTGATTGAGACATTCAGTCAGGCGATTAGAAGGCGAACGCCGCGATTACGTGGCTCTCTTACTCATCGGCAGATAACCGCGATCGTTAGAGTCAATATTTGTCTTTATCCGCCGGATGCTCGCTCGTGTTCGAAATAACATATCTCGGTTGGTGTCGAAATTGCAGATTCCCGTGCGCTGCTTCTGTAAAAGGAGGACACGCGACGGCGTCGCGATGTAAGGGCGCGATTTAGGAGCTCGAATCGCCCCGAATCAACTGACCGATGAGAGACCTCAGAGAGTTCTGATCGATCTTCCCGATCGACATTGCTTCCCGCGAGATTGGGGGGATTTTAGAAGATAAGGATCGATAACAATGACCGGAAATATTTTCGTCCGAAGGGCCGTCAAGAACAGGGTGCCTATTCTGAAATGGTTGCCGCGTTACAAAGTGGAAGACGCATTGGGTGACCTCGTTGCGGGTCTCACTGTGGGACTGACCTTGATACCTCAAGTACTTTCAAATCTAAGCGACAGACACGCACAAGCACGCACAATCGCTCGCTGTTAAAGACGCGATATTTTTTCTAGGCGATCGCTTACGCCGGATTGGCGGGCTTGGACCCGCAGTATGGACTGTACAGCGCGTTCGCCGGAAGTTTCGTCTACATTGTCTTCGGGACGTGTCGGGAGGTCAACATCGGCCCGACCGCGCTCATATCTTTGCTGACATGGACGTACGCGAGGTACAGACGTGCGACCTTCTCGTGAAAACGGTAACACGACGGAACGATTTATCCAAATCGTCGTCGTTTAAGAATTACCGGCACCAATTCAAGGAAATATTTACTAAGGAATATTGGAGTAATTATTTTACTTGGATCAAGTAAACATTACTTGATTGTAGCACTTTTTTTATGGGTCATTTTCAATAGTCCATAACTCGAAATTTTACATGTTGTTTGCAAAATGATAGGAAATTTTCTTGTTCACCTCAATCCGTTCTACGCCATCACGAAGATTGTCCCTGTTGGTCTGGGACATAAAAATTTACGTAATCCAAGTAAAATAATTACCCCAACACTCCTTCACAAATATTTTCTTGAACGTAGCACTTTTTTCCTTTTAGTACAAACACTTGACTGACGGCTATTTTAAATCGTCGATTAGCATAATCAGAGTTTGTCGAAAACCACCCTTATTAGACGTGAACTCTTCCGTTCCCGTCAAATTTGCAAAAACATCTCTCGACTGTACATTTGAAATTTCCTTCGGTACACAAACCGCCAAACACGCAGGTGAATATCTTTGCCGAACATACGCGAGATATGAACATAAAATCTCTTTGTGAGAACAGCGGTCTGAGCTAACAGTTAACCGTTATGAGCTCGCTTTTTTACGACGATTACGATTACGATCGATCACGCTCATGGCGATTATCGTTGCTTATCCTTGAGCGGGGCGACGGCTCTTTCATCGCCGTTGAATTTTCAAAAGCGCTGCCTAATTGTAATTTGACATCTCTCGGCACACCGGCCACTAAACGCGGACGAATGATAAAATGAATGTGGGTCGTAGTGTATCGTTGCCCGGGAGTTGTATTTAATCAGCCGCCACAATAGGTAGGTCCGACTCACATTGAAGACACCATTACTGGCGTGATTGACGTAACAATGTTCCTTTCTCGTTGGAGGTTCTATCCGGTCGCTACGGGAGAATGTGCGGGATCGCTCGGTGTGGCGCGACCGAATTGTTAAGTAATACTTTTCGCACGATGGGGAAAAACCAGTTTAATCAGCAGGAATGCGTGACATAACGTGCCGGGAATAATGAGTGACATTTAGCCAGGCTATAATTGAATCCCGGCGTTTGATAGACTCGCTGTACTTCGGTAACGATTTGCTACCAGGGGAATTCCCGAGTACGCGGCCTTGCTGTGCTTCTTGTCGGGATGCGTGACGATCTTGCTTGGTATCCTGCGCTTGGGATTCCTCGTGGAGTTCGTGTCGGTACCGGTGGTGTCCGGGTTCACGTCGGCCGCGAGTCTCATCATCGCCTGCAGCCAGATCAAGAGCCTGCTGGGCTTGAGCATCCACGGCGAGAGCTTCGTCGACATATGGCGCGAACTGGCCAGCAACATCACCGACACCAGAATACCGGATTTGATCTTGTCTTGTTGTTGTATTCTGATTCTGTTGCTTCTCAAGGTATCATACGCACGGGAGAAACAATTCTGCCGGTGTAGCTGAATTTTCCGTTGCCTGGAGACCAGATGAAAACTTGGTTGGTAGGAATAGGAAGATTTCTGTAGGAGGTTTCTACATAGAAAAAAATTAGTGTTAATTCAAGACTCATACTCTTATATAAAGGCAAAAAGATGTAATCTTGTGTGAAGATAAAACTTGTTTACTCATGAAGAAATTCTCTATATATAGTTTCAGTAAAAGTACCATATTCTTGTTATTCATATTCATATTCTTGTTATTCATGAATAATTTTCATGAAATGAGGGGAAAAATATTGGATATAGAAAAAACGATATCTTCAAACGAAAATTTGTATCAGTTTAAAAATATCGTTCTTACATCTACATATCCACTATATACTAATTTTGTTCCGTGTATTCAGCCAAATGCTGTCAATTTTCTCGACTGACGCTTTAACGCAGTCGAACGTTCATACAAAATGTTCTTAGTTTATAATAGTTCTTAGCTTAAAATAGTCTCATTGTAATAATAGTTCTTAGTTTAAAATAGTCTCGTTGTAATAGAAATATTATTTCTTGCCACCGAGTTTTTCCGTCTGGTTTCTATTCATTATATTCATTCGCAGGAACTGCGATTTTTTTCCGTTCGACCATTTTTCTTTATCTTCTTTTCTTCCTTTTCACCCGTGACGATCACACAGCGCGCTTACACCGCCTTTTTGTTCCCAGCATCTGAAAGATAAAAGAGTCGCCGGTGTCAAGCTGAAGAGGTTTCTCTGGATGATCGGCACGGCCAGGAACGCGCTCGTGGTCATCCTCTGCGCGGTCGCGTCCTACATCTTCGAGACGCACGGCGGTGCGCCGTTCATTCTTACGGGCCACATCGACGCCGGCCTTCCGAGCGTCGAGCCACCTCCGTTCTGGCGGACGACTGGCAATCAGACCGAGAACTTCATCGACATGGCCAAGAACTTGAAGACCGGCATCTTGGTGGTGCCGCTGATCTCGATCATCGGGAACGTTGCCATCGCGAAAGCCTTTTGTACGACAAGTTTCCGATCTGTATACTCTTCGTGTCCGTTACTCGCATACGGAAAAAACAATTCCGTCGGTTTAAAATTTCGGGAAAAACGTTTTATTCTCCATTTTTCCGCGGATTTCTTCGGTTTTCATTCCAAAGGTACAGAAATTCATGTAGAAAAATTCACACGTATGATTTGCATAGAACCTGCCACATTTAATTTTTTTTTTCGTAGAAAAGATAAGAAACTAAAACTAAATCCGCAGAAAAATTGGGAAAACCGATTTTTTTCCAAATTTGAAAATTATAGTAACGATAACGCAGTTACATTTTTCGGATAACGGTAATATAATCGTTATTTTCATTGTTATTTTGCCCACGTCAACACATGTATGAAACGGGCGAATCCCAAAAAGTCTTCAAAACGCGGAGGAAAAGTAACGGAAATTGTAACGACTCGTTAATTCATGAGTAAGGATAACAGTAACGGGTAACGCTACGAGTTACTTTTCAAAAGTAATTTTCCCAAACCTGGAATAAAATCTCACTCTGTGAATGACCTTCGTCGCTCGTAGCGCGAGGCATGCCCTTGGACGCCACGCAGGAGATGCTGACCCTCGGCCTCTGTAACGTAGTGGGCTCGTTCTTCCACTCAATGCCCGTCACCGGCTCCTTCTCCAGGAGCGCGGTGAACAACGCTTCCGGTGTGCGGACTCCCTTCGGCGGCGTGTACACAGGTGAGAATCTCGGGCGAAGCGCGGGTTTTCACTCGCAACGAATACATGCGACGTCATCTTGTGTAATTTACGATGTATTATTATATATTAACAAGTGTGCGGCAAACGTGCAATTTCAGGTGCTCTAGTCGTACTCGCGCTAAGTTTACTGACCCCGTATTTTTATTACATCCCGAAGGCGACGCTCAGCTCCGTCATAATCAGCGCGGTGATATTCATGGTGGAGGTCGGTATGGTAATTCCGCTCTGGAAGTGCAATAGTGAGTAGCTCTCAATTAATTGGCTATCGTAATCGCAAATGATTAAAGAGCGCTTGTTAAGAATATCATATTAATTTGTACAATATAGATTGATAAAATGCTATTTTTTTTCCCTTCTTTTTAATTGTGTCAATACTAATATTAGTCAAAAGACAGATGTCCTTTATTATATACATCTTTCTGTATATAATTTATATACAGGGTGTCCCAGCCTAACGTGGACAAACTTTCTAAGGGTGAGATAGAGATGAACAAAAGCAAATTTTTTAGTTATTAACTAAAGAAGTTTCTATACACGGCCACTTTCAATAATTAATATCTCGAAATGTGTGTTGCAAAATAGTAGAGGACTTTTTTCACCTCAACCCGTTCTACGTTTTTACGAAGTGTGATCTAGGATACGCGGTATATATCATAATAAAAAAATATATTTTATATTTATTTTTATTCATTATATAATAAAGAATAATCTATGCTTGAATGTTCACGCCTTTTGGCCCAATTAACAGATTGGCTGTCAACAATTCCCGCATGTTCTACCACCTACGCCAGTAAAATTGGATTTCTCTAATACGAGCCGTTTCGTCCTTTCTGTCATAACTTTGTCATCTCTCCTCTGCGTAGAACGTGATCTAATTCCGGCGTTCGCCACATTCCTCGCATGCCTGTTCGCTGGTGTCGAACTGGGAATAGTGATAGGTGCGATGATCGATCTCGCTATACTGATATACCTCAATGCACGACCGGCAATATATATCGAATACAGAAACGTAAGGGGTGCGAAAGTGTACTCGAAATTGTGTACGAAAAGCTACAGCGAAGTATCAAGGATTTTCTCTCCGCAGACTGCGACAGCGAACTACGTCCTGGTACGTCCTAGCGCCGGACTTCTGTTCCCGGCGGTGGACTACTTGAGAATGTACCTGACGGAAGTGTTGTTGAAGAAGTATCAGAGCTCCTTGAAAAATCCCAAACCCTTCACGAACGTCGTGCTGGACTGCGAGCACATCGACAAGATAGACTTCACCGCCGCGCAGGTATTGAAACGATACAGAGAACATAATATATAAATAAATAATATAGAAATAACAGATAACGTATAAATAACATAATATATAAGTGCTAGTAATATATATATATATATAGGTTGTCCTAGTCTCACGACTTTAATTTTACCATGAAAGGTTCTCCGAGCAATTTAACTTTTCCTTTGCGTAAATCGCATAAATGTCGAGGGAGATCATTATTTATGCTAAATTTTCAATCTTCAATATATCTTTGTATTAAATTTCAAATTAAAAATTCCGTTAAATTAAAATCCCCGTGAAATTAGTCAGAGAAAATAATTTTGCTCGAAAATATTCTTGTTATCCACTTCTTCAATCGCTTGTATCTGAGAAACTATCGACGTCTCGACATATTCATTGAGAGAAAATTAGCTTTAAATTGTTCGAAGAGCCTCTCGGTAAAATTAAAGTCACGAGAGCTGGGATATCCTATATACGCTAAAAATAGTCAATGGATAACTGTACCTCTATTATACAATTGTTACTTGCAGGGTATTAACATGGCTATGAAAGACTTCAACGATAACAATCGCCAGTTAATAATGCTGCGTCCGAATGCCGACGTGTTGAAAAGCGTACAATCGATGTCGAGCGAGCCGATCTTAACGGCAAAAAGCGACGTCGATCTGATCGCCATTTTAAATGATTTAAAGGATTCGAAGCGACTCGGTCGAGACTCGAAGAGCCTCGTCGAGGTGAACGCTCTAGATTGCAAGATCGTCCCTGACGCTACGGATGAGTTTACCACCACTAAATTATGACATGTCTTAAGTTCAAGCAAACCTATAATATAACAGCTTTAGACATAATCCCAGAAGTTTGTTGTATTTATTTTCATAAAAATCTTCAATCGACAAGAATCAACACTGTATCATCCTCGTTAACGATACATTCTATAAACAAAAAAATACGAGGTAGAAAAATAGAATTTATATAGAATACAATTTTCAGTGTGAAACATTTCATCTTAAAATTACAAGAAATTGAAGAGGAAAATCTTACATGCTAAGTACTCTCCCTCTTCTACCCCCGTTGAACAATATATCTCGCAATGACATCTCAATATAACGATTCTCGCACATACCTTTTAGCATCTGCAACTTAAATCTGTGTTACTGTAAACATTTATTAACTTAAATTGAGAATTTAAACAGCTCGTGAGCACAATCTCTCAAGTTATAAAGACTCGCAGGCGAGCTTCGAAGTGCGATCACTTTGGATCTGCTCATAACGCTCGCCAGATAACACAAATAAACATAATAATATTCTCTTCGTCTTTGCCACTTTGGTTATAGCTTCTTCGTAATATTAAAATTAATCGCTCGTTATATCAAAACTTATAATTAATACCCTCACAAGCTACGGTCTGTGGGGGAGGAGGGAGACATGAACAATTATAGTAAGTAAATGGATCAAGCTAAATAACAAACGTTGCGGCAGTCTTCTCCATCGATGAACTACGAAAGTGTCAATTTCATATAGTATATATATAGAACTGCAATTCGCAAAGAGATTTTTAAAACAGATATTAAAAGAAAAAGTAATCTGCATCGATATAAATGAATCTCGTGTTAAAGCTCGATAAAGCTATAATAGTTTCAATCGCATATATGCGTTTCTTAGTCCTGGTCTACAATAGGTGCTTTGAGCCTGAAAAAATTGACTGATCACAGTCGAATGTGAAGAGAATAATTAACTGTGATTGATCAATTTCTTAGAGCTTAAAATACCTATCGCAAACCGGGACTTGAGCGAAGTCTACAATGAGGATTTAAGGCGTAAGATTTAAGAAACCGACCAATCGTGACTGGCTTTTCTCCTATTATTCGACTGTGATTGGTCAATTTCTCAACTTTTATTTTAGCCTTGAATTCTCATTGTAGACACCCCGCTTTACACGTCGCGACAACTTACATTTTTGTGTTCTGGATGGTCTTGGCGATGCCGCGGCCGACGCCGACGGAGGACGCGTGGTACTCCTTCGGGAAGTCATGGCACGGTACGTTCTTGCGAAAGCCGCCGTTATACCTCTGGAACGATGACTGACGGTATCCCGTGTTCTGCCTCATTCTGAAGTCTTGCTTAAACATACGCGGCGGGAGCTGGTCGGTCTTGTTTGGGATGTTAATGCTGTTCGTCATGAACTCCTTCGGCGATATGATCGGCGGGATGTCCTCCAGACTGCTGTCCTCGCAGACCAGGTCCTGCGTCTTCTTGGGACTCTTCGGCCGTGGCTGCGCGTAGTTCATCGCGTTCTGCTTGTAGTACCTCTGGCCCGGCGGGCCGAAGACGTTGTACTGATTCATAGCCGCGGGTGCGAAAGACTGCTGCTGGACTCGTGAGACCGGTAAATGCGAGGCCGGTGTCGCCGGTGTCGCGTACTGGGGAACGTCGTAGGTGGTTGTACGCAGGCAGTTGTCCTGGTACCTCTTGTTGTAGTAGCGATTGGACCTCGCGGGGGCGTCCTCGACGGCGGTGTTCCCCGGCTCGTACATACCCTTCACGTAGCTCGGGTTCGCGTGCATCTGCACGGCTGCGTTGCCGCTGGCCGGCAGATAGTGGACGTACCTGTGCTGCGGCGGCTGGTCGTGCATGCACATCGCGGCGACATCGTTGTAACTGCTCGACTGGCCGGCCACGCTGGGCAGCACGGTGTAGCTGGTGCACGGGGGACTGTGGTAGATCGGCGTCTGGTAGTGGATCTGGGGGTTCCAGTTCGGTTGTATGCAGGGCGTGAAGAGCAATGGATGCGACGGCAGGCAGTTCGGCGCGTTGTACTCGTCCGGGGCGAAGGACGACGCGGCGCTGTACACGTGCATCGGTTGGGCACCGGCGTGGTTGGCGAACTGCTCGATATGGAAGCCGTCCTGCACCGGGAGGTTCCATCTACTGATCTGACTCGCCGGTTGGCCCGGGAAGTCCGACAGTGGCGTGAAGGGCCTCTGCGCGTTCGGCGTGTATCTGTTCGAGCTCTCTCGATTGCCGTTTATCGCGTCGAACATGGTGGCGGCGTCGCCGGCCGACGGCTGCGTCACGTTGTACGGCTCGTACACGTGGTCGAAGGTGTTGGGGATCTGCGGCAGCCGCAGCGCCGTGTCGCTCATCGGCGGACGCTGCTGCTCGTAAAATCGCTGCCCATAGTCCATCTCCCGCATCCGCACGTGGCCCTCCGTCTGGACGAACTGCTGCACGCTCGTCGCGCTCCTCGGCTCGGACGGCTCGTTCCAGATGACCGGCTGACTTCTCATCTGACTCTGCGTCTGCTGTCGGGTGTCCTCCGGCTTGTATATATGCTGGCTCATCGGGTAGCCCGGCGACCCTGCGTAGCTCTTGGTCATATCCAAGTCGAACGAGTCCTTCGACGACTTCATCCCTTCGTCGTCCACTTTAGCGTTCCCGTCTGTCGGTCTCTGATCGGTTCTGTCGTTGTCGAGTGCCTTTTCGTTCGGACAGCTTTCTCCCGACGCCACGTGCACTTGTCTCGCGTGATCCTCAACACTCGCTGGCTTCTTGTCTCCCGTGGAATTTCCGTTAGCGTCGATGTTGAGAATCGACGCGTCGGTTTCCGGCGACTTTGCGTTAGCCGGCTGCGCGTCATCACCGTCTCTCTCGCGTTGTTGCTTCACGTCAGACTCGAAATTGCTCGGCTCTTCGGCCCTCGTGTCCAAGCTGGGAGATGCGTCGGCCGGCAGGCAGTCTCTCTTCATCTTCGCGACGGTTCTGTACTCGGCGGTACCGGCGCGCTCCTTGTCGGGTGTCGTGTTGCTGCGCGCGTACAACGGGTTTCTCCCGCAAGCTGGAGCACTCTCGATGTTCTTGGTCTTCGCAGGCCTCGACAATGTTGAGTTTTTGTATTGCGCGACGAACGTGGTGTTCCTGGTGGCGACATAGGGCTTCGGATCGCTCGGAGGATTCTTCTCGCCACTCCTCCTCTCGCATTCGCGCATAGGCGAGTCGGAGTTCCTACACGCAGGCACCGCTTTCTCCGTTCTATCTGGGGTCTTATTTTTATCGACACCGCGGTTAATCGGATACGATGCGTTACCTCTCGAGGACTCCTGCCCTTTGCTCTTCAGCGTGAACTGTTTTGTAGTTATTCGTTGTTGAACCTGCGATGTTTTGTCCTTATTTGAAGAGGCGGGACAAGATGAACTCTGCACTTTCTGATCGCTCTGGCTTGTATCTGCTGTTTTATTTGGTTCCTTCTCATCTGCCTTCGGCAGACCTGACTTTGCAGCGGTATCCTTTGTTTTATTTTCCATTCCTTTCGTTGGAACACCGTGTTGTCTTACAAATTCATCCTTTGGGCAAGTCTTCTTTGTGAATATATGCTTGCCGCTGGCACGTTCGCCTCTTCCGCTCTTATCGGTGATCGGCGATTTCGACAGATTGGAAAGCGATCTGTTAGGATTGGTAAAAAGGGTGGAAGGTTTGTCGTTGCAACATTTAGATAAACTTGTTGTACTTGCGTTCTTGATGTTTGTTTTCAGCGAAGTGAGGGTCTTCTTCATACACGCGTCTGGGAAAGAGTATAAAAAGTCTATTATTTCGTTTTTTAATTTGCATGTCGATGTAAATCAACTTACCTTTATCCTTCGGTTCCACTGATGCCTTATCGTTTCCCGATAACTCCGATGTGCTTGCTTTTGACATATCTAACGTCGTGAGTTTGGCATTATTATTATTTTTGTCAGAATCATTTGTTAAATCCAATTCTTTCGCATCATGATCGTCTTCTTGCGACTCCGGAAATTTCGGACATGTGACATTCCTAATTTATTATATAAATATAAAAAGTAATGAAACAATATACATATTATTTTTAATTGGCACGTTACTTTTGAAGAAGTTGAACGTTTTTTTCTGCTTACTGTGTCTTGTCTTCAAGGGCATTTTGCGACACATTTTCTTGATCTTTCCGTTCCTTATCTACATGACATTGATTTTCCAACTGTACTGTTACAAGATTTTCTTGAATAGCTATGCTTGATCCTTCTTCTTCTGCCTTTTGCATAATCGATACGTGAGCATTTGGAAATATGTTAGATATATTCATATTTTTATCCTGTAAATTTCTGTCACTTTTAGCCATCGAGTCGCTAGATAAATCTCTCATATGTGTATTCACTGTTAAATGGTATTCACGGGACTCTTCAGCTGAATTAGTGTTGCTGTCTTCCATCGCAGGAATCTTATCTTCTACTTTGTTATCCTCCTCATGACCTCTTCTTGGCTTACAGTGAGTTTTTACTCTCACACTGTAATTATGCAACATTATTAATATAAAATAACATATCATCAATATAAAATATAACTATCAGATATAACATGTGACAACAATATTACAAAATATACCCTTAATCCATCCATTCACCGACAAAAATTTATATAAATTAAATATTATGATATAAATTACAATAGAAATTATAAATACAGGTTATTCCAGAGCCCATGCTAAATTCTCTGTGACAAAAATTTCTAGATTCATAATTTATAACATGGGTGAAAAACCAGACTTTATCATCTCCTTTTGTACCTCTGAATTTCTATTTCTTAGTTTATCAGATTTCTTTAATATTCTACATTTTATAAAATGTAGTAGCCCTAATATTTATGTAGCTGTATACAACAATTCTAAAATATCCTGTATATACACGCAACAAAAATAAGTGTATTTTTATGTACCTGAATCTAGAGCTTCACATATATTCAATAAAATATAAATATGTAAAATATATATATATATATATACAATATATATAATAAGAAATAAGCGATGAAAATTAATTAAGGCAAAGAAATTAAGGAAGACAAACGTACGGGCTTGCCGGATGGGACGTATTTTTCAGCCATTGCATGTTCTGTAGTTTGCTAACCATTGCCTCTCGCCTTACAGCAGAGGTCTTTTCTAAACCATTAGCCGCCAAATCCATCATATACCTATCACAAAACACATACACCAGATAATAAGACCAGATACCTTTCTGTTCCAACACTCATGCAACTCGGCTGTGCTATGTTATTTCGGTTCGAAAAATCACGGAAAACTTCCCTACGATTCTCCTACAGAAAAACACTTCTTATACATATCCTTCTCAAAACACTCCAAGAGAAGGTGCAACTGAGCGAAGTCACAGTACAAGTCGTACTGTTGATGTTGTTAGTGTGAGACGAGGATGCAAAAAAAGGAAGGATACGACGCGACGGACGAATTCGAGATTGTTGAAACGATTAATTACCGATTTTATGGATCGACGATGATGAAATTTGGTGAGAACGAGAAAGAGAGAGAGTCTCTGCCAACTCCGTACGTGCGACTGTGACCTACTCTTTACAAAGAACGATTCGCTAATGTCTCCGGCCTCTAACGTTATCTCCCGGCACAAATATAAACAATGAACCAACGTCGAACGACGTGCGTAGATCGTACCGTCACGCGTCAAAGTTTCCGGTCTCGGTGCTTTTCACGTGCGATCTACCGAACAATACTGACAAGAGAGCATCTTACCTCGCTCGTAGACAATTGAGATACTCGACACGTACGACAGACAGTCACCCATGAACCAAAAATATCGCTCTAACGCGCGCAACAGACGCCGCGAGCTGACACCGATCGAGCGAGGAAATTTCAAAAATTGTTCCGCTGTTCGCCGAACACGCCGATTGGCTGTCTCGTAGACACGAGCAAGCGCTACCGATAACTCGCGATCTTCCCCCGAATTCGCTCCATTCGGTCTCGTCCAATCACAGAACACGGGAACGCAGGCGGCTCGCGTCGATAACGATTGGAACTGATCGACAGCCTTAGTTACCTTTCGAGTCGTACCGACCGGATTAGTGTCACGCTACGTCGCTAGATGGCGCCAGCTGTCGCTGAGATGTCCGTTGGCGCGTCGCAGTGTAAGATGGCGAATAAAGCTACGGCGGGATTTATTTTGCGAAATACAACTCGTGAATTGTACTTATTACTTATCTAATGAAAGCTGAAGTTTTGCAGGTAACATGAGCGTGATATGCTGTATATTCTCTCAAAACATCAAGTCGGCGTATTACAATAGAGAACAACAAAGGAGCGTCGTAAACAGTGCTGACGGATTTATTGCAAGAAACGCAGAGGCGTCGCAAATATGAAGTACATCGCAAGATACAGAGGTATATATATTTTTTATAGATGTGTAAATACATACATTCAATGTAATTCAGCTTGTATAATTACTTTATATAATTTTACGTAACAGTTATATAAAAATAGCTAAAAAGATGCAAAATTAATAATACGGTTATCAGAAATGTATTAAATAAAATAATGTATTTCTATTAACTTTACGGTTGCTTATCAATTTTGCGCATTTTAACTAGCGCTTGCTCGTATAGGCCTTGCTATACTTCTTAATTAAGAATTATGTAATTAATATTTTGAAGACTAAGGACTGTGGAACAATAGCATTATTCTCGACTAACATCATTTTACAAGGACACCCCGACATTTCGACACGAGGTCTTCTTCGCCGTTAAAACTTTCTTAGCGTGGTGCAATAGGAATGGAGGCAACATTGAATGGTTTTGTCACATATTTCGGTCGTTGGTTGCACCGTAAACAACCAGGCGAGACAAATTGCTCCGCTGACGACGCTTTCATAACGGCGGAATCCGTCTCGGGGAGACGAAAAAGTGGAAAATTAGTAAGCAATTTGGCAAAATTTCTCTCGAAAGCGAAATACCTGTTGATTGTGCGATCGTCCTGCGAAAATTCGTCCTTTGCGAATCCCATTTCCCAGCAAGTTATATCCTATAAGCACATAATATTCCTAGAATATTATATATGAACATTATTAAATATTAAAATAATATTCTTATAATATAATGAAGAATGTTATGTAATATTTTTTAGTATTATAGGAATGTTTTATTGATGTTTCATGTGGACTTCGCATAATATTCTTGGCATGTTATAAAAATGTTTTTAGAATATAAAAAAAAATGAAATAATAATAATGTAGAAAAAATATATATATACATAAAGTTGAATATTTAAAAAATATATAATATTACAATAACATTAAATAAATGTTATTTTTTAAATATTATTAAGGATGAACATATAATCATCTATTAATCTATATTCCAAAAATATTACTTAGTATTAAATAATATTACGCGCTTATAGAGGATATATTTAAAATCTACATTCATCTACAGTAGTTCATATATTTAAAATCAATATTCGCCACATATAAAACGAAAATAAAAGATTACGTGTCCGCTCGTACATCCACTGGCGACGCGTAGAAGCAGATTTCCGCGGCGCAGAAAAACCACAAGCCGGGGACCGTGGCGAGCGCGGGCGCGAAAGTAGAGATAATGAAAGGAAAAGCGCTCGACCCTTGATCTTCCGCGAAAATAGAATTAATTACACATTAATTATAGGGGAGAAAGTCTCGCGGATCGCGTGAATTTTCTGAAGAAACACAGGGATGCGTCGTCGAGGGGAGCGGCGGAACGGACAATAACGAAAATCGTCGCTCGCCGAATGCGATCAATAGGACGATCGTCGACGTAATACCGTCGCGGTAGACTCGTCGAATTTCGTAAGCAAATGACGAAAACAGTAACGATGGGAAATCTTAATTAATACGCTGGCGTGACGATCGTTGACTCGCTCGTGACACTTTTATTTTCGCTAGCGCGCGCCGCTATCTGACGCTTGGTCACACCTGCTGGCTGCAGGGACGCAGCTGTGAAAATTAATTAACACGCCGCTGCCCGATCGCTGATGATTGGTCATCCTCCCTCATCCCCTAAGGACAATAGGACGAAATGACGAAGTATAACCGCTCGTTCACGGAGGAAACAAATTTTGGTGTTGTAGCAAAATACGAAATCCGTAAGTCGGAACGGAACAGAGGCACGAAGAGCTTTGCTGAGAGAGGGATAGTGAGATGGGAGTAATTTTTTTTTCCGCTACAAAGAAGCGCTTCACGTTCGCCCCTGGAGGGTGAGTATGTGCCTCAGCATCCCATGCATGACCGCCATATAATAGGTGAAACTTGGGAAATTAGAGAGCCACTTTCGTGTCATCTTCGCAGCTGACGGTCGTCGAATTGCTCGCGACTCGACGACGTCGGGATTGATACGCATAATTCGCATAACTCGGCGTCCGAGGCGTTTCGACCACGGTCGGGAGGTGCGTGAGGAATTCGCGGTCTCATTCGGATGTCGCCCACTGTGACTATGACGCACCTGATCCTGTCCTCCATCGTCCTGGGTATTTGTTGTGCGTTGGCGGAGAAAACCGAATTCCAGACTACGACCGAACCCCCGAGGAAATACTCGCCGGAAGATCGGTTTCTGGTGAATGTCGCCCGCACGAAGAACTCGTCGCAACTGATCTTCGACGAGGAGGAGCTGAAGAAAACGGACAAGAAACCGAGGACCGTCTTGCATCACGATTCGAACCTCGATACCAGAGATAAGTCAATGTTCTCGACCTGATTGCAGGTTTTTTCCTTCGAATCTCTGTGCTGCAAAATTTAAAAAACGCGACAGAAAACACTGGTTTGCATCGGGAATCTGTTTTTCTAACTGTAATTGACTGCAATTATATTCAGACAGTAGAAACTTGTAAGAAATATCTAGACGTCTTGTTTTTTAGACGTTTGTGTGCTGTTTGGATAGTTACAAATAGCGAATCTCTTTCTTAGCGTACGCGGAAAATAAATTAATATCAATTCAAGACTCATGTTTTCATATATAAGCAAGAATATATAATCTTATATGAAGATAAAAATTATTCTTATACATGAAGAAATTCTACACAACGTGTTTCATTAAAATAAAATATTATATATATTATAAAATATATTTAAAAATATATATTCTCGAGTAACATGAATATATTTTTAATGAAACTCTATACAGAATATTTCTTTATGTAAGGGAAAGTTTTATTTTTTTATACATAAAAAGATTGTATATCCTCGTTTATATATGAAGATATGAATCTTAATATTATTAAGATTCATATTTATATTCATTATTATCTTAAGATATGAATACTAATATTTTTCCTACGTAAATTCGCGCAATCGACGGAGTTCGCGCGACAATTTGGATTACGGGATATTTTCGTTTTGCAAGTTCCAGCTGCTGCGGCACCAGGCACAGCTCCAGCGACTCGAGATTCGCGCGACCCGACTATAATTACAACAAAATTCCCGTGGAAACTGGACGATATCCTTCTGCATACGGCGAGCGACACCCCATCGACAGGTAACAACTGGATAGTTCGCCGACTAGCCAATGCGCGTAGATTCATTTTGGAATACCGGGTGTTTCAACTCTAGGCGTGATTTAACTTCAGGTACGGATGGCAAGCTCAAGCTCGACCACCGGGTTCCACCGCGAACAGCGGCAGTAGACCTTCAGGAGGCGGCGGAAGTTACGTCGGAAACGGACCCTATGCGGGAAGCCAGTCGAACGACAGGTAAATCTTGCCGAACTTCTTCACGCGGTTTTTAGTATTTCACCGATTTCTCTCACATCTGAGTCTTATTCACCCGTTCGTTGATGCCACTTTGAAGTTTTCCAAAATAGTTTACTTTCCTAAAGACATCTTTCGCAAGCTTTCGGCTGCCTGTGTGATTTCTCGAGTTCGTACATTTCTCGTGCGTAAATTTCACCTTTCAACCGACGTGTCTTTCACCGACTGTGTCTGCGACGAAAATGCAAGGTACAGCCCGCGACCGGTGTACGGAAGTGAGAGCACCAACAGACCCAATACTTTGAGCTACGGCTACGGTGCTAACGGGTACGGGAGCTACGGCAGGCCGACCGGATACGGGGGTGGCGGCGGCGGTTATGGGATTTCGGGAACGTTGGCCGACGGTGACGAGTTCGGTCCGGGTTTCTTGGATGGTAATGCGCCGCAGCCTCCCGGGAATAATATTCAGGCGCAAAAGGTGACGCACTTGCGATACGTAATTTAAGAATTAAAATAATGAGTATTTCTAGATTTCGGCTAGATCAATTATTGATCCATTATTGATCCATTATTGATTGTTTAACGAGCGTTTCGTTGCAATGAATTGCAATTATGCATTTTCTTTCAGTAGCAAAAATAACGAGCGACCTTAACGGAGGGAGTCCACGCGTATCTCACACACGTTTAATGATATATCAATATATCTGTGTTCAGGACAACGTTTATATTGAACGATGCGTAATGGAGCAATCGTAATTAATTTGTTCGTAATTAATTGTTTAATTAGTTAATTTATTTTTAAGGCCGTAGCTTTGAAAGCTCTGGCCGGGGTCGCGTTGATCGGCGCAGCGGCGGCGTTAGCTTCGAATCCGGTGCTTCTGCCGATCGGCATCGTGGCGGGAAGGAGGAAGCGGTCGGAGAGCTTCTCGGAGGAGGTGCATCCCGAAGCCCAAATGGATTACATCATAAACGTGTTGAAAGATGATTTAGCTAAGGTATATGTGTGTTCGCGACGTTATTGTTTGACGCGTACACAGACAAAAAGTATTATTTTACTGCGAAGAGGAGCAATTACTCAGTTTATTCTTCTCTTTTTAAAAGTAATGATTACCTTGAATAAAGGATATTATTTTGATAATAATATTAAAGCATACTCAACGGAAGTATTAGAAAAGCTCATTATCATTTACTCAAAAGAAGAATTTGTCCCCTTCTCAAGAATATTACAAAGTTTATAGAAGAAACGTATAAAACACTTGAGATAAATAATCTTCGCTTGAATATAGTATATATTGAATATAGTATTAGGGGGACCGGAAAGTAATGTCGTTTTTTCACATTAAATTCAAACAGATAAATTTTTAACAAGTTTTAATTTTTAAACAATGATGTAATCACTCTCGTTATCAACAACCTTTTGCCATCTAATATGCAAATTTTCAATGCCAGATCGATAAGATTCAATTGGATTTTGAGCAAAATATCTGGGGAGGGCATTTTGGATATCATCTAAATTTTCAAATTTTTTGTCACGTAGAAAGTGTTGTAGCGATCGGAATAAATGGAAATCCGATGGTGAAATATCGGGCGAGTATGGTGGGTGAGGCAGTACCTCCCACCCCAATTAATTAATTTTTTCCAGGGTTCGTCTTGCGCAGTGCGGTCTTGCATTATCATGTTGCAGAATAACGCCTTTTCTGTTGACAATCGCTGAACACTTTTCAATTAAAAATTGATTTACTCAATCCAATTGTTCACAATAAAGGTCTGAATTCACATTTTGTCCAGGTTTCAGCATTTCAAAATGAACGATTCCGCGAATACTCCATCAAGCACATAAAAGCGCCTCTTTGGGATGTAAACCTGGCTTAGCAGTATTTTGTGGCGATTTATTCGGAGAGAGCTACTGCCTTTTGCGTTTTGGATTATCATACAGGACCCATTTTTCGTCTCCATTGATCAAGCGATCAGAAAACGCTTCTGTATTGCACCGTTGAAGCAATAAGTTGCATATGGTGAATCGGTTAGTTTTGTTTTTTTCGGACAGATTATGCGGGACCCAAACACTTGCTCTGCTTACTTTACCAATCTGTTGCAAATGTCCTTGGATAGTCGACCAAGGTTGGTTAAGAGTGTTTCACAGTTCCTCGATTGTCTGACACGGATTTGCTTCCACTTTCGCCCTTAACATGTCATTGTCTAAAGTTGTTGCTCTTCCTAATCGGTACAAGTAGGGAAAATCAAAATTACCGGATTTGAACTTAGAAAATCACCTTTGGAATTTACAAACGTTTAATGCACTTGGATAAACATCGCAAATGTTTTTGGTAGCAACTGTTGCGTTACTACCCTTGCGAAACTCAAAAAGCATACAATGCCGAATATGTAACTCTTCTGGTATTTGGCTGGCCATTTCACCATAAATTGCAAAACAAAAACTTAAGATTTAATTATTTACAAGTAAACAAGTCATTCTAACATTAAAATATCTTTGGCACGACTTTGAAGTACACAATGAGCTGATAAATGACAAACGAATATCGACATGCGCAGAAACGACGTTACTTTCCGGTCCCCCTAATATATATTTTTATATATTTTTTCTGTGTGTAGAGGATTCTAACACAACATGTATGTCTGAAAGACGTCTCAGAGATCTTTATGATATCTTAAGACGTTTCAATGTTCTCCGCGTTCGCTAAAATTCTCCTTCTCTTGCGATTAGATACAAAAAAATGGCTCGAGCAACCGACTGATCGTCTCCCCGAGATGCGTCGCCAGATTGACCTGCGAGATTCAGAGGGATTACCTGTCCGAGGTCAGCAAGGACGTCGAGTTTGTGAACACGCATCGGAAACAGTATCTCACCAACTTGTACGTGATTTCCTTCCCGCATTCAATCTTTCAAGCGAGTTCAACCTATTAATCGTCCAATTTGAATTTCTCGCAGGATACGGAACAACGTGTTGAATACCGCGTCTGTGAGCGCGAGCGTGAAGAACCTGATCAAATTGGCCGTCGGCGTCGCAACGGACGACAAAAACTGCGACGTGTTCTTTTGCAGTTACATAAGGAAAGGTTGAATGCGATAATTACTTTTTAAGTATCGTATTGTGCAATTTATTGTATTATCGTTCGTCCGATCGTTTCACGTATATATTATTACACGGCAATAAAATTGTCCGGCGCGATCGTCGGATGACCTGTCGTCTCGGCACTGCAACTCGAAGAATCGCGACTTCATTCGAAATTTATTCATCCGTTCGTTGAATATCATCCATTCCACCCACAATCGTATACATATTATGGCAAGAGGAGTGTCCGTTTTTTTTTAAGTTTCGAGGAGAAAAAATGTTTTGGACGGTAAATATCGCGTAAAATTGTCATGATATTTTAATTACCCAAAGATACGCTAATAAATAAATGTAATTCGAGACGCGTATATCCTTCATTTCATTTTATCAGCTCTCTATTGGCCGTCAATCACAATCGATCTTTCAAGCGCAATTAATTATACTTTGTATGTGACTTTACACGTAATGTACTTTATACGTAATTCAGTGAGACATAGTCATATCATAGTATCGATCTTCCATGACTGTCGCAGCATTTTTTTTCTCTCTCATGACATCATTTTTTTTTTATATAGGCATACATGATCATATGTGTAACCACGTATATGGGCAAAATTCATATATGATTTTATGTAATTATATAATCATATATAATCATTTTTTCCCGGGTTATTTCGCACTTCCTCAATGTACTCGTTTGCGCGAACCCGAGATAGAACGACGTTTATTACTGAAATACAATTCGATCTAATTTTCGGTGGCGCCCTTCCTCGTGGACGCAGCGCGGAATCGAGCCGAGGCCGACGGTTCCGCGCTTCGTAATTGGCGCTTCGAGGCGCCTTAATTCGCGGGAACTTCGCGAGGGCGCGACACCTCCGCTCGCGCCGATTCCGAGAGAGAGAGAGAGGCTGCACACGTGACGACGTTGGGGGCAGAGAAAAAAAAGCATGGTACAACTGACGTGTCCTAATAAGAAACAACGTGGCAATACGGCAGTGCAACGAGCCAGCTTACGTCCGTGCGGTTCTCACTGAAACCGCTCGTTCTCGCGCGTCTCTCCCGCAGGTTGACGCTCGCGATGCTCGCGCGAGGCGCGGACAAGGTGGGCGAATCGACGTGACGGGTACCGCTGTTCCGATCTCCGCTGGGCTATCCGGCTAAGGTTATGTTCTCGACGGTCGCGCGTCGTCGTCGCTGACCTTCCTTAACATTTCACGCAAATCGTTATCCGTTTCGCCGCGGAATCAGATATCGTAGAGTCACGCCGATGCGCACGATCACGTCGCCGCCACGGCGTTACGCGGTGACGTGCGTGGATTTCAGTTCAGCGCGAGAACGGCGATAATAACCTTGAAAACCGTCGCCGTGTTAACGCGTCTAAACGTAAACGTGGCTCGAGTCTAACGGAAACGTGGCGAGAGCCGCCGCGCAGAGAACATACGCGTCCAGTGTATGGATTGTCGTATCGGTGACACCATCTCGGCTTTGACCCGCGCGACGGCATGAGGAGGAAACTGGAGAAGGACGACGGCGGCGTGGAGGACGGCGTCCTGCTCGCCGAGCCGCACAACGTCCAGGAGCCCTCGGACCTGCGGGGCGACGAGAAGAACATCGCGATCCTCTTCTTCCTGTACCTGCTGCAGGGCATCCCGCTGGGGCTCTGCGGCTCGATCCCCATGCTCCTGCAGAACAGGGGGGTCTCTTATCGGCAACAGGTAACCTGGAGGGCCCGGAAATCATGAGCGTAATTAACGGGAAAGAGGGGGTATCGGAATGAGATATACGGTTTGTGTGGGAAATATTGCATCGCTTGCGAAAGTGGGAAATTATTGTTTCAATTTGGAAAAATGTGTACAACTATGGGCAGGTTGCAAGCTGAATAACGGGTGTTCTGTACTTTTAACAATTTGTAGTAACAGGTTCTTTTTTCGCTGAATCAGTGCACATCTGTAGAATTTAAAGAGAGACAGATATACGGTTAAGATTCTTGGTGGAAAAATGAAGAGAAAGAAGAAAATCAGTATAAGTTAGCGCAGCTAATTCAGTGAAGGACAAACCTAAGAGCTGCAACAGTCTGGGGGAAAAGAGTTTGATAATTGTCACACGTTTCCCATATTTTGTGAGTGATGCAATACTTATGGTGGATACTGCAGATGAAATGTAGTTTTGCGCTCGTATACAACATGTTGTGCAGCTGAATCTTAGGAGAAACAAGATATACTTCAGTAATTTGTCAGTAACCTTTATCTTACTGTTCATCGAATTCACAGTAAACCAGCGCTCGAATGTAAGGAAAGTTAAAGTATACTGTTGAGATTTACCGTATTTAACTGAAAACTGCGTAGATTGGCGGAACGATAGCGAAAAGGGATCAATTGAGAGAGAATTTCGGGGTGAAATTTTCAGCATAACATTTCCATCCCAGGGAATGATTCGATCTCTCATTGTCACAGGCGGAATTTAGTTTCGTGCAATGGCCATTCTCGTTGAAGCTCTTTTGGGCGCCCATAGTAGACTCGATTTTCTCGCAAAAGTTTGGAAGGAGAAAAACTTGGTTGATCCCGACCCAGTACCTGATGGGTATGTTCATGCTCCTTCTCTCCAATTATGTCGATCATTGGTTGGGTAAAGAGCACGAGAAGCCGAACATCGAAATGCTGACCGCACTGTTTTTCGCTTTGAACGTGCTCGCCGCGACACAGGATATCGTGGTAGACGGTTGGGCGCTCACGATGCTTAAGAGGTATTTTCGCGTGCGATCACTCAGCCGGTATACGATTTGCAACGTCGACGGGGGGTCACCGTAATACTCGAATCGTTTTTTTTCCGTCCAGGTGCAACGTCGGATACGCGTCCACCTGCAACAGCGTCGGCCAGACAGCGGGTTACTTCGTCGGTTACGTCTTGTTCATCTCCCTGGAATCCGCCGAGTTTTGCAACAACTATCTGAGATCAACCCCCTCGGACGAGGGCATCCTCACTCTACCTGGTAAGAAGCGTAACCGGTGAGCCAGATCGTTGCCGGTGCAAACATATTCAGATATATTCAGATATATATCGAGTGTATAAATTAATTCGGTGCCTTTTTTCATGAAATTCCAAGTTTATTTGCAAGAAGTCAGGTTTAACGTTCGAAATAATTTCCGTTATTTTCTATGACTTTGCTTCGTCTATCTCCGGGTAGCCTGATGAACGCCTTTGCGAAAAGAACTTGGCGGTTTTGACTTGATAAAAGAAATTGAAATTCCAATCAGAGTAATACAGGACGTTAAATGCAAAAGGCACCGAATTAATTTGCACACCTAATACCGTGTACGTTGCGTTGCGACAAGTAAGCAATCGCATTCTGTCGTAGGATTCTTGTACTTCTGGGGCTGGACGTTCGTCGTCACGACGACATTCATAGCGTTGTTCAAGCACGAGGGCAAGGGGAGGGTGCCGAGAGGAGAGGAGCTTAACATGGACATCAAGCACGCGTACAAACTGCTCTGGGACATCGTGAAACTGCCGGCGATCAAGACGACGATTATATTCCTCCTGACGGCAAAGGTTAAACGTTACACGTGAAATACACAAGAAATAATGACTCGTATAACTCGCTCGCTCATTAGTATTAATTGCCGATTTCTGCACCGTAGATCGGCTTTTCCGCGTGCGACGCGGTGACCGGCCTGAAACTGATCGAGGCCGGCATACCGAAGGAGAAGTTCGCGTTTATGGCGGTGCCGATGATACCGCTGCAGATCATCTTGCCGTTGGTTATCTCCAAGTACACCGCTGGACCGAGGCCTATGGATGTTTACATGAAGGCTATGCCTTACAGGTAATTACTGACGCGTCGCCCGAGTCGCCGATTCCGGCCAATTTCCCTCGAACGAGTTTATAAACACTCATTCTTGAACGCAGGCTGGCGTTCGGCATCATAGCCGCGTTCCTGGTATGGGTCACGCCCCTCGTCGTGACTCACGGACACGTTCCAGCGTATTACTTCGTTGTGTTGATAGGTCTCTACTTCATACATCAGGTACAACATTAGATAATATCGTATATAAAAGTATTAGATAGGGATAAATAGATAAATTAAAAGTTAGATAAGGATAGTTGGGAGTTGGTTTTAGATGAACAGAGTCGGGGAAGTAACGCTTGTAATGCCGTTACCGTTACAAGTGATCTTTTGCAATAACTGCTCTGGTAACGATGTTATATTTTTTACCAGTAACGGTAAAGATATTCGCTGAAAAAGGTCTTCGAAACGCAGTAATCATAAATGGTTGTACATAATGTTCGCCTGTTTAAAATTCAGATATCCGCAAGCAGCATGTTCGTGGCGTCGATGGCCTTCTTCGCGAAAGTGAGCGACCCGGCGGTCGGCGGCACTTACATGACGTTGCTCAATACTCTGTGCAACCTTGGCGGAAATTGGCCTGCGACGGCTGCGCTTTGGTTCGTTGACCCTCTGACATTCAGACAATGCAGCACCGATCACGCGAACGACTGCAGCACAATGACAGAGAGAGAGGTTGGTTGATGCCATTTTTTTTTTTTTTGGCGACCGTAATCGCATTACTCAGAGAATTAGGAAATCATTTCGTCGAACGTTGTGTCGTGCGATGTGTACTTGTGTCGTATTGAAATCTCCTCTTCAAGTCCCAGCTTGATTTCCATCACGCATTTTGCATCTAATAGGAGAATGTTTCTCTTGAGAATTAGAATTACGTCACACAGAAAAACGTAAGCAGTAAACAAATTGACCAATCACGATCAATCGTTGTACTTATAGTGGAAGAATAATCGACTGTGACTGGTCAATTTTTTTTATCGCTCAAGCCTTATTTACTTGCGTTTTTTCGTGTGCCGTGGCCCTTTCTAAAAAATAAGTTGATCCTTTTGAACACGGAATGTGTTCCGAAACGCATCGAGAAAAAAAAAAGTATTATAACTAGTCCGTTCGTAATCGAGAAAGGATTCTCTAATTATTCTGGGCGGTGTGTTGTCACGTCGCGGACAAATGCAGATCATCAGTGGAGATCCAACGTCAATTGCGTTTTTCAGCTCTGCGCCAGCACCGACAACGGCACGTGCGTGATGCAGCTTGACGGCTATTACATAGAGAGCCTTCTCTGCTTAATCATCGGTTTCTCGTGGCTCAGGTGGGGCCGTAGAAAAATTAACGCGTTACAGGCCGAGCCGATGTCCGCGTGGAAAATCGTGCTCTCCCGTAACAACAGGTAACATATCAGCCGTTGTTACGAATCTGTTGATATCCGGTACCTGTAAACCATTATTCTTCGACGAGTTGACGTGTATGTGTGTGTGTGTGTGTGTATCCCTGCCGTATGCATGGGATGCATCGTTTCCTGCACGTTTTAACTAAGTGTTCCAGTTCTACGAGTCGGGCACAGGGCGGAGCTGAATCAATGAACGATTTATTCGCCTTGGGAAGTACAATATGTTGTTGCAGAATATGTACAGTACAGAGAGAGAGAGAGAGAGAGATCCCACGAGAATGATCGTGGTATAACGCTAGAGAATGTAAAAAAGAGAAATGAAAATACTGCGTATCATATTAATATAATTAATTAAATGATGTGAAAGAAATGTACGGATCTTTGATGGTTCTCATTCTTATTTCGTTCAGTTCGGATACAAAATTTTAGTAATATCGAAATGGTTGAGAGTACAGTATATATATATATATATATATATATATACACACGCATACATATACATATATTTATTTATTTGACAACCATTTGAGGATTGTAAATTTTTCCCAGACACGAAAGATGTCGAACGCGTTATTTTTTTATTTTTACAGAAAGTTAGAAAATATTATTTAGGCGAAGCTTAAATTTGCGATCCAATCATCATTCCACGAAGGTTAGTGTATTATCATTGCAAGTTTAATTATAATTTCACGATATTATACTTTACGTTTCGTGGGAACTTTTATAAAGAACCGATCGGACACGTGCGACGCGTGTTCGCGGTTTATATCCTGTATGTATTTGAGAGTATGTATTTTGCGCATAAATCGAGATAAATAATTAACATAGAATATCAATAAAAGTTTTTGATATAAAGGGTCGGGGTCGCTGCGTTTTATTGAGGACCACAACTGTGCACTTTCCTAATGCAAAATGTAGCTCGACGGCGGATATGGTCGTCGATGTAGATAAATGTTGACCGCAAGCGTCGATATTCACACGTGCGATATTAAATTGTTACAAGTTGTAACTTTTAATCACGCGAGAGAATTCTTCCGATTAAATTCAGTTTCTCCATTAGAATTGACCAATCGCATCTCTCTAACGACGAAACGAATAGTCCCAGCGTAAGAGCTGAATTTTAATCGGCCGATTTGAGGTGTGTTCGGAAATTCATTGTTACCGGGAGTTTTAGGCTGCAGCTCTGTACACCATGGGTATTCATAGTCGGATCTACGTTTGAGACTGGCTTAAGCTTATCTGCAGATACTTCGCAGCCAATGAAATGAGTGCAATATAAATGCCATGCGTGTGGAAATTTTCGCTCAAACGGTGTAACCTCGTTAAACATTTTAGCATCTGACGGATCTCAATTTATATTTGTATACCATCATAAGAAAATAAGTGCATTTTACATTAGAAAATATATCTAAAAACTGAAGACTTCAAGCTGCAAAATAACCCCTGAATCACCTTATGGCCATTTCTCACGGTTGAGAAAACTGTTGAACAACTATTTGTGATATAATACAAAATGAAGATAAGCATTGCGTTGTACAAAATTTTTATTTATTTAACGATACTTTAGAGTCAGCTATACTCGGGGATTATACTTTCCATTAGGTACATTTCATTTGATCAGCTTTATCTCGTATTCTTCTTCCTCTTCGGCATTCGAAACGTATACTCAGACGTCATATCGTCGATGCATCAATCAACGCAAGACGCGATGAACTCCGTAGTCTCTCTTCGCCTCTTTTTTTCTCTCCCGTTTCTTAGAAAATATAAACTCAAGATTCCTCGGTGTACAAATAGTCCCCTTCAAAATCAGGAAGGTGTATAGCTATTCTCCCGTTCCCGGCCGGGCCTATTTAAGCACAGTCATTCCAAGGGGTGCGATCATTTCGTCTACGCTTTCTTTTCTAAATAGAAGAGCCGGTCCTCCAAACACTGTATCTTACAATCGCTCGCAACGTGCAAAGCAGTCTCGCAATACAGTAAGGAGAAGGGAGATAAGGAGAAAAAAAGAAAGAAAGTACGCGGTAATCCATACAGTCACAAGTCGGAACCCGGGGAAAATGAGGTCATATATAAAATTATGCCCATGTATATATATATATATATATATATATGTGTATATGTATAATCATATATGTCCACAACGAAAAAATATTGTTTACAAATTACAATGCAAGTACAATCGAATTAAATGCTTCTGATAGCACATGATATCGATATTTGAATTATATTGAAATGTAACATTATTTTTTTCCATCTAGACATATATGATCATATATATATGCAACCACATATATGGGCTAAATTCATATATGATTTTATACTTTAGATATCATTATTTTTTCCCGGGAAGTAACCAATAACCCGAGGGAGAAGGGGGGCAGTATTCAACGAGCCCAATCTGAACGTGTGTCTCGTGAACGTTACAAGTACTTCTCTCTCTCTCTCTCTATCTCTTTCGGATCAATCCGAACTTCCAGATTCCACGACGACCCGTTTTCTCCTCCATCTCTCTCTCTCTCTCTCTCTCGATTTTTTCACACGGTAACGCTTCTAAATCGCGAACTCGCCTCCGGATACGGCGGAGCGCGCCTCGAGGGCCGTCGTCCGGGCACGAACCGCGGAGCAGTAGGGAAGCGTACGCGTAGTATACAAGTGATTGGACCAAGTGAATCGCTCGTCGGCGCGCGTCGCGTCACACATCGCATTGAAAGAATATATGTACATTATACAATTTCCGACACACGGTACACGTTATTCTGAAATATAAACACTTTCTTACTCCGTCGATGAAGGCGCTTCGAAGTGGTGTGCTCTCGCGCGTTACAGGTGAGAACCATCGCGGGCGCCGGACGACGGCCTTTCTCGCATCCCAGAACGAGCTCGGCCGTGTTACAACGAGCTTATACAGCGCCGGATACTTTTCTCCCTTTTTTCTTCCTTTTTTTTTTGAGACGCGTGTGCGCATTACCGCGGACGCTAAGACACTCCCTTTAAGATTATACCGTTGTACTCCGTAGGATATATGTATATGTATATATATATAATATGTATATGTATCGTACAAAGCGTTCCGTTAAAATAATAATCGGCTAGAGGTCTAAGTCGCTAGCGTCGTCGGCAGATCATTGTCGCGCGTTGTGCTCCGTCTCGAGGAGACAGTCGCGCACGAGCATGCGGGCATGCTGGATGCCCATCTTCAGCCTCTCGGCCGCGCTGCGGCTACCCGCGTAGGACAGGCGAATGTCCCTGCCGAGCTCCTCGATAATCACCAAGAGTTGCGCGTACTTGCCCTGGCCCGGCACGCTCGGGAAGTTGATCGTGCTGGACGGGCTGGCCTGGGCCACTTGCACGGTCTGCACGTTCTGCAGGTTCCTGGGATTTGGCACGGTGATCACAGGTTCGGGTATACGCGGTATCTCCGGGATCTTGGGCGGCGGCGGCGGCGGCGGCGGATCGTTCAGCTTCGTTATCGTGATCTCGTTCAGCTTGGCCAGCTCGGTTAGCTTGGCCATCTCGGCCATCTTCGAGTACTCCGGCATCTTGGTGATGTCGTTCTGTATGTTCGCCATCTTGATCATCTCGTTCATCTTGCTCTTCTCATTCATCTTGGCGATCTCCTTCGCCATCTCGTTGATCTGCGCGATCTCGTTCAGCTTGGTGATGTCGTTGTTGTACTTGGCCATCTCCGTCATCTTCACCATGTCGTTCAGCTTCGCGATCTCGTTCATGCGCTGCACCTCGTTAATCTTCGCCATCTGCGACATCTTCATCATCTCGTTCATCTTCGCCATCTCGTTGATCTTGGTGATGTCGTTGTACTTGGCCATCTCCGACAGCTTCACCATCTCGTTCATCTTGGCGAACTCCTGCATCTTCATGTACTCGGTAGTCTTGGCGTACTCGGCCATCTTCTCCATCTCGTAACGCTTCGCCATGTCCTGCGACATCTTGTTCAACTCCGTCATTTTGCTAAACTCCGCGAGCTGGGCCATTTGAACTATGTGCTCAGGTACTTTGCCCCTCTCCATCATCTGCTTCAGCTCCGCCGATATCTTGTTCATATTCATCTCCGACATCTGGGCTATCGTGGCGGCGTCCGGCATCTTCGACAGCTCCGCGATCTTGGAGATCTCCCGGGCGAGGTTCTCGTCCAGGCAACGCTTCTTCTTGGCGCGGTGCCTGGCCATACGCTGGGCCTCCTGCATCCTTCTCAGTGCCGCTTGCTCCTCGGTCTCCTTAGCTCGGGCGCTCTTCATCCTCTCCGCAGCCGTGTACAGTCTAATAGCACGCTCCTCCGCTGTTTCTGACATTAGGTTCTCTCTCTAGCAGTCTCTGTGCTCTCGCATCTCCCTTTTACCTCCTCAAGGTAAGACCTTGTCTCAGTTCTGAGCACAATACATTAACATGAGTGACATCGACCTTATTCCCAGCGTGGGCTATCATCCTTACAGTTTATTATCTCAAGGGAAATCTAACAGTACGGATATATCAATATACGAGCCTGAACTCGTACCAACTTCTACCAGCCTCTTCTGCTCTTGGTGAATGCAAAACAGTTGTCAGTCTACTTATGCGCGAGACCACGGAGGTAGAAAGAGCGTCCTCATCGGTGAGCCAACTGCAACAGACAACAGCGTCGTGACACATCGATAACATGTTGCAACAGATAACGCAAGCAAAGGGCCTGTTTCTTTCTTAGCTGCACTGTTACTGAAACAGCAACTTCGTTGTCCTCACCTTTTAACACGTTCTTTAACGCTATGAACATGGACTAAGTTAGTCTCGCAGGTTTTCACGCTGAAAGCGTCGTCCCTATCTTCATTTCTCATCACATGCTGAAGGAAGACAGAGCGATAAGCTCTCGGCACGAAAGCGTGCAAGACGAAGTTAGCCTCGAGAGGCAAGAAGTGCGAGCTGCCAAGAAGGAACAGACCCACGGACTCTCGAGGCGAGCGAGATCGAAGCGTCGTCGTCGCGGATCAATCGTGTTCCTACCGTTATTGTTGGTTACGTCGGCGCGCTCGCGGACAAGCGATCCTCGGCTCCTCTTAAGACGAACGCTGCCTCGGCGTTGACGATGCGTGAATCGGTCGGCGGGAAAAACGATCCTCCTGCGGGTGCAGAATACAAGCGTGAGAGGAGAGCGCAGACAGGGGGGCCACGTCGTTGGGAATTTTTCGGCAGCACGTGCGCCAGAGAATAACCGACAAAGAGGAGTGCGTTTTCGAAACTACCTGCGCGCGTGTGTGACCACCGGCGACTAGTGGCGAGACGTGTGTGTGGTGTTACTCATACGTACGTACGTACACACACAAACACGTTTATTCGCTTACGCCACTATCGAGAAACTGTGTATACACACACACACACACAACACACATCAGTACTTCTTGATTTTGTGTACCGCGTCGTCACGCGCGACCACGTCGTAGCGTCCACCGGTGTGCTTGTGTAGTGTATGTGTGTATATATGTGGCGCGTGTGTGTCACTGTACGTGTCGCGTATCTCCCTCTCTTTCTCTCCGGCGACGAAAATTCGAAAGAAGCACCGTCGTCTCGTCCGCTAAGCGCATGCGCCGACAGCTAAGAACGCCGTCTTCTCTTTCGTCGCATACACATGTACACACATACGCAACCTCGCGCGGCTCCTCCACTCGCTCCTCTCGCCGCCGATCACAACAATGGCGGACGCAATTCGGCCGATCCGCTGAAACGCACCGTCCACCCAGCCGGGTGAGAAATCGCGCGCTCTCGAGCTCCCGCGTTGCGTCCGCGCGTACCTCGCGACCGGCCACGTCCGTCGGTCCGCCTCGTGTCGCGATCCGGTCGGCTTTTCCCGTGCTATTCCCGCGGGCGAGCGCACAAAAGCGGGGTATCGGCCGACACGTAAGATTTTCGTCCGAGGAGCCACTTTAAGGGGCCAAGCGGGGTCGTCGCCGATAGGCTGCGTGTGACGTGGTTGCGTTTATTGACCATAACCCCTTCCTATACTACCGTCTGCAACTTCACGACGGACAGGTGTACGACCTGCCTGCTAGAGGGATCGCAAAACTATTGACCGCGGCGCGGCGCCTTCGCACATCTTTCCGTATTCTCGAGGGCGAGAGGAAGACAGAGAAAGAGAGGGAGAGTGGCGTCTTCGGATACGTGTATGCGTACGTGAGTCGCGTGTGAGAGGGCAAAGCGAAGAAAAGGGAATCGAGACGGCGGACATCGATCGGGCGGAACGGCCCGTCTCGACGTCGATTATCGAGTGGACGAGACACCACGGATGTTTCCCTGCGAATTCTTGGGAATTTCGCGGCAGAGACGTGTTCCTGTTGCGAAAGGACTCGGCGGGAATAAACATCGTAATGTGATGGTGAGAACAAACCGTGACACTAATCTTTGAATATGTCTGTATATGTCTCGATCGACGTGACGTTGCGAATTCGAATGGATTCCCGATCGACGATTTTTTAGTGACGGATAGAATGATACTTGTTTCTGCTGGAGATTTAAAAAAAAAAACGTAATCATTATTCTTTGATTCTGACTGTAATGTAGAGGATAAAGTACATTTTTGCATCATGTGAAAAGTTTTGTAGGGATTGGTATTTTGTGGTCTGAGATTTAACAGAAAACAGAGACAGGATTGGTGAGCGTAATTTCTGTATATATATAAAATACTTTGTTTCAGATTGTACATATATATAAAGCTTAGAAAGGAATGATCTATGGCATACCGTACATATTATAGTACCTCTGAAGGAATTCATTAGTTCGAAGTGCTGTACAAAGTATATTATATAGATCCATCCTATTCAATATGTACATTTCATCTTACGAATACTATTTTCTTCTGTCGCTAGTCATTCTTCCTATGTATCTCTTCTTCAAACTTTGGTCATGGCTTGGATGGGAGTTATTTGTAAATAATTAAAATTTCAATACCTGAATAGCTTAAGCGGTACTGCGAATTTTACCTTTCTTTACACATTAAATTAATCTTTGGCAAGTTATTTCTTTTAATTGCATTTCTCTTGGGGCATAAATCTCTAGTTGTGCCTCTTTACCTGATCATCCTTGAGTAGTAGCGTGTAGTAGATAAAATCTATCTGTAATCTATATCAAAATAAAGTATATCGGAATTACAACAGGCCTTATCGATATCCTGAGCACGATAAAAGATTCATACGGTGAGATGAGAAACCTGAGACTAAATTTTGTTAGTGATTATTAATTCGTCCAGTCCCATTCTTCCTCGATGCTTCCATATCCTAAATCTGGCGACGTCTTTTCGCGTGATAATACCGACCACCTGTATGTGTGTGAACAAAGAATATACTTTCAATTAAATAAATACAGAAATACCTGACTCATTCAGTCAAGCTACACGGATTCTACCACGTTACCTCGTTTGTGTCATTCACCACTGGTAAATGGCGTAATCCTAACGCTCTGAACAGTCTGAAGGCTCTTGGCAGTGTTGCGGACTGCAAGGAAATGGAAAGTTTCAGAGGTTTCCACACGAGATGTCGTAACATATAATAATATAAAAATTACTAACGTGTTGTAACGTATACGGAGCAGGATTCATGAAATGTCTCAGATCTATCGTGAAGGTTTTCTCCTCGCTGGTGACAGCGACTTGCTCGATGGTTGGATACCTGGGATATTCTTTCCGAAAGATTTTGATGTCCAACGACTTGTCCCAAGACTCCGCGTACTCGTTGAATATTTTGTTTTGCAACAACACTATTAGCTGAGAACGCAGTATCAGACCACGGAATCGACCGTAAGTACTTATTTCACTCTGAAACGGTGAAGCCAAGGTCATGAAGCAAGCTCGAAGCACGTACATGAGATCGTACTTGATGAGGCCACTTGGAGACTACTGTAAGTTACCTGGTCGCTGCTCGGTGGATCGACTACCGGGAACCCGTTGTACGTAACGCACTTCAAAAGCTCGATGATGTGCCCCACATTTTCGACGGTCCTCAGGGTCACCACCGGATGACTCATAATTTCACTCGCGTAAATGTTACTCGACAACGGCGGCGGCTCCCACGGGATAAGCGGAATTCCGGCCATTTGCGTGTGAATGTCGTAAATTCCCTGAAGGAAACAAAGAGCTGAAGAGTCATCGAAAGTAGTAGGCGTGCACGTGCGTGACGCGAGCGCATTAATACGCGGACCAAGTGCCGGTTGGTAGCGTTCCTTTCAGCTGAACTGGCTGCGCTAATTCAGGAAATTCGACGCACACATTGAAGCGTACGAAACGTACAAGATTCTCACGCTTCAGGGCGCGTACATTTCTCAAACTGGTACCAGCCAGTTCATCTAAGATCAGATCCCAAATGTGTGTCGGCCAAAGTTTGAAGACGTACCTCGTTGAAGAAATCGCCGACCCACTTGGCCATTATAAGAACTACGATGACAGGCAGACCGAAGGATATACCTTGCGTAGCTTCTATCAGAATAGCGGTTAAACTAATCGTCATTCGGACCACCCCTCCCAATTGGGCGGCGGCACCCAGTAAAGCGTACTTGCCAGGATCCAGTACTACCTGCAACAGTACAAACAAATGAGAATGTGCAGTTTCGGGCGAATTATCTCGGATGATTTCAAGCTCGCGCGCTCTCTTACGCAATTCGGCCATATCTTCGCGAGACCCGATCCCATCAGTCTTCCCCATGCGGATCCGATCAACAAGGAAGGAATGAAAAGCCCGCTCGACATTGACAGGCCGAAGGTGGAAGCAGCAAGGAAAAAGTACAACACAACGAAAATGGCCAACGTCATGTCGTTGTGAGATCCTGTATTACGTACACAATGCACTTGTTATTTTATAGTATATTAGATGCACAAATTAATTCGGTGCCATTGCATTCAATGTCCTCTAATTCTGGTTCAAGCTTAAATTTTCTCTGTTTATATATACAAAGTGCAAAACGTGCTCGTGAGCACACGTACACACCGTACCTTTCGGATCGTGAAACAGAGATCGCACGCTGCTCTCCGGAGTTTGAAACCACAAACTCGCGACTGCGTTGTACTCTCCGCTCTTGCAGTACATCTGAACCGGATACTTGGTGGGGTCCTTGCCCAACGGCTTGCAGTCGTCGATGAAGTATATCATCAGGAAGCCCAACGTCGCGCTCAGTACCGCCACGGAGACAGCCTCCATTACTTTGAGCCACCTTCGTGTAACGAAGCGCAAACGGAAGCAGGTGATCTTGTAATTGACGTGATTCCAAAGCGCGCCAAGAAGGCCGCCGAGCGTGCCCATCAGCATGAACAATGGGATCTCGTAAACTTCATAGGGGATCGACCCGAATTTCCCCAGATTCGACAAGCCCGGATAGGAAAGATCGCCAGGATGACCGTGGTACGCACTCAGGACTATGTTTAGAGTGAACGTGGTGATCATACTGGCGAAAAATGTCCTCCACGTGAGGCTCTGATTGAAGAAACTAGTGCCTTCCTCTATACTGAACAACACTCCGCCTGAAATATTGAAACACGTACTTCTCTTGCTTGCAGCGACCAATCAAGTTATTATTATTACTGTTATTTAACTTTACAGAACATGGTTCTTCTCGTTTCAACGATTCTCACCGATCGGTGCTCCGAAAGCCGCCGACACTCCGGAAGCAGCGCCTCCCGACACAAAGTCTCGTTTCTCGTGGTCCTCCCTGAAGTATTTAAATATATTCAGGTCTTTTCTGAAGGTCGTACTCTTGCCCTGAGAAATTCCCGCGGCGACAACGGCGCCAGAATGTATCATAGGACCTTCCTACGCAGAGAAGACGAATATAGACGGAGTCTGAGGAGTGTCGGGAATCGACGATAAACTATTCACCTTGCCTCCAGCTAGACCTCCGACTACCGTACATATAACACCGATAGTTTTCACAGCCAGAGTCTTGATACGCACGACTCGTGGTACCTTGACACCGTTTAGGTAACATTTCACCTGCGGAATACCGCTCCCTGCGGCGACAGGTTCGACGTAGGCCACTAGAATAGCACCTATTAACACTGGAATTATATTCAAACCCAACCATATCGCATATGGCAACCAAAGGCAATTCTCCATCACACATTGGTCCACATCTGCTGTCTGTATAAGGTTAAATATAATGCATGCTACTTTGTGTGTCACAGAAGTGCGTTATGTGTGTGTATACATAAATGCAGGATACATTTCTTAAGAAAGCCATACTTCAGGTTGGATAATTCTTCAATCGACACATCTACGAAACATGCTATGAGAGCAGTGCAGATTCCTATCAAGAGAAAGATGAACCATCTGGCGAAGTTCTTCTTGACAATGAACTTGTAGCCCTTCTTCCTCTCTTCATCTTGTAAAAGGTAATTTTCGCACGTATCGTAATCTAAACTCTGAAAAAAAAAAAGAAACAAAGATGTAATTAATCCATGCGGCTGTGTTTTGTTTACCGTGCGAATCTTAAAGTTATACATTACTGGGGGAAGATAAGATAAAAAAAACATATGATATTAATACCCAATTGTACGTATTTTTTAAAGAGATCAAAGGTTTGTACGTCGATAACACTGCACGACTAATTGCGATGCTGCAATTACCTCGTAATTGGTTGACAGGAAGTTTGTCGCTCCTGGGGTTATGTCCCCGATATTCAGCCTCCTCGGGTTCTGACCCGAGATACCCTCCGCAATGTTGCATTCTCTGATACTGTTACTGATGATACTCTGCGAATAGTAGGGCGTTTCTATAAATACGGTTCCGCACGCGACATTCGCCAGCAGTCAACTTAAAAAACACGTTCTTATGCAAGTAACAAAACAAAAGGAAGATGACGAAAAGCGTGACAACGGAAACACGCTACTGCTTCCTGCTGCAGTAGGCAGCCCTTTCTTCCAACCAACTCACGCGAAATCGCACGCTGGTGTCGTCATTGGAGTACGACGCAAAATTATTCCTCGGCTTGATCAGCTTCTCACGATCCTCCTGGACGTACGTGTCGATGCTGCCCTCGTCGTCCCGATTAATCCCGACGACGCTCGTCGACGGATCTGTCATTTTCACGTGTGTGCGTGCGTGTGGTTAGGATTCCCTTCACCGCATTTTACTCAGCCTGTCGCGTCGTTCGTGAGACGATCGAAGTGCCGGAGAAACGTTTCTGCGCTATTAAATTTACATCCTGTCTATCGCGGAGGCATAGGCGAACGACGCGACGCGCACGATAGCTATGTGTACACAAGCTGACGCACATGAGGAAAAGATAGAGATCGTTCAACCGAATCGGAAACGGCGGTAGTGAACACGTGACAGGACGAGTGATTCATCACTGGGCGATTACGGAGGAACGCTAGCCAGCCACGACAGCGATCGACGAAGTCGATAAAGCGCGTCGGGGCGCGTCGATAAATGGCGCGCTTCTTGATTTTATCACGTGGCGACTGTAGATCTGTTCTTTATCGCTGAATTGGCTCAGATCTGCTTGCGGAATGAAACAAACAGGCCCAGGAGGAAACGGTGAGAGGAATGAGGAACGAGGAATTAAATATAGGGAATTAAAAATAAGCCGGTGTTTCAAAGACAATAATAGAGAATGAAAATATACGCTGAGAAAAAGATCCCTTCAAATTTACCAAGTTTTATTACATCCAAACAAACTTCATCATTGGCATGCTCCAAAGAAGCTAATGTTTCGATTATTAAGTACGATTGTGGGACTGAGAATATGTATCTTTATCTCAAATAAACAAAATTTAGTTAAAACGAAAGATAATTTTCTTACGAAAGAACTTTTCCAAGGAAATTATCTGTTTCATTTTACATATTTATCGTGACCGAATAATTTTATCTGGTTGAAAGATATTATTATCCATTCGTGGTTTCCTCGCCGGTTTGCCGTTCAAAAGTTCTGGCTCTCGACGTTCCTGACTTCGAGGAAAAGGGTGAACAGCGTGTGAAGGGCCTCCAGTCGGGCGCCGTCGCGCGCCGGTATGTCCAGGAGGTTGCAGGCGACGTCGACCAGCTGCGGCAGGCTGCACTCGAGGTCCGACAGGTCCACCTGCAGCTCGTTGAACTTCTCCTCCACCTGGGTCGGCCACTGCTGCATCAGTCCGTCGATGTCCGGCATCGTCCGGTTGATCTGCACCGCCGGCGGGTGCTTGCTCCGGTGCAGCTGATTCATGTCGTCGATCCACTTGTCGATGGACCTGCCGTTCCTCTCGGCGTCCTCGATCCGCTTGACTACCGCCTGCCGAGCGGCACCGGCGCTCCTCGAGTGGCTGCGCAGCTGCAGATGTAGCACCGCCGGGTCCGACTGGTCGGTACACGGCTCGTCCAATACCGTCAGGCCGATCTTATCCTCCACACCGTCCGGCCTGGGCACCTTTATGAAGGCGTCTATGTCGCCGACCGCCGGTATGTAGTCGGGAATGAACGGTATCAGCTTGTAGTTCAGCTCGATCCTCTGCGGCGTGTACCTGCGCGCGGTCGATCAACGCGGAAATCAGCGATACTCGTTAGAGTGATATCTTGTCGCCGATCATTGCCGTGTGAACTTCTTGTGAAGACGCCCGGAAGACGTTCTATCTTTTTTTAGACACAGATGGAGACTCTTTGACACCAAGACTGCCCAGTTAGTTTTCGAGCATAAGACCGGGGGTATGTAGAAAAACGTAAACAGTGAGATTTAATAAATATGTAATGTTAACTTTTTTATATTAGTATATATTGTGTACAAATAATATGTTATTTTCATTTAATATTTCTACGATAGTCCATAAAATTATTCCAATTTCAGCTAGTAAAACCGCCACTCGTATGTGAGTAACTGGGCAGTCCAAGCGTTAATAAAACAAACAAGTAGATAAATCTTGTCTTAATTTAAGCAAATTGGAAACTGGAAGCGAAAACAAGATGAATATGTCAAAAAGACTGAATATGGCTGAAAAAAGTAGGACGTCTCTCAGGCATCTTTAGAAGTTCGTGTTCAGTGGAGGATTTATATAGAAACTAGTGATGCTGAAGCATCAAAGCCTCCATTTCAACCCCTCCATTATCCCCCTTCTTTTCACCTATTTATAAATAATCAATGAGCCCTTGAAATAGTATTAACATTTCCTGAAAAGTCGCTATCCGCCACTGTATTGTTAGGATTTATTATGTAACTCGCCTTGTTATGTTTTGAAATAACTCCTTGACCTCCGTCGACGCCTCCAGGTTCTCGAATTCCTTCGGATTGTACAGGTCGACTGGTTTCGCAACATTTGTACCCTGTATGTCATCATCGTCGCTTTCCTCGCTGTCCGAGGGATCGCTACCGATATCTATCGGCTTGCTGAAGCTGAGTTCGTTGCCCGAATATCTGCGCATATATCAATACACAATAATATATGATTAAGTTCTCTCTCGATGTAAGAGAGCGCGAAGGCGATTTTTCTGAATTCACTTTGCTGTGTTTATAAATAAATTCGTGCGACACGAGGAGTAATTTATCAAGGGGAAAGAGGAGCCGACGCGATACAGTTTCCCACACAACGTTACAAATCGAATCGATTGACATGCTACTCGCATGGGTCACCTTCGAAAATCGTGTTTCCCGCGCGGCGAGCTCGACTCCAACGTGTTCGAGCTGTCACTCGTCAGTATGGCTTTCCTGCTCTTTCTGGAAGTGGAAGGCCTCAGATTCACAGGGCTCTTGATCTCCTCGGCGTTACGCACCACAATGGTCTCGTCGAACTTGTCGAACGGTGCCGGGACTTCGCGCCGCGTCTCCTCCTCGTCCTCGCTGCTCTCCTTAGCGTCCATCGTCGAAGAACGTCCATGAGCACGTCCTTCGACGATCGCTCTCAGGGTCTGTATGACGGTGGTGGGCGAACGGATGCACGAATTGCACGCTAGGAAGCTTGCAAATTGTTTGTTCGTGGTAGCGAAAAGAAAAGAAAAAGAAACGACACGTAAGTCGAAACTCCTATGTTCGTCGCATCGGCGCGCGGAGTGGGGGTGTGTTTCCCTGACGTTGCCATGGTTCTCTGTTTCAGGGTTCGATCGTTGCCTCGTCGGCTGTTCGACGAGCGTGCCGCACCACGAATATCGCGAATTAACTTTCTCAGTATCCCTGAAAAACTTAATATTTTCAATTTTAATTTCAATTTCAATGTCAACTTCAACTTCAATGTTAATTTTAATTTCAATTTTAATTAACTCCATTTCAATTTTAGTTTCGATTTTAATTTGAGTTTTAATTTCTTTACTTCGAACATTATCGATATAAAATGTAATGAATATTACTGTGAATAAACATTTACAAATGACAAAATTCCTTGAGAAAGAGAAATCTCGTCACATGACAGATATGTTTATGCCACTTGGATATTAAATCAACCGCATCTGATGACACGAATTAACGAGATGCGGGTGATGAATCAAATCCGTCGAGATATATTGCAACAATAAAATTGCCTTTTTCCTATCCTAATTAGCATTAGCATTTTACGATATCACATATAACATTTAATGTTTTAAATTTTCGCTGTTTGGTGAAATATTTTTTTTTATTTTAATAAATTTATCGTTGAAGAGATTAATAAAAATCGATAGTCGCGCGTCATAAAAGACCAAGAACGTCCGAAATTTTCGATAGTTCCCACGTAATGTTAGAATGACTTTCTCGCGACTTTCGCAACAGCATCCCGAGTTACCAGATTAGTCTCGGGTAATTCTCTACTTGGTTTACAAGTGATACTCTTCATCTCGTCGACACGGCAAATGTGGAAATCCCCGACCTCAATGACACGAATTAACGAGATGCGGGTGATGAATCAAATCCGTCGAGATATATTGCAACAATAAAATTGCCTTTTTCCTATCCTAATTAGCATTAGCATTTTACGATATCACATATAACATTTAATGTTTTAAATTTTCGCTGTTTGGTGAAATATTTTTTTTTATTTTAATAAATTTATCGTTGAAGAGATTAATAAAAATCGATAGTCGCGCGTCATAAAAGACCAAGAACGTCCGAAATTTTCGATAGTTCCCACGTAATGTTAGAATGACTTTCTCGCGACTTTCGCAACAGCATCCCGAGTTACCAGATTAGTCTCGGGTAATTCTCTACTTGGTTTACAAGTGATACTCTTCATCTCGTCGACACGGCAAATGTGGAAATCCCCGACCTCACTGACACGAATTAACGAGATGCGGGTGATGAATCAAATCCGTCGAGATATATTGCAACAATAAAATTGCCTTTTTCCTATCCTAATTAGCATTAGCATTTTACGATATCACATATAACATTTAATGTTTTAAATTTTCGCTGTTTGGTGAAATATATACAATTTGGTTTTCAAATTAATACTGCGTTCTTCATGGACTTGTGGACTCTCCTAATTTATTTCCTTAGGAAACAAGCCCGCGAACAACGCGGTGTTAACTCGAAAACCAAATCAAACGTAGATGTGCAAATTGATTCGGTGCCTTTTTTCACGAAATTCAAAGTTTACTTACAAAAAGTCAAGTACAAGTTTGATGTTCGAGATAATTTCCATTATTTTCTATGACTTTGCTCCATCTATCGGGCAGCTGATGAATGCCCTCGCGGAAAAAACTTGGCGGTTTTGACTCAACAAAGTCATCAGTGCTTTTTCGAATCTCGTCGACTGTTTTAAAACGCGTATCCGCCGGATGATGTTGAAGCGACCGAAATAGGTGGTAATCCGACGGGGCTGGATCTGGCGAATAAGCCGCGCGTGGGAAAATTTCCCAGCCCAATGTACAGATAAGATCCTTCGTCTCTTTTGCGGCATGCAACTTTCAAAGCACTTTCAAATCAGCGTAGGGCGGGGAAAAAATTTTAATTTGAAGTTAAAAAAATTTTAATTTTAAATTTGAAGCGTTACAAGATTACAAATGTAAAAGCACCGAATTAATATATGATAATTATACCATTTATACTTTATATTTATTTACACTTGTAATTTCCACGTTCCTTCCTCTGCGTTCACGTAAGAACGAAGAGTGCGACTCGAGGCCAATCTAATAAAGAGCGAGTAGAAATGTCGCGTTACGACATGGCTGTAATAAATCATGGTCAATTTACTCAAGTCGATTCGCGTGAATATAATCCAAAGAGGGAAAGAGAGAGAGAGAGAGAAATAGACACTGTCCGCGACGATAAATGCAGCTATTGTTTTATGATAGATAAAATAGACAAAAGCAATAAACCGCTCTCTCGCAATCCCTTTATCGCTCGATAACGTACGCGCCAAAAGGTCTAATCTCCGAATGAGCGAGAAAAAAATTGCGGAATCAGTCGGTGAGAAACTGCGAACGTAATAAAGCGTTTATTAACGTCGTTTAAAAAGTCGTTTTACAAACACCCGCGATCCCGCCGATATATGCGCGCGCGGACATCGCCGTGAGAAAAGATACCGGATAAAAATAAAAACCGTTTCGGAAGAGGAGAGACGCGATTGTGAAGGACCGCGTCGAAAAAACGATATAAACAGCAACAAGGAAAATCGTTACATTTATGTACGCAGCGTTGAACAACGACTTGTTCTGCGCTGAATTCAGTGGAGCGAATCCAAAGGATGTTTATCCTGTCTGAACCTGTTCTAACTGGAAGAATATTTGCGCGTAGACCGCATCAAGGACTTTCAGCAAAACTTGATCGAGCTGATCGATGAATAATAATAAAAATTCAGTGCCACTACTAGTTCTAGTTTCCAGTTTTATAATTGTTATCATTCAAGTAATCGATAAGTTAATATGTGTAACAAGATAGAATAAGTGATACTCGACTGACAACAATTTTAAATTGTCTATTAGCTTAATCCCAGCTAGTCACACTTATTTTCAAATCTTTAATTCGTCACGTTCCGTTCGATTTTGCCACCTCGTCATTTGCCTTATAATTAATATTTTTAAGCTTGTATTATGGAAATATAATCTAAATAAGATTTATGATATCAGTTTATGAGGGTTATGATATCAGGTCGATAAAATTATTTCGGTTTAAACTAAACTTATTATTATAAGAAAGAAAGTGTTTTCAGTCTTGCAAATGCCGTTTAAGAAAAAGTAATGTTCGTTCGTTGCACATCGGACATTTTAAGAACAAAAAAATAGTATGCCATATAAAATTAGAAAATCGAAAAAAGAAACGTTCAGCGGTTCATTGGACCAAATGTGACGAGCTAAGGTTAATTCGATTTCAGACTATTGAAAATTCGAGTAAAAATAATTGTAATAAAAAAATTGGAATAAAAAGTTAGACTATTGCAAATTGGAATTTGAGCATATGATGAATTTGACTAACACGAGCCAAGATCGAAACTATTTGCTCCATCAAATTCTGACTTCTCATTCGGAATCTTTAGAGTGACTCAACTAAGTTAAACTCCGATTAAGTTAATCGACGAGTTTAAGTTGTTCTTATCAGTCAGATGTTATTTGCTCTACTTTGTTGTCACAGATAGGAATGAACTTGCCGATTATTGTTGAGCAATAAGTTACAGAACTGAGAATTGGCTTTGACAATCCTTACTATCGTTCATCGACTGGCTTAATCGAAAGTTCGGTAGAAAGCCACCTTTAATCTCCGATACTAGCCTGATGTTAGTTTTACGATTCCTTCAGACAGAATGGAACAAGTATCGTTTGTATTTGCCCCAGTAGATTTAACGCGGGACGAATTGTCGTCCATGGGTGTACAAAGATAATCGAAAATCGCCGGTCGATCGGGCGAGTTTCTCTGAATAAATCGCAGCTTTCTTTCCCGACGAAGAAGAAGGAGGAGGAGGAGGAGAAGGAAGACAACCCTCTCGTCTCGGTCGGGAAATATCGTTGAACTGCTGACGGGTCTCTTCGTGTTGCGTACAACTGCGATTTCTCGTCCTCGACGACCTCCTCTACACGGGATACTTCCCGTAGACGTGGCCGCTCCTGGTGCGCCTCATCAGCCATTCCCGGGGCATCGTCTGCACGACGAGGCGGCTCGATTGCGTCCTGACGCAAGCGCGAGGACACTTCGGACGGTCGGAGCGCGCCTTGTGATTCGAGAGTCTCGGCTCTGCAAGAAACGAGGAAAAGAACGGGTCATGCAAGAAGACGCACCTTTTCCCGAATCGCTTTCACCGAATCGCGAATTTTGCAATGAACGCATCGCAACTTACGACATTTATAGGAGGACTTATGCGAGGCGGAAAACCCTACCTGCTGCGGACGCGCTGCTTCTCGACGGGCGAGAAATTCTCTGCCTCTCGGTGACGACGACGTCTCGTGAGTCAACGGAGTTGTCGCAGGAAGCGTGATGACACCTGACGACCATCCGCGAGCTCGTGGGCTTCCGGGGCCAGCAGGACGTCGCTTCGGCGTCATAGGACATCGGAGTCCTGCGGTCACAAAGACGGGTCTCTTAATTTAGGCTCGCAAGCGAGCTAATTTTCCTCGGTGAGCTTTGGGAAACACACACGGCTGAGCGAGAGAGAACTCACGGCTCGATTCGTCGAGCCATCTCGTTCTTCGGGGAATTCGCGGAGAGGATCATGAAGGCGAAGATGAGCCCGCAAACTGCGAGGAGCACGACGACGTCGGCGACGGGACCGGCTGGCTGCGGCGCGACGCCCCGTATCTTCAGGTTCGCGTGGTCGAGATCCTCCTCCGCCGGCGCGAGCCACGTGAACTCATGGAAAATGAAGTCCTGCGACAGAGAGATTCTGTTTGCTGGTTTTTCATTTCCCTACGCGGTAAAAAGCATTTTGCACTTATGTTAAAATCGGTCCTTGTTGCAATTTTTGTGTTGAATCGTTAACATACTCGTGTTTTAACGTATTGCGTTTATGTATCCCAACATTTTGCGTTGCGCCGATTTTCAACGTGTGTAAATGTTAAAATAATATCTTGTATTTTAGTGTCGATTAACATATTAATTTTATGTTAATTATTAACATAAGAGAAAGGAAGGTTTGCGTAGTTCGCCGGCCAGAGAAACTCGACTCTGTCGAAACGATAAAATGCGCACGATATATTGACGTAAGTAATAAGTAATAATGCGATAAGCAATATCGCGCTCCGTTGTTTTTTCTTTGGCAATTTCCCCGGGTAGTTACGTCTCATTCTTTCCGGGAGAAGACATACTCGCAGGAATATCAGAATTTGCTGGGCGATCAGCTGGACGAAGTGATACGCGTCCCTTAGATTGTCCATCGACCATCGCCAGCCGCCGATCATCTTCGGGCCGATTAGATTTTTCCTTTTTAGAAAATATGCGCGACTATTCGCCGTGTCATCTCTCGCCGGGAAACACGTCGCCCTACGATCCGCTGACTGGAAAAATTTGACAGCAGGCGACGACGGACGAACGGATAGTCTTTTTTTTTTCACAGAAATCGCATCTTCGACACTTGTCTTCCTTCCTCAAGCTGTCAAAATGACAGATCGACCGAATAATAATAAACAGTCACAATCCAGACACGTGAACAATTAGGATGACCGAAGAGAGAGTTTTAACTTAATAAAAATGCAAGATGTAAAATAAGAATGTAAGATAATAAAATTTAAAAAAGTATAAAAATGTGAAATAATGAAAATGCAAAATGTAAAATAATGAAGATGTAAAACGTGTAAAATAAAATATTAAAGCTTTACTGAGGCTTGATGTATTACTGATAATAAAAATTAATCGAGCGATTTAAAATTATCATAATAATGTCGCATGCGCGCATTCACGTCACCGGCGTGATGCCGCGCTTCAGAATATAACGTAATTCCTCTCTGCTTTATCCTGTGGGCGTACACGTTATGATGCACTTACGCGAATGCAACCTTGGACGCAAATAAGATGATGTGTAGAAGTCACTTTCGCGCTCGTTGATACAAATATCGCGCGTGCACCGGCGAAGTGTGACGGTGGCAAAGAGGACTATATCAAAACATGTTTATTGATAAATTCATTAATAATACACTCCCCTTTAGTCCGAATTGCCATATGCAAGGGACGCATGCCGGAGCGTTCCGCAAATCGTTACGGTAAATATTGATACGACCTTGCGCACCGAATAATTCGTTCTCGATAATAGTAGAAAAATCAGCGATAATAGAAAGAAGACAAAAGCAAAGTCTCACCGAGCGACGTTGATCGCGTCGGCGGATCAATTTGCGCATTATTGGCGTTAGCGAGACAATCCAATGAAAAGCGCAGGATGAGCTCATTACTCATGTGTTTCATTTTCAGCGAGCTATGTACATTCGTTCCCTCATATTTTCGCCTCGTTCGCACGACGGGGAAACACCGACGTTAATGATTTCTCAACGGCGATGCTACTTACACGTGAACGTTGAAGTGATCTTGAATAACCTTCAGTAAGACCAAGGTTATCATCTAATGCAAACATTTTTCACTAATTAATGATTTACTTCGGAGATATTAGTCTGAAGCGATTAAAATTGAGCACCCCGTATACTTCGTGAAGTGTATCCAAATATATTCTCATAGTATATATATACATCTAGTTTTCTATCTCAAACTTTACATTTCTCTTTCAGTATCTGTATCAAGTCACTTCAAAAGATGTATCTATTACATCACTGCATATATAGAGACAGATGTCTATGATGATTAGGGTTTAAAACGTTGATAACAACGAGATGATAACGACGAAGACGCGGGAACGTCGATTCATTCTCATCGTTTCTCGACAGCGCGCGTTCGCGTTTATTTTCATCGCGTCGACGCGAAATTCGCTTATAAAAGTAATCCGCCAGTCTCGCCGTCGCATCGCTGCGACGACGCGATCTTAATGGCTTTACGATCCCTGACCTGGTCTCTTTTCGACATACGAGACGAGACAGACAGACACTCGCGCGACGTCGGCGTTCGCTCTCTTTCTCTCTCGCTCGCATTTATTTCGTTGCTGCGCCTCCACCGTTAACCGTGTGATAATTCCATTGCGTAATCAATGTATGCGATAACGTTTCTTGTCCACCTTGACCAGTTGTTAACCACGCGCGGAAATAATTAAGTCTTTTTGCATAATTGGAACTGCGAAATCGCTTTCCGAAATAACTCTTTCAACCTCGCCTCACCGAATAACGTTCGTTTCTTTATCACCACGTCTCTCACATTACTTTTATCGGAGTGGAAGCTAGTAGCCGGGCGAGTCCGGCAAGGAGGAGCGATGAAGGAGACGTTCCACGGGAATCCTGCGAAAAATCGGTTTTCGCAAACAATTCCTTCTCCTCCTCCTCCCCGAGGAGACCCACGAGATGACAGCTTCTTCTTCGGGAAAGCTGCTTCCAATGTGTCGTCATTCGAGAGGTGTGACGACACCGGTTCAGCGCATGAGGGAATTATGAGGATAGAAAAGCCGAGACACGTGACACACGTGAAGCGGTTGCGTGCTGTCGGCGAACGCTACGCGAGGTACACACAGTTATGCGATCGGTACCTGAGCTAAAGAGCAGAACTTTACCGAGCTTCTAACGTAATTTCTTGACCAATCCACGGCCGACGTCGACGAGTGGGATATCTTCGGGCCGCGGATGCAAGGAGCGCGAGTATTTATATCCTTCGCCAATCCGGAAGACGTCGACAGACGCGCGTGTGGCCTTAACAGATGTGAAATCAACGGTGCCGCGCTTCCGAATGGATCCGATCCGCGGTGGATCCTACCGATAAGGATTTTTCCAAGTTCGCGATATCGCGAGAGGGAGAGAGATCGAGAAACGGATTAATCGGTCGGATTAAAATCGCGAGTGACCATGTCGGCGACGTTCGCTTGAGATGCAGTGTTATCGCCATGAAAACAGGATTACTAGCCTTAGGAGGTTTAACGGGAGTGCTTAGAAGCTTAGAGACGAACTCTTAAGTATTGGGGAGATAGCGACAGTCCTTCCTTCTCTCTCTCTCTCTCTCTATCTATCTCTTGTTTTTATCTTTCTTTATCCTAGGTAGGGTATCGCGATCGTTAGTTCTCGCGATCGCGGATCACGATTCTCGATATCTTATCACGAAGTATTTGCGAACGAAGATAGAATGAAGATTGCTTCCCTCCGAGAGGAAGATTACTACTTGAAGATGCTGGCCTGAGACTTACGACTTCGAGTAGTCCGGAGAACAGTTTCGTACGACGATTAGTGCCGCCGTATCATCGTGGGAGAGAAATAATTTCTTTCGCGCCTCTCTCTCGCTTCTCTTCTTTTCTTCTTCTTCTTCTTCTATCGCCTGGTACGACGCAGTCCCGCCAACATGGCGAAAATAGAGGATAACGCTTATGTAAGATTTTCCCGGATTGTAACGCTCCTACCCTCACATGTGTGCGTACAGGGGACGTTGTTTCCTTCAGTCGGATACTTTCGCGCGAGAATCACGAGAACCGTTTTTCAGAAAGGGAATGGATACACCAACGAGGCATTCCAGCTGGAGGACACTCTGCGTTACGACTCGAAGGATACAATTCCACCCGATCGGCGAGCGGAACAACCGGAAAAACCAGTGCGTATACCAGTGCGACATCGTGTCGGAAATCGCGCAGCAACTTGTGAATAACGAATTCCCAATCGTGTCAGGTAGAGGCGGAATGGGGCGGTAGACTGGAGTTCCTGATGGCCTGCATAGCCACTTCCGTCGGGCTCGGGAACGTCTGGCGGTTTCCGTTCACCGCCTACGACAACGGAGGCGGCGCCTTCCTCATACCCTACATCATAGTCCTGATCTTGGTCGGGAAACCGTTCTACCTGCTGGAGGCGCTACTGGGACAGTTCACCGGCAGATCGTGCGCGAAGTCGTGGTCGATGACGCCGGCCATGAAGGGTAAGACGTCTCGGTGAATGAATGAATCCCCCGGTGTGAAAACCTCGCGAAGAGCTCCCCGCCGTGAATCTACTTCTCAGGTTTGGGCTACGCTCAGGCGTTCGCCTCGTTCTGCGTCGTTTCGTACTACTGCGCCCTGATGGCACTGACCTTATACTACCTGGTGGGGAGCTTCCAGCCGGAGTTACCGTGGTCGATCTGCCGTCCGGAGTGGCAGGGTTATTGCTTCGACAAGGCGACGAACGGCAGCGGAACCTCCGGCAACCTGTCGAGTTCGGCGGAACTCTACTTCCGGAAGGTGGTGTTGCAGGAGTACGAGTCCATCGAGAACGGCATCGGCCCGCCGTCCTGGCAGCTGTCGATATGCCTGCTCCTCAGCTGGGCCTGCATCTTCGGTGTCCTGTGCCGCGGTGTCAAGAGCACCGGCAAGGCCGCTTATTTCCTCGCCATATTCCCGTACGTCGTAATGACGGCCTTGCTGATCCGAGCGGTCACTCTCGAGGGCGCCGTCGACGGCATCCTCTTCTTCATCACGCCCCGCTGGGAAGACCTGTGGAGACCCGCGGTCTGGTACGCCGCGATTACTCAGTGCTTCTTCTCTCTGTCCGTCTGCTTCGGGCCGATCATCAGCTATTCGTGTTACAACAACTTCGGCCACAAGGTGGACAGGTAAGAAAGAGAGAGAGAGAGAGAGAAAGAAACCTCAAGATTGATTCTAAAGATTGAGCGAAATGTTTCGCTACTTCTTCGAGCGAATTTCCAGTCCTGGTTTGAGCGAGGTGTCATACGGAGGAGTTTAGGAAGTGCGTTCTACTTCCTGTCCCCACGTCGTTTTCAGAGACGTGATGATAGTGACCACGTTGGACACGTTCACTAGCCTGATGGCCGGCTGCACGATCTTCGGGATCCTCGGTAATCTCGCGCACGAGATGAAGGCGCAGGACATCTCGAAGGTGGTGAAGGGCGGCACCGGTCTGGCCTTCATCTCGTATCCGGACGCGCTCTCGCGCTTCACCTTCGTGCCGCAGCTGTTCTCCGTCTTGTTCTTCTTCATGATGTTCGTCCTCGGCATGGGCAGCGCTGTCGCTCTCTGCGGCGCGGTCTTCAGCGTCTTCCGCGATCATATGCCCAACGTGAAGCAGTGGCTACTGGTGCTCTGCGTCAGCTGCTTCGGCTTCTTCGTCAGCTTGGTCTACATCACTCCGGTAACGTTTGGGGGAGGGGGAGTAATCTTGCACGGAGAAAAATAATTTTGCCATTGTGAAGCGAAGGCGCGTCGTTATTACTGCATATCCGTTGCGACGGTGATCAAATTTAGTTGGTACAAATTAGAGAGAATTGTCCGTAATTAGAGCAGAAACTGCTTCACTGCTGGGATAAAAAAATTTCGTTGAGTGAATTTGGTTTTGGGACGCGTTAATTTGCTAAATTGGAGGAAAATAGCGTTTTCTTATATTTGATAATTTGTTTTCAGAGCAAAATAATTTGTATGTTCGGTCAAATACACACTGGGAAAGAAGTACTTGAAAATTTATTTGCGGAATACAAGGGTTTATTTTTCGCATAAATAAAAGTCTATTTTTCACAAATAAATCTTATATTTCCTATAAGTAAATTTCTAAATACTTTTTTCTCAGTGTATCCAATAAATAGCAATTGGCATTCTTGACAAATCATTAAGTTGTCCACACACAATAATTGATAAATTTCTTGGGTGACAGCATAAAATCTGCTGCGCAGAAACGGCTTCACTGCTGGGATGAAAAAAAATTAAATTATTATTCTCCGTGAGCGTTCCTCGCGACTGACGACGGAGGATTTCCCGATGGAATTTCGAGCCAAATGCGCGCGGTTGTGCAGGGTGGTCAGTGGTTCGTGACGTTGGTCGACTATTACGGCGGCACGTTCGTCGCGATAATCGTCGGCGTCCTCGAGATAGTGAGCATCTTCTGGGTGTACGGTCTGCCGAGCTTCCTCAACGACATGGAGTTCATGCTGGGCAAGAGACTGAACATCTACTGGCGACTCTGTTGGGTCCTGATCACGCCTCTGCTCATGATCGTCATTCTGATCTACACGATCGTCACTTACGAGTCGCCCAAGTACGACGACCAGCGATTTCCCGATTACGCTTACGGTAAGCCGGCGAGGCTTCTCTCTTTCTCCAGGGAGCATCGCGTCTTCGACGCAACGCGCAATGAAACTGTCTCTTGTCTGTCTGCTTCAGGAATGGGATGGTTCCTCTTGGCTCTCGGGACGTTCCCGATAGCGTTTTGGATCTGCAAGAAGACGATCGCGAATCGATCCTCTTCTCTCATAGAAGTAAGTGACCACGAGATATTCACGGGACAGATTCTTCCACTTACAAACTTGAAATCACGAAGTAATCGTTGATCTTCCAAATCCCCATTGCAGTCTGTCAAATCGGCCTTCCGGCCGGCGGAGGGTAAGTGGGGGCCCAAGGACCCGAAGACACGCCACGAGTGGGAGGACTTCGTCGCGCAGAAGAGCTACGGAACGGCTGGCTCGAAATTCCAGTTTTCACGGAGCGATTTCACCGAGCTGTTTTGTAAATGACGAAGAACCTAGTTTATTATTATTTATATTTCCCTGTACTATAAATAAAAGATCAGACGTATTTATTACGTCTCCTTCTTTCTTTCTCTCTCCCTCTCTCGGGCGGATCGCGCGCTTCTGTCGTTCCGAGTCGACCGGACCAAAGCGGATCGTCCGTCCCGCTTCGCACACGGCACGCTTCGCGGCGCATTTTTGCCGGAAAATGCCCGATTCCGGCGAAATGATGGTGTCACTCTCTCGAAACGTTTCCGCGCGGAAAAAAACAAGGCAGAAATTATATACACCGGAGCGTCGCAGGCGAGACAATGAGTAGAGCGTCGTAACTACTACGTCACGCTTGTGCAGTCTGATTTATGTTTCCGAACTCGTACGGCGATTCGCGACACGATCGCGCGTATTGTGCCGGTTGTCGGTTTTAATTGCGCGCGGATGTAATTACGCGCGAAGAGTCCGTCTACCGGCCACGATTACGTAATAGAGTGGACAATCAGGTTTGCGTTACTTAAAACGTAACGTAAGTTTTGTCCCGCTCACAATCGCGAAGGCTTATTATTATGCGGATCGGGAACTATTACTGGTTCGCGGCGTAACGTGTCATTATCGGGAATTCACATGACCGCTTTTTGCCCGTACGATTCAGCATTCCTCGCGAGCGGGCGCGCTCGGATAATTAAAATCTTTCCGACGGTGAATTTTCAGTTGTTTGTTTATACTCCCGGCAAAGGAAGCCGGGTACACAAGAGTTGCGCAACTCCGGCCGTCGTGTTCGGAAAACTGCGGAAACGACTACGGTCGATCGCGTCCAACTCGACCGGTCGACGACGCGCGAAGTTTCCGCTTTAACTGATTTTTCCGTTCCGATCTTTAAACGAGGTCTACTTTTGTGTCGCGTATAATTGGCCGTCGTGTAAAGGCCGTTCCACATTAACGCAAAGATGGAACAAAGATGGAAAACAAATCCGGTAAGACGTAAGCTAATTGATCAATCAAGTCGATTTTTCTTGAAATCTGTAAGAATCCAATTGGTCATTTAGCATATGTCTTATTTTCAGCTATTGTGGAACGGCTATAATGGAAATGTGCGATTGGAAAATTGCGGATCATCGATCGTATTCAATTCAACCGAGACCGGTTGACGCGACAATGCGTGTCTATTCCGTTCTAATTTTTTGTTCTAATTTTTTGTTCTAATTTTTAAATGAGGCTTTTCCGATTTCCATATCAATTGGCCGGCGTGTAACGGAATGTCTGGTTCGGGAAACTTTTTATATATCATATATATGCATAGAGTTGAATATTTAAAAAAATATATAATATTATAATAACATTAAATAATATTATTTTTTTAATATTATTAGGAGTGGAAATATAACCGTCTATTAATATTCCTGAAAAATTATTTAATATTAAATAATACTACTAGAATATTATTAGAATATTACGTCTAATATTCTAAGAATATGCCCAGAGAATATTACACAATATTAAATAACATTACGCGTTTAAGGGAATATTCCATGACAACTCGGCATTTAATCACCTTAGTTCCGCTTCGTGACACTGGCAGTCGTGAATGATCGGCGTAATGGTGTAATGACGAAAACAATTACGGCCGTTAATTGCCGTTCGCTTTCGACTCGTCTTGTTACTGAATATCATTCGGATTAGTCATGTCGGTAAACGTTGACAGGCGGCTCGTGGTGAATCCTCAAACAGAAACGCGACTGAGGATTGAGATTCGTGTGCGAGCGAACGAGTGAGCAAGAAATTATTTTTTTTTAGAAAACCTTCCGAATTACGAATCGCGCCGCGTCTCTCCTTCGCGAGAAACAGCCGTCAGATTAACCGGATAAATCGGGATCTGCCTATTTGCAGAATCTGAATATTTGCACTTTGACATTTACATTGCGAAATTTTTATGTTTCCTCCTAATTTGACAGGTATACCGCCGCGTCCTCTTCGCAACGACACTGCGAGCCAGAGGCTCCGTTAACTGGATAAATCGCGATTTGCCGTAAATATTTGCAATTTGGGGCAAATTTCGTTGGAATTTCTCTGTTACTTCTTTTTCCTAATTTTACAATATTCGTGAAATTTGATTGAGTTCGCGTACACACGCGCAGATACAAGCATAGGTGTGCTCGACGTTCGGCTGCGAATATATGGGGAAACCTGCTACTGTGTGATCTTCGTTTCTCCTGAAATTTCTCAGGGTTACATTTCACTCAAAAAGTAGAGTGAACCACCGAATTATTCGGATTAGAGAAACTTTTCATTCGTATGGTCAACCACAAGAAGGTTGCGAATACTTTTTTGGCGAGTTTTTCGAGTGTTTCGTATATTGAATATAAGGTGAATGCATTAATTTAAAATTATATTTGTGTACTTTTTAACACGCGTAGATTTTCCGCATTAAAGTAACACAAAATTTCAGTGGATCGTTCTTCATATAATTTTTTACACATTTTTTCGTTATAATTTTTTACACGGTGAATTTTCCATCTCTGAATCGAGTAAATATTTTCACGCGAAATTGAAAAGTGAATGTGACGTGTAGCATCGTGGGAACCAATTCACTCTATCCGATTGAAATTTCACTCACTCCTGCGGAGTTAGAATCCACTTTGAGCTTGAGTTAAAACATTCATTTCTTGCGATTTCCTTCGAGTGGCAAGGTACCTTCACCATCGCTTCGAGTGAAACCACCGTCACTTTTCACTCGATTTCAGCGAGATTCCACTCCGAGAAATTTCGAGAGTAATTATTCGNGCATCTCCTCCCCCCCCCCCCCCCTCGAAGAACTGCTTGCTTTTTCCGTTTCACTTGGACCAGGGGGAATTGATATCTGAATTTTCCGAGAACGTTGAAAACCCCTGAATATTAAGCAGACCGCAATACTCGCCACGATCAGCCGATATTACGACACCCGAAGATTTCTCGCCGAGGAAATCTTCTGCGGGAACGTCAGATGAAAAATTTTCAATTCACGAGGAAGAGGGAAAAACGATGAGGTGAAGTTTGCGTTGGATTACACCGCGGCAACACACACGTGCGCGCGCTCTAATCGGATGGAAAGGATTGCGCGCATACAGATCTGCATGGATACCGCGCGATGTATCCGCGCGCGATTTCTTTAAGCAGTCTATCAAAGTCTGCCGCCTGGCTAAGACATACGCGCGCGCGCGCGCGGATTTTCGCAAAATAAGATAAAGGAAATCCGAGCGTGCGGTGCGAAGATCGCGCGAGGGAGAGCGATTGCGGTTGCAGGCTGCCGACCACCATGGGCTACACGAAGGTGCGTTTTTCTTCGAGAAATAGTGAAGGTGCTGATCGTGGCCGAAAATTATACTGTCGCAGAAGTCGGGCTGGAGTGAATTATTCGGAGCAGAAGTATCTTGCATTTTTAACCGCGGAATTTTAACGAATTTCTTAGTGAACGAGAAAGATAGATAGATAGATAGATAGATAGATAGATAGAGAGAGAGAGAAAGAGAGAGAGAGATTCGATGATATAAATTAATAAGCAAACAGAAAATTTTCCGTTTTCCGACTAGGAAGGCTGTTTATTTCCCCGAAAGTGATTAAGCGAAACGTGTCTCCGCAATTTGAACGGATGTAATTCGAGAGCCGCGGTGCCTCAGGTTGCGCGTCGGGAAAATACGCGACGAACTTCGCGCGCATTATTGATTTTACGTTCGGTGTTTGCAATATCTGATCGAAGAGCCGATTGCGACTAATCGCGAAACTGCAGATCTAAGGCTTCCTAAACGAGCAAAACGGTAATCGGTATTCGCCGTCGAATTGTGCGGTTGTGTAACGGCAGTGCGCGAATCTTATTTGTGCGGCTGTTTGCGCGCATGAAATTGTCGCTAATGCGCGCGCGCTGCGACGTCTCGTTTCATATACATTTAATTAAACGGCCATAAATCACCAGGTTTCGCCGACACGTCGGAGGAGCTGCTCGGTCGAGGGAAATGGGCTGTTAATAATTAATAATAAATTTGTGAGCGCACCGGCACGAGAATCTGTGAAAAGCGGTGTTTGCTACGCGTCTACTTAATCGGCCGATTATTCAGTCATCGCTCAGGAATTTCTAGATACATGAAAGTGGAGTATTTCTAGGATAATATTGTTTTCTATTGATTGGCCTTCTCGCGGTGTGAGCTAATTAATTTTTTGCAGAAGCAAAAAAAGACCGTACTCGCTGTAAGTGTTTGTAACGCAGCTTTACGATAAGATAAACGCGCGACGGTGTTCGTTCCTTGCTGAGCGACACATTCCGCGGTTTGTTGTACGACGATAAAGTCGTATCGAAAGCGCACACAATGTTCTAATAAATTGTACGCCGTGCCAATCGGCATGATTACGAGATCTTTCCGTGGTTTCATTTCATCAAATCGTTGTTAATTTATCAGCGGCCGACGTCTCATTTACTTGTGACCAGATTCTCTTCCGACTCGACGTTCTTATTTTTATTCGGCAAAATCATTTCATCAATATATAATGTCTTTTTTTTTTCTTCGAGACCTTGACAAAACATTACAATGATAATATCCAATTCGCATCTTTAATTTAGAAGCTAGAAAGGTCAAATGGTGATCTACTGCCAGCATCAGCGTTATCTAACGGACACTATTTTCAAATTGAATCAGTGAAAAGGTCACTAATTGAATCATTCAATTTTGACCAATGAAAGATCGCGAACCTCTGTTCCGCGTTTCGTAACAGAAATATATACACATATCGTATTGCATTCAACCATGCGTCGTATTTGCCGGATATGGCAGCAGACTCAAAAGCTAAAGGTTTCGAATTCAAGTCCCAATCAGGAGAAGCGAGTTTTTCGAATACGATACAAATTGAATCAACCAAACATAATTAAGAATATTTCAGGCAAAATCCATTGGCAATATCTTAAGAGTGAGATCAAGAGAATAAAAAAGAAATAACGAATAATCTCTTTTCACTGTTTCCGTTAGATTTTTTCGATGGAAACAGTGGCTGCTATTAAAGAGATGTTTTACTGATTTGTACCGAAATTTTACTGATTTTTAGTTCTATACTTTTAACCATGATCACTAATAACTGTTGATATTTTAGAGAGCACCACGGGGAAATTGTTCGATCAGATTTTCATGTGACTTTGAAAAGAGCCAGCCACACAATCGACCCTTTGTGTGATCCGAAATAACCTCCTCGCAATGCCCATCAGATAATGCTAGAGTTGACCCTCTAGTTTCCGAACTAAAAAATATGCAAAATGCATTATAATAGTGTTTTGAAAAGATCGCGACATCATTTATCAAAATATATAATAAAAAGTGGGAGCATCCGTTTAAGTCTTATAAGATCATCCTGACAAGTCATTCCAAGATCATTTCAAGGTCACAGAGGCATTGCCATCTAGTACAGTTTTTCGAACATCGCAAATTCTGTCTCAAACATTTTCTCATAAAACCCATTTCGGAGATAATTAGCCGCTTCCGGAATTTTAAACCACCTGTATAACCGGGCGGTTGTCTTCGCATATTGCATATATTTCGTACCAGGAAAACTGCTTCAGTCACTGAATAAAACTCCATCAAGTTCTTGTCTACTTTCTACGCAGTATTTCCACAACTAATGAGAATATATTAACGCTAGACAATAATTTGATGCATGGCTGGAAAAACTACATTCATTTCTATAATCAGGAATGTATCTACGCTTTGAATAAAGATATTTCTATTAATCTGAGATCTCTCTCTCTCTCTATCTCTCTCTTTCTCTCTCTTTCTCGTAGAAAGCGCCTCTTAGAAAATAGGCAAGCCGATCCTTTGATTAAAAATATTTAAGCAGCAATTGGGGACTTAAGTAGATTAACAAAAAGCTCTGCAAAGTGTCCTACTGGATATGATGTAAACATTTTGCCTTTATTACGCGATATCTAATGCGATCGCAAAAAAAATGAGAGATTCAAGACTCTTCCGGTGTTTGCAAATTAATCGGGCATAAATACGCATGAGAATACCGCAAGGGACAACTTTAATGAGATTCTGCGAACGATCGCGCTTTGCAATGTGCACACCTGTGTGCATCTGCGACACGAAATGTGACGCGTGTCGGAATGCTCGATATAATTCCGACGTATATTGTGGCATATGTTACTTTAATAGCAATAGTAACCAGCGGTCGCGCAATTTTTTGAGGGATAAGCTGATCAAAGAGCGTGAATGATTCACACGGCCCATTGTCCGCGTGAATCCATTGAAAATAATATCTCTACTTCGTGTGTTACGCTGTCGTGTTATGGAAAATAATTGATACACAGAGATAAGACATGATTGATTTCGCTCTGTCGCAGAATTATGTTGGCGGCGATAAGGACGAGAGACCCGGTATATTCAAGCTGTCCGTTCCGGCGCCCGGCGAGCTAGAGAATAGGGTGAGTTCAACCGGAAGTAACGAACGACTACTTTCGACCGAGTCTCGTTCTACACTGAAACGAAGAATCGGGTGGAGAAAGAAGACCAAGTCTTCAAGGGTTGCACAAATGTTGCATGGATTGCTATCGAATCAAATCGAGGGGAAATTCAGAGTCAGATCGGCGACCCGGTATTAAAATTGCAACCGAAAATTTACCTTTAAATTTCAAACATTACACAAAATTATGTCTTCAACATTGAAAGACTTAACGAAACTAAGACATGATTGCATATATAAATACAACTGCCAATCAAGTAATATCAATATTGTAATGAGTCAATATTTTACGATCTCCTTCATTGAACTAAATTCTGTTCTTGTTTCGCACAAACCGGAAATCAAAATTCTGGCAAAACTTGCCGAACGAAGAGCGCAACACCGAGATTGAGTTCATTTCACCCGATTCGAGTTGCATCGATCTTTCTTCATAATACGAAATACACTCACCTCACGCAGGTATCAGAGGTGATCAAAGAGGAGGAAGGAGGGAAGAAGAGGGCGCAATGGGGGAGCGATCTGGAGTTCCTCATGTCCTGCGTGGCCTTCTCCGTCGGCCTAGGTAACGTCTGGCGATTCCCGTATACTGCTTACCAAAACGGCGGGGGCGCCTTCATCATCCCCTACATAGTTGTGCTCATCATCATCGGCAAGCCTTTCTACTACATGGAGATGATCCTCGGGCAGTTCACCAGCCGGTCCTGCGTGCAAATCTGGTCCGTGTCGCCCGCGTTCCAAGGTACTGCCTGTGACTACGGGTTGAAAACGACCATAATCCTGAATAAACGGAATACCAGGATTGCTTCTTGGAGCATCCTCGCCAGATCGGGCTTGTATGAACATCGATCTTAATGCGGATCGCTAGGTATCGGCTATGGCGTCACGGTCTCGGTCTTCTCCGTCATCACTTATTACTGCGCCCTGATGGCCCTGACACTCTTCTACATGGTGGCCAGCTTCCAGTCGGTGCTGCCGTGGGCCTACTGCTGGCACGAATGGGAAGGGTGCTTCGACAGCTCGACAGGCAGCGGAGCGTCGGGTAACGGAAGCATAAGTTCCGCTGAGTTCTACTTCAGGTACCGGAATTGTACCCTAAACGCGTAATATTATTTAATATTAATAATATTTAAAAAATAATATTATTTCATGTTTTTTAATATTGTATATTTTTTAATATTCAATTCTCTCTCTCTCTCTCTCTCTCTCTCTTTCTATATATATATATATATACAGTTTTTATTTCAAATGTATTGCAAGAAACCTCGCCGATCGTCGTCGTTGTGTCCTCTGTGTATCGGCATGCGCGTTACAGCTTATCAGAAATTCCTCGGCCACGCTTGGTTATTTTTACGACTCATACAGCCTTGCGAAATCCGCGAGAATCAGAGTCCGGCTTATTATCCCTTTACGATACCCGTTTTGTACCGTGACGCGGCACAACATGATAACAATGTATAACGAACTTAATTACATCGCGGAGTATTATCTCCTTCCCCTCCTCCCCCGTTCGTTATCTTGATTTCCGTGGAAGTCGTTCGCTTTTCCCACCTTGTTTTTTTTCTTACTCGTCGATCCTGACAAGATCTTAATTCGCAAGGCGGACGGAATATGACTTAATGTTAAATAATATTACGCGCTTATAGGATTGACTGTTCAAATGTCCAGAAACTTCGTCCTCAACGAGAGGGGAATCGAGGATGGACTCGGATTGCCCTCGTGGAAGCTGGTGTTGGCGTTGTTGGTCAGCTGGGTCTTCGTCTACGTAGTAATCTGTAAGGGCGTGAAGAGCACCGGTAAAGCGGCCTATTTCTTGGCACTCTTCCCTTACGTCGTGATGATCAGCTTGCTGATACGCGCGGTAACGTTGGAAGGAGCCGGGGAAGGCATCAAATTCCTCTTCGAACCTCAGTGGCACAAAATCCTGGACCCGGAGGTGTGGTACGCCGCCGTTACTCAGTCTTTCTTCTCGCTCGGAGTCTGTTTCGGCGCGGTTACCATGTACTCCTCGTACAACAACTTCGAGCACAACGTGTCCAGGTGCGTGTATCTTCGAGCGCGGGCGGAGGGAACGTTATCTTTCGCCTGGAAGCAAAGCAATCACGATTGCCATTGGGTCGATCGAAAAACTCGAGTTTCAGATGGAATTTGAAAATTGAAATTTCAAAATTAAAATCTGGATAAAAGTATAAAATGAAAGTTGAAAATTGAAAATTTAAATTTAAAGTTTGAAAANAAGTTTGAAAATTAAAATTAAAATTCCCCCCCCCCCCCCCCTCTTCGTTAAATTTTGTCGCAAAGTATTGGGATTTCCCCCTTCCAATATTACGTGATATGTGGAATTACCTCCTCCCTATATTATGTTACTAGATGTATTTAGATTCAGCACAAAAATAAGCACTGTATGCCGAGGATTTAATATGACGTTCCACATCCTTTATTCCTTCCTCCTTCCTCCTTTCCATCACAGCCGTCACGCAAGCTAATAGATTTCCTTCCCCTCGAGAGATGTGTAATAATTCGCGAATGATTCCTAAGTTGAAGTTCGAAAATAGAAATTTCGGTAAAATTTGAAATTTGAAGTTTGAAGTTTTAAAATTAAAATTTGAGCGAAAGTCGCAAATTAAAATCTGAAATGGGAATTTACATAAAATCTGAAATTTGAGAATTAAAATTTTGATAAAAATTTAAAATTGAAGTCTGAAAATTGAGATTTGATTAAAATCTGAAAGTTTAAAATCGAAATTTTGGCGAAAGTTTAAAATTGAAGTCTAGCAATGGAAATTTGAGTAAAGTATAAAAACTGAAAATTGAAATTTGGAAAATTGCTTTTCCGCGTTTGAATGGAAGCGAATTTTTAAAATGAGGCGAGGCACCATTACAATAAGCGGGACCGTTGCAGGGACTGCCTGATTGTGACGAGCCTTGATCTCATCACCAGCCTGATAGCGGCCACGACTATCTTCGGGATTCTGGGTAACCTTGCGCACACGAGCGGCAATGACATTGAGCAGGTCGTGCGTGGCGGAACAGGCTTAGCCTTCGTGTCTTATCCGGAGGCCTTGGCGAAGTTCGACGTAGTGCCTCAGCTCTTCGCTGTTCTATTCTTCCTGATGCTCTTCGTGCTGGGCATTGGCACCACCGTCGCCTTTTGCAACGTCATCATCAGCATCATCAAGGATCAGTTCCCGCACATCAAGCAATGGAAGATCGCGGCCGGCCTCTCTATTTTCGCCTTCTTAGTCGGCGTCGTCTACTGCACGCCCGTGAGTCTTCCGAAGTAATTTTTCCGTATAAAATTATTTTCTTCCGCATAATCACTTGTAATCCCACGCATTACGAACGTCACATTAAAGCAGAGGTGCGATAATTAAATTAAAAAGATCTTCGAGGAATCTTTTGCGGAATAATTCGATTAAGAAAATCAATTCTTTATCGGTGAATAACATTTTGATAATTTGCCAAGTAAGCGTTTGATAAGTTGCTTGATAAGACTGAAGCTTTCGTGTTATCCAAGGAAGAAAATAAGATCATCTCGAAGCGATCGCTTCGAAGAACGGCTTAACTATTTCTTTTCTCATCGACAGGGCGGACAATACATTCTCAACTTGGTGGATTATTTCGGTGGGACTTTCATCATCGTGTTTTTAGCTTCGTTCGAAGTAGTCGCCGTCGCTTGGGTGTACGGTAAGAATTTGCACTCTTTGTTTCTTGTACCGCTGCGAGATCGCCGAGAGAGAAAGAGTAATCTGAGCGATTTCGCAGGTGTCGACAATTTCATGGACGACGTCGAGTTCATGGTAGGACACCGGCCGTCCTTGTATTGGAGATTTTGCTGGTGTTACCTGACCCCGCTCTCGCTGTTCACCATTTTGATTTACTTCCTGATCAACATGACGCCGCTCACGTACAACGACGAATACTACCCGATATCCGCATATGGTATCGTTTTAAACTTTCATCCAAATTTTCATTTCCAAACTTCAATCTTCCAATTTCGAACTTCAGATCTTCATATCACAAATATCAATTTTAAACTCTCATCCGAATTTTAATTGCCAAACTTCAATTTTCCAATTAAAAATTTCAGATCTTCAACTGCGAATTTCAATTCACCTGAATTTACTTTTCAAACTCCGATTTTCACATTTTAATTTTAAATTTTCATCCAAATTTCCATTGATTCTGAACTTTCGCAATTTCGAGGAGGAATTGGGAGATTCGACGGATTGAATAATCCCCCTGATTTTTTACAGCCGCGGGTTGGACGCTTCTGGCATTGGGGGTCATCCCGTTCCCGTTGGGCATAATCGTCGTCGGAATTCGGAACAGGGACAAGGCGTGCACGAATGTAATTCTCTTGCATTTTATTTCCGAGAAAGTCTCAGCATAAGTTATATCTTTTCGTGGTAAACCTAATGAATCGGTCGTTTTACAGATATTCAAGCCGAGCGCCGACTGGGGACCGAAGGATCCTAAGAAGTACAATGAATGGCGGGACTTCAAACAATCGAAAAGGATATCACGAGCGTGCGCGAATAAATCGAAGGTTATCGCGGCGTTGTTTGGAAAGTGACGATGAACGATGATTAAAAACAGTATTAAAATTATTACCACTCGTGTACATATATGTCTATGTGTATATGTATGTGTATGTGTGTGTGTGTGTGTGTCATTTAGCGTGGCGTCGATTGCGTGGAGCAATCGCAGAACGAATGATTAGTCTGGATCTACGACAAGTATAATAAGCCGTTAGCCTTTTGTTCTACAATGAAAGAAAAATATTGGAAAAATAAAAATGTTTCTTTTCGGTAGGTACTAATAACGTTGTCCCATGTGACGTTAGATATTTCCTATATATACGTATATGCTCCATGATGTGCAAATGATATCCTGTATATACACTGTATATACACTGCATACACATTTCGTTTGCATGAGGTAGATGTATATTACGATATACAGTATTTACATGCAGCGATATATTTAGTATGTATATATTTAGTATGAGATACATATATTACATATATGTATCTCACGTGATATCGATTGTATATTCCATGGATATGTACATGTTTTTTTTTATATACTTAAATATATGTTACATGTGTATTTGTTATGGAAGTTTACCACAATGCATCACAGGTGTGCGTGCAACAACATACACTAATAACGTATTTAATATATACAAATGCGCCCAGATAGCAAAATCTATTCAATCTGGCCTCATTTTCTATTCACGATAGTCAAAATGTTAAGAATAGATGCAGATGCGTGCGCATACGTTGTGTCGTTCATGTCATCCCGGGAAAAAATGATTTTCTCGTTGTCGCATATGTGATTACATGTAGTCATGTATGGGCAAATTTCATGTATGATCCTTTTTTTCCGGAATGTTAAGAAAATATCTCGTCCAACAGCTTTAATCATAATCACGTCAAGAACACGCGCACATCATTCGTGTGCATCCTGTGTAATATTAATCACGTTAATGATCTCTAAAAGGATATTAAGAAGTCACACATGACGTCGCATTGTGATAAAACGTGATCATCACGCATTTCTATCTGGATGTATATATATACGTAGGATATACAACGCATATCAAAATGTTTGTGTGAGCGTTTACTTAACCCTTTGATTGCGTACGACGGATATATCAAAGAAAAGTACCTCTCTCTTGCTTACGCCGTATATTCCCGTCGCTCTTCATTCGTGCGACGGCTATATACGGCGCGTCGCGGCGGCGCAGCGACTGTAAGGTCAACAAAAATATTAAATGTTATTTACTCGATTTGTTTGATTAAATCTTATGCACGTAATATAGTCGTCTCAGTGTCACACGATGGAATCTCTCGTGCCGCACACTGCGAGCGTCTTTTTGTTTCAGCGCGCCGCAGTCAAAGGGTTAAATATAAATTCTTCTATTCAAAAATAGAGAGTAATCCATTTTTTTTTAACGCATAACTACTGATTTAAGAAAAGGATATGTCTTCTCATTTAAACAAGTTTGCTCTCAGTATAAAAATATATATGTATATTAATATAAATAAATATATTATTAGTACCTCCGAATAAATATTTTATATTGTTTAGATATTTTTTTTTCTCTAAGCGTAAGCACTCAATTGCAACTTAATTTCCAGCGAAGAGCGTTGCCAACGCCGTCAGACGTCGCAACTCTTAAGATTTAAGCGTTATCGCAACCTTCAGCAGCGCCGGAACGCCCTTTGTCAGATATCACGTGAGCTTTTCATTGTTCAGAGCACAAAAGGGCAAAGGCTTATCTGTATTTTACCTATCGTAGATATCCGGACTTCCTAACGATCTCCGGACGACATCGGCGGCTCTTTGTCGCGCGTTCGCACGCGGTAGAAAATTACACTAAGGCGCGATCTCAGGCGGAAGCTCGTAATCAAGTAGCGAGATTTAATTAATTGCGAGGAACTTTGCAGTGGAGTGTCGAAAAAAGGGTAATATACATATAAATATGTACATTCGTCGGCCGCTTCCGTCTCGCCGTGGGAGCCGTCGTGACAGAAGCGCGACTTGCGAACGGAATAAGAAGGGACGGGATCTGCGCGGACGATCGGCGTCGCTTTCACTTTGGCTTCATGTTCAAGAGGACGTAGAGTATCTGCTTCCAGCGCGGCTGGACTCTCTTCTCGCGGTCTCTCGCTCTTTCCTCCTTGAATATCCTCCAGTCCTTCCGCTGCTGCACCTCCCGCGGCCCAAATCCGGCCGCTGGCGCGAAGGCCTTCTTCATCATCTGGAACAGACGACAATTGCAATTGGTCGCAACTCGTGCGAGACTGTTTGCGTTTTCTTGGATCTGACGATTTTTCGATTCGGCCTGTCTCTCTCTCTCTCTCTCTCTTTTTTTTCTTTCCTTTACGACAGACGTACCTGCGAAAACGGCAGTTCCCGATTCTTCAGCATCGCTATCAGCATCCACAGCGGTATCTGAAATACACCGACGCACAGTAAAATCCAGCCGGCGGCGTGCGCGGAATTCGGCAACGATCGGTCGCCGTACATCAAAGGCGACAAGGTGGCTACGGTGTAAATAAAAATCGATATCAGCAGCAACGGCGTCACTATGAACCAGCATATCCTCCAGTACATGCTCGGCTTCCGGTCCAGCATGAATTCTAGGTCGTCCAAGAAGTTCTCGAAACCTGAAACGGGTGTAACGTGTCATCGACACCGGCATCTTCGAGTCGCTCGTCTGTGCGATGAGAACGATGTAGAACTCTTACCGTAGACCCATATCACTCCGGTCATTTCGAACGACGCCAGGATGAACACCACGAACGAGGTGCCGTAGTAATCCACCAGAGTCAGGACGAACTGACCGCCCTGAAGAAGAGGGATCGTTCTCTCATTACCGTAACTTTACATTACCATCATTGGCGAGTTTCTTCTTCAATAATATTTTTCCAAGTTTTTTTCTTCTCTAACTTTTACAATAAGGACGATTGTTATGCGAAAAATTTTTTAGTTGAATATTTGATAATACAATTATTATGAAGAGGTTTCCTCGATAATGATTTCTTTCAACAAAATTTTTTCTGACTAAAACCAAATACAAGACAGCCCGTGAATTCGGCCCATTTTCTAACATTTTCTAAAGTAATCGTAATTTTATATTATCGTCTCAGTGGCAGATTTATATAGAAAATTGATTATCAGAGTTCGCTGAGGGCCAGCTTTGTACTAACCGGGGTGACATAGACAGTGCCGATGGAGAAGCCGAGGAAGCAGGTCGGGACCACAATCTGCCAAGTCTTGAGCGACGGGAACTGTTCGTTTATCACGGTGATGATCCCCGTGCACATGCCGACGGCGCTGCCGACGCCGAGGACGAACATCATCACGAAAAACAGCACGGCAAACAACTGCAATACCGCATCGATCATTTTGTATTTTGCAGGAAGGAGATTATCGAGAACTACTGTGAGAAGTCGATATACGCATTAATTACACGTATTAATCAAACGCGCATACCTGCGGTATAAAATCGAACTTTGCTATGGCATCCGGGTAAGACACGAAGGCCAGACCGGCGCCGCCTTTTACCACCTTGGAAATGTCTTCCTCACCCAACTCGTACGCGAGATTACCGAGAATACCGAAGATCGTACAGCCGGCCAACAGGCTCGTGAGAGTATCCAGCGTAGTAATAATCATCACGTCTCTGAGGTCACACACGCGATCATTATGAGTCAGTTCGATATATTTAAAGTGGCTCAAGGCAAACGGAATTGAACGGAGAGGAAAATATATATAAATATACCTATCAATTCCTGGCCTGATATTATGTTGTTCTTAATAGAAGGCAGGTTAGAAGGAGAAGAAAAGCTACTAATTTTATGTACCCGTTTTTATTTTGTTTTCTTTTACCCGTAATTTTTGTAAACGATATTAATATTTTTCACACGGAAATTTATCTTTCTGTTTAGTAAGCGAGGAATTCGAAGTTTCAAGTCACGAATAAACAGGAATAAAGCTAAATTTCAATTGACGCGCGCTCGAAAACTCACGTCTGTTCTCGTTCTTATCAGCGATGCCACTAGCGCGGATTCATACTTGCTCGAAATCATTGTAATAATCACGTGAAATGACGTCGTAAAAAATGTCTTTTATAGAATAATAGTTCCTCAATATAATTCGATCGATGGATGGACCGTGTTATAAAGCTGGTCCTCGGAAGCCGATGAATTGTGAAAGATTAAGGCGCGTCTAATAATATGGGACAAGGATGTATTTCCTCACCTATAAATATTGTGCTTGAAGTCATTGTGGGCGGAGTACGTGATGATGCTGCCGAAGCAGACCGACAAGGAGAAGAAGCATTGCGTCACCGCGGCGTACCAAACGGTCGGCTCCAAGAGCTTCGACCACTTCGGAACGATGAAGTAGAGAATCCCGTCGATCGCGCCGTTCAGGGTGACCGCTCGGATCAGCAGGGCGATCAGCACGACGTACGGGAAAAGGGCGAGGAAGTAGGAGAACCTGCCCGAACTCTTCACACCTTGGAACAACACCAGACAGACCGCCGTCCAGCTGCCGAGCAGGCACAGCGTCAGCTTCCAACTCGGCAACCCGATCCCGTCGTCGATGCTATCCTTCTCGTGCAGGACCACTCGCCTGTGAATCGTTATCGGGTTGCTCTTATCCGGAACAGATTTCTCGGCATTCGATTCCCGGAAATGAATCTTTTCAAAGAGAAGGGATATTGGATTTGTTTAATTTAAATTTAAATTATTCTTTCAATTCAAGTGGAAGTTTTCTTACTTCGATGTACAATTTCCCTTTTCTTCAATTTAACTTCGAATTTTTCTTAATTTAATGTAAACTTCTCTTTTCTAAAAATTCGAGTTTAATGTTTTGTTTTATTTCAATTTACATTTTTCTCTTTTAATTCACGAACATTATTGACAGAGATGTAAAGAACGGTGTTGTGAATAAAGAACCACGGCAGAATTCCACGGAGAAAAATGGGAAATCTCGTCGCACGACTGATAGGTGTCATATTTTACGTTACATTAAAACGATTAAATTATTTTCTTCCAATTTGAATAAATCGTTCCTGAAGAGGTAAAAAACGAGGACACACTCACAAGAAGTACAGTTCAGCCGAGCTTTGACGCTGAACGTCGCTGTTGAGGAGACTGCCGAGGGTATCGGTGTTGGTCGCGTTTCCGTGGAAAGTGTGGTCCCTCTTCATACTCGAGTCGACGCACGTGTCACCCCATTCCTCAAAGCAAGTGGCCCACGGCAGCTTGGAGGAGAAGGACGCGACCAGGAAAAACAGCGTCAACGCCATCAGCGAGCTGTAGTAGGTGGCTAACGCTATCGTCGAGCAAAACTGCGCCCATCCGACCCCTGTCGCAAAGTAATCTATTTTCAAACTGTGATGAGCCGTTTAAACACCGTCATTGACTCACGCTGAGTAAAAACCAGTAGGGATCTGTTTGCAGAAATTTTTGCGAAGAAAAATAATGCCATTTTTGTGCCCCCTCTCGATTTCCATTAAACAATTTTTTTTGTACTGTATGTTCATTAGGAATGTCAAAAGTAATCATTAGATAAATAGAAACTCGATCCCATGAAGCCATGATTAATTGTCAGTCTAGATATATTTCAATTCGAGATGAAATTTTCTTCAATTCAAATTTCTCATATCTCCAATAACAATGCAATATGATAATATTAACTTTTAACTTATATTTACTGGATTGGTACTCGCGAATTTGGACGCCCGCCCGGGAAAGAAAAGGTCATATATGAAACATGAAATTTGCCCATACACGACCATAATCCATATATGTCCGCAACGAAAAAATACGATTGTTTACAAATTATATGCAAACACGATCGAAGTAAATGCTTTTGGCTACTCGTGTTTCTGATAGTACGCGATATCGACATATAATTACTTCATTTATTCATTCATAAAAAAATTCATTCATTCATTTATTACTTCATAATAAACATATATGGGCAAAAAGTTCATATATGACTTTACATAATTATATATAATCATTTTTTTCCTGCACGGATGTGGAAACAACACCTTGGTTTCTGCTGACAGCACAGATCTTCGGTCGATCCGCGTCTCCCGCGGGAAAGTGAACGAAAGACGGAGTATTAATTACCGACGAAACCCGGCGACATGCTCCAGACTTTGACGGACGATTTGCTGGAGAACTGCCCTATTATCATCTCCAGGAAGTAGAACGGCTTCCCTACCAGGAAGAGGAGGATCACGTAGGGTATGAGGAAGGCGCCGCCGCCGTTCTCGTACGCGGTAAACGGGAATCGCCAGATGTTGCCGAAGCCGACGGACACGGCGATGCACGACATGAGGAACTCGATGCTGTTGTTCCATGTCGCCCGCTCGTGCTGCTTGCCGGACGATTCGGCGCCGGAATGCACGTCGAAGCTGGTCACGTCGCCGGACAGGTAGGTTTTGTCGACACGGGGCTCATCGTTCTGGAAGGCGACGTTGTCCAGGCCCTGCTGCTTGCGATCTTTCTGCAACGCAAACGTTATCGTGCGGAGATTTCATTTCGAGGCACGCGACTCATATCTTTCGAGAACGGCGCACGTGAACGATCTCATCGTTTGAAGGTAAAAAGTCCAGTAGCGGAAATATATTCAATGCGAACAGGTTCGCGTTCGCAGAAAAAATTCTCATTCTTCAGTTCAGTTCTGTCTCTCGGTTTAGAGAACGCGCCGAGATCGGGGACGTCTTTCCACCTTCGGTAAATCGTCCGGCAATCGAGAGGGAAGCGAAATAACGGCATTCCGACGGGAAAATCCTGAGAAAATCCGATAATGAAGAGAAAAATCGACATTTCTCGTATTCCTCGAGGGTGTAAACCGCCGGGAGAGTAAATCGGCGCGAATCACACGGAGATATCTCGCGATAGCTTTATCTCCGCGAAAATCCTGCGCGGATTTCATTCCCGGGCAAACAATAAACGCGTCAACTAACTTCTTCCCCTCTCTCTCCTTCTCTCTAAGAATCAGATTTTTTCTCAACAATCTTTACGACATTATTGCGACATGATTAGCCCGTGTTCGTTATCTTTGCCTGCAGCCCGCGGGTAGGCTTTCTTTTTCGGTTGTACTCCGCGTCAACGTCGCGAAACCATGTCGATCGCATTTAAAGTGACTTTCACTTATCGCCCGAGCAACGGGACGCGTAAATGATAGAAAAGAAGCGAATCCCGCGTTTTCTTCTCTCTCTCTCTCTCTCTCTCTCTCTCTCGGCGCGGCAGTGAAGAGCGACGGAAATGCGCGAGAAAGAGAGAAAGAGAGTCACATAGTTCGTCGTTCGACACAGCCAGATCGACGCGGTAATTACCATTCGCGCTAATTATTTCGCGCACGACGGAGTCGCCGTAACATACCGTGCGCGCACTTTCCATTCGCTTTGCGGTCGACGATCGATCGATCGATTACCACGTGTCGACCGGTGCTTTACCGCCGCATCTCAAATCGGCCACCACTTACCGCCTCGTACATGGTGTGAACGATCGCGTGGTTGGATGGACTGCGACGTGGAAATCGGAGGACAGCGGAGCCGTTCCCGTCCAAGGTTGTAAGAGTAGTAATCACAACCGAGAGCGCGGATCACGAGACGAGAGGACGACGACGAGGAACGCACCGAAATCCACGAGGTACTACGACCGGCGATGAGGCCACCGGCGACGAGGACTGGCGGCGGACGAGCGGCTCACTCCCGCACGAATCCCCGGGAAACGCATTGATAAACCCGATAACCATCGCCGTACCCTTGCGGCTAGGTGGGCGACTGACAAAACGCGACCGGCGGTCTAATCGCGCGAGTAGGTAGGCAGATAGGAGAGGCAGGTGATTCACGCGGGACCAGAGCGGGAGAGAAAAAAGAGAGAGAGAGACGCGAGGTCGCGAAAGGATAATTGCGCGACGTGGAGTCGGGGAACCAACTCGTAAAAAAAAAACAGGTGCGGGGAAGGGGTACAAATAGCCGAGAGCGCGACGACCCGACGGAAGGAAGACGAAATGGGATTTCCCGCCCCGCGATTACGTGACGCAGCGGTGGAAGCCGCGGAAATCGGGTGATCCGAGGAAGGGGATATTCCGGTGCTCCTCTCGACGTTTCATGGCGAAACGCTCCTTTCTGTACTTTCCTGAACGAGACCGTGCGTCGTTGACGCACATCATTCGGATGTCGTCACAAGCTGCCGCAGCGTGCAGTAACGTAGCGGCGAGGGAAAGGAATATTGTCGTCGGCCGCAGGTGCGGAAAGGAAGAGGGGGCGTCGGGAAGAGAGGGGGGTCGAGGGGGACGGGAAGGGAACACGAGCAATGCCAACGCGATTCAGAATGTATTCAGGATCCAAAAGGGGGAAAATGATGCTTGGCGGTCATCGATGACGTCAATTAATGGCGTAACTGGGATTTCGAGGAGGAGGGGAGGCAAAAATTGATTTTCGCACGAAACTAATTGGCATACTTATATGGAAGTCAGTCTTCGCGGATCTTCAGCAAACTTTCTCAATACTTGGTCTTCCGGTTTCTTTCTTTTCGGAGATACCATTTTTCGTGTACAATCAGGTTCATATTTTGAATTCGCCTTTATTCATAAAAGTGGCTTAGGGAGCACCTGATTAACGGCGAAGACAGAGAAGTTTAAGGTACTTTTATCAACAAAAGTGAGTGCGAAATGTAGACTTTAACATATGTAGTTCACCGAAGCAATTTTACGACATTGTTGGCTGCAACCTTTCGTTCTTCGCAGTATATCGAAAGATGTTTCAGTGGTGCTCGTTGCGCACGGTTACCCCGATGGAAATATTATGCTGAAAATTTCATTGAAATTCTCCCTCAATTGACCCTCTTTCATTATCAATTCCGTCAATGTACGCGGTTTTCAGTTAAATTCAGTAAGTTTTAGCAGTATATTTTAACTTTCTTTACATTCGAGTACTAGTATATTATAAATTTGACGAAAGTTACTGAAAAATTACTGAAATATATAATAATAAATATTTAAAAATAAGTCATAATTTTCATCATGAAAGTCAATGTAATGTTGTGAAATATAATGTGAATTAAAATAATATAATTTTTAAAAATAATAAAAAAATTTCTGAAGTATTAGATATCATGAAATTTACCGAATTATTACCGTCATCGGTTTTTAATTGTAGAACATGCACTGTGTGGCAGTTTCTGGTAGATTGTAATATATCGCAATTATATTTCTTTACTTTGGCGATTATCATAATTTGTTTCTCCCTTGCCAAAATGTAATTAAGGAGGACGCTCCCTGCTCCTACTGCTTCTGTCCGTGTCTGTTTACGTCCCCACGTCTCAAGTACAGTCGAGTTTCGGCCGCGACCGGTCAAGATTTGCTTTCACATCGCAACCTCGCGATTCGAGGATTCGTCCAGTCGTTTCCTTCTTCTGCCTTCTTTCCTTCTCTCTTCCTGTTTACACTCTCGCATAATCGCACCGCGAGAAATTGAAGTTTCTTCCTGGAGTCTGGAGTTTGAGACAGGTAGGACGACAGTCATGTAACTCACATTTGATTACAGAATGAACCGGCTTCTCTTGAGCGTAAACGTGTGTATAATTCGAGCTGCTTACTGTTTTGTCATCTTGTTTTCCCGGTGCACGTCCTACTTGTATGACTTTATTACTTTCTCGCTGTCCTCAGTCGGAACAACACGCGTTTCTAGAATCGTGGCTCCGGCCTGTATATAATCGAGATCTATAAACATTCTTTCACAGTGACATATCTTTGGAACTCCTTATCCGAAGAATTCGTTGATTACACATTATTGCCTGAGTTTACACACGTGCGCTTAAATCAGACTATCAGACAGGGAAGACGGTCATCGTAGGTAATAAATAATTGACTAATCTGGCAATTACCAGTGTATGTTTCTCACGTCGTATTCATTAACTGCAGTGCCAATGATAATAAACTTACACGCATGTTGCTGCTATTACGAAATATTTTTCGCGTCAAAACTGATAAATAACTTTCCATCGGTGCAGGGTTTAAATATACTCTGTGCTCTGCTCTATTCTCGGAATTCAGGTGTTTTATTGACTAAAATCACTAAAGAGTCTCACTGTGTCTCAATGCGTATCGGACCCAGGCAGTTGTACATTAAACGAAATCGCGATCATTTTTACGCGCCTCGGAACGGTCGCCGATAAGCCACGTGCACGCCGCTCTCTATTGTGCTCGGTACATGCTGCTGCATATATATGGACCGTGCAATTGTTACGGCGACATGGTTAGATTCACACCTGCGCCGTCGACGAAAGAGCCGAGGAGCGGGAAAGCAAAAGGCTACGTATCAAGGACGACCGGATCGGTGTTATTCGCGGAATACGAGCAAAATCACCGCGCAGAGTCACCCATTTCGCGTAACGGACGTGTCATAATAAGCGTGTTATTTTTTTCTCTCTTCTAAATTAATAATAATGTTAAATTATACACCGATTGCGAAATCAACGGGTAATATGATAAACGCGCGACTGGTCGCGTTACGTTCATTAAAATGCGAAATCAACGCTTGAGGATTACTCGTAATAAACCTCGAAAGCGACTGTGACCTGCATTCCTGTCATTGTTCCGCCTCTCCGCGTCGCGGTAACTTCGGAACTCCAGCCATTTCCTGCGGTCCTCCGCATCACTCGGGCCCCACGATTTCAGCGGTTCTGTCGCTCGCTTGATCATCTACGGGATGGGTGGAGATAAGTAAACAGGGTGCATTAGCTCGGGTCTATGGTAAGTGGTCTTTAGCCTCCTTTGGTCCAAGCGATAAAATACAACGTAATTTCTAACGAAAGACGCTTCTCGTGTTGCCGAGAATCTTAACAACGTTTTTAAATCTTAGAAACGCTTCTTGCTGGAAATTACGTTACAATTTAGCGCCTGGAAGAAAAAAAAATAAAAGACTTACTATACCTACGGTAGATCCGAACACAAAAAAATGATAATAGCACAAAAAAGCCACAAGCAGTAAGAAAATTGACCAATCGCATTATCGATTATTCCTTCGATTTCGTGAGGAAATAGTCGACTGTGATCGGTTAATTTCCTTACCGCTTAAGTTTTATTATTTCAACTTTTCTGTGTGCCATAGCCTTTCGTTCATGAGTAAGATTTGGCTTACTTCTCGACCAGGAAGGTGCCTTTTTCTCAATATCGCGATCATTATCCACAGGGGTATCTGCAGAACAGCAACGAAGAACAAGATCCAACCTATGACTGTCGCGCGGAAAAGACACATTACACGACTTCGATATTTGTCCGTTTTTTTTTTTATTTTTATGAGAATCAGCAACTGCAAGTGACTTACCATAAGCCACTTCAGGATAGAAGGACTTGTTATACTTGAGTGGCTTGAGATCAATGATCGCGTATAGGAAGATGACGATGATAATGATCGGAGTGACGATGCTCCAGCAGAGCCGCCAGAACAATGACAGCCGTCTCTTCAGCATGAACTCGATGTCGTCCAAGAAGTTGTCCAGGCCTGTAATCGATCTCAATTGTCAACATTTTTCGGATCGTGAATCAGTCAGCATCGTGAGAAATCGTTTGATATCTGTGACTATTTTATTCATAAAAATATATAAAAACAATGGAGACAATAAGAGCCGAATTGAAAGGTCCGGTTTGCATGTGCTTGCAATGTTTAATACACTGAAAAGAAAAGGCAATTAGATCGAACAAATTGGCAGTCACCCTTGTTCAAAGAAATACTGCGTCCATTAAACAAATTACGTGTTCACGCAATAATATATTGCGTTGATACAGTTGCTGATTAAATCGGTGAGGTGACTCATTATTAGCGCCTATAAAATGTGTTTCATGTACCAGACGTGCTCGAACAAGTCCTGTTTGTTTCAGCAAAATTTCGTTAATTCGACCATCTGATATTTCTTAGTATAATTACGAAGTCTTAAGTCAACTATTACAGAGAATTAGCAATTCTATTTTTTAGTGCGGAAACATACCATACGACCATGCGACGGCGATCATTTCAAAAGCGGCCGGCAGGAAGGCGATAAACGAGGTGACATAATAATCGACGAAGGTCACCATGAACTGACCTCCCTGTGAAAGAAGAAAAAGAAACACTTGCGATTACGTGTCGCGGAAGATTGGTGACGATCACAAATCAGTCGCGCACAGAGAAAAAAATCTCTTTGGATTTTGTATTTCTATTTATTTCACTAAAATTTGTTCCATAGAAACAACATATACGAAATATATTATTTCAGTGAAAATTTTATTGTCTCATTAAAAAAAGAACTCTATTATTTAACAAAAAGATATTATTATTTGAAATAATATCTTTCAACCAAATAAAGTATTATTTGACTACATTAAATATGTAAAGTGAAACAAATAATTTCTTCATGAGAAAATTATCTTTTGTTTGAAGCGAATTTTTTTTATTTAAGATCAAGACACATATTCGTCGAAAAGTCGAATAATCGTACTTATTGGTCGAAACATTAGTTTCTACAGAGCATGCCGATGATGAAATTTCTTTGGATGAAATTGATTAAACTTGAATAAATCTTGTTCTGAGTGCGGTCAGTTACCGGCGTGACGTATATGAGACCGATGAGGAATTCGCCGACGCAGGTTGCGACGGCCACGTGCCAGTATTTCACGCCGGGGAACTGGTCGCGCACGATCGCGATGATGGCGGAGGTGAGGCCGACCTCGCTGCCTATCCCCAGGACGAATATCATCACGAAGAAGACGACACTGAAGAACTGAGGCGCCACGTCGAACTTGGCGATCGTTTCCGGGTACGAAATGAACGCCAAACCTGTGCCGCCTCGTACGACCGCGCCGATGTCTTCGTTGCCCAACTCGTGGCTGAGGTTGCCCAGGATAGCGAAGATCGTGCAGCCCGCCAACAGGCTGGTGAAGGTGTCCAAGGTCGTCACGATCATCGCGTCTCTGCCCAACACAGATCGCGACACGGTGAGCGAGGAGGAAAAAATGGGGCGTTTCTTCGGCCGATTGTTCCTCTCTAAATTTCTTCGAAAGCGAAACTTCACTCTCGAACGTTCACTCTTGCGATGCCTGGCGAGGTATTTTCACCTCGTCTCGCCTCGAGTGAATCTCCTCTCGTTTTCTGTGAGCTTCCGCTCCGAGAAATTAAGCGCAAGCGCTCGAGCCTCGAAAAGGAGAGGCCATGACCGGGTTGAGTCGCGTCGTAAACTTTCCTGCGGGGATCGCCACTAACCTGTAGAGATTGTGGTTGAACTTGTTGTGGGAGGCGAACATAACGACCGCGCCGAAGCAGACGGTTAACGAGAAGAAGCACTGAGACACCGCGTTGTACCAGACGCCCGACGTCAGCAGTTGCTCCCAGGTCGGAATGATGAAGTACAGGATCCCTGCGGCTGATCCCTCCAACAGGACCGCCCTCACGAGAAGTACGATCAGCACTACGTAGGGGAATATCGCCAGGAAGTAGGCCGCCTTGCCCGAACTTTGCACGCCGCGTATCACGACGATGAAGACCGTGAGCCAGCTGACGAAGAGCCCGATCGTCAGGCGCCAGTCCGGCGCGCCGATACCGTCGTCGATGTTGTCCTTCTCTCGCAGGACCTCTTTGCTACGAATGACACGAGCACCGGTGTTTGATCGGCAGCTACGAAAGCTACAAGACTGGTGGTCTTTTCTCGAGGAACATTAGAACATCTGATAATGTCTTGAAGGCGTCTCTTCGAGACCTTTCTGACGTCTGGAAGACATCTCTTAAATATATACTGAGAGAAAAAATCTAAAAAGTAAAAAATATTTGTAGGATGAGTACTAATATACATAAATTCTTGTATTCAAATATAACAAACAATTGCCTTCATGCAAAGTTACAGGTTACAGAAAATGCATACTTTCCTACTTGAAAATAATTTTTTCTCGGTGTAAAAATGTGTATATTGGTATTAATAAATGTATTATTAATATCCATCGAGTATAATTATCTTTTTATTTTTTTAATATTTTTTCTCTCATCTTTTAGACGTACTTGCGTGGATTCGGGTTGATTCACGTCTAGGTATTCATAGTTATATCTTATCTTTCTATCTATCTCTTTAAGACCATCTTAAGTTCACTTTCAAATGCATTGTAGCCGATGAAACAATTCATGTCGTACCCGAAGATGATCTTAAGACCTAATTTTGAACACAACCGCATATTGCATATATATATAAGGAAATCAACCAATCGTTAATTATGCAGCAAAAAAGTGTCTTTTATATTAAATTTTTATAATTCTGGTCAATTGCCTCGTGCATATGCATTGCATGACTAAGCAAGCTTATATGGTTACGCAATTAATACGGCATCAAGAAATGTCTGAGAGAAGTCCTGTTTATTTCAGACGGCTCTAAGAAGTCCGAGACACTCAGATGCTGTCCGGAACAACAGTTACTAGAAGTACAGCTCGGCCGAGCTGGAGTAGCTGACATTCTGGACCAAAAGCGCGCTGTTGCTCCCCGGGGCTGAGTCCACGCAGAATTCGCCCCATTCCGGCCGACACCTGCTCCACGGCAACTCCCCTTGGAAGCTGACGACCAGGTAGAACAACGTCAAGGCCATCAGCGAGCAATAATAGGACGCGAGCGCCAACAGTATGATAAACTGTGCGACACCGACGCCTGCGATCAATCGAACAGCTTATCACCGGGCCGCCATAAATCTATATCCATTTATTACAGACGTTTCATGCGATCGATAAAGTAATCCCCCTCCTTTTTTTTCTTTCTGGTTTATCGAAAAATTTCCAGAGAGTGCGTACGTGAAACTCAAATTCAAACGTTTCAAACTTTGGACTCTCCGCTTTTTTTCTTCTCTTTAGAGGCGGAAGACTTTAAGCTGCACTTGTGTTTGTTGTAAGTGAAATAAGAAGAAAAGAAGGGAGATCGATAGAGCTTTTAAGGGTTTGCGAAAGTTCGTCAAATCGTCGGTGATTTCATCGGGTCGATAAATGAGTCATTTTATAGGCGCGGAATTAAACGTCTGATTGTATTTGAAAGGTGGTATAAAGCAGTCGATAACAGTGACGCATATTTTGATTTAATGTGACGTGTTTTGTTTTATTGCTAAATGCAGTGAAAACATGTCATTAGATCTCATCTTTTTGTTTCTCTCAACGAGTTTCCATTAAATCTAATTATTTTCGTCTAAATTTCATCGAGCTTCATAAAATGGCAAAAAAAAGGCAATGGTAAAAAAAGGCAATGGCGAAAAAAATTAAAAAAAGGAAATATGACTGGAAATATTATCCGACGAACTTTTGCAAGCTTCCAATTACCCACATAGCACGAATGTTCCAAAAACATCCTAGAGACGTTCCGCAAAGATGCTTTGATATCTCTAGAACGTCTCGAGGATGTCTTTCGAATATTTGTGCTACACAGGTAGTAAAGATCGTGAGAGACGCGTGTCGAGGCGAATGCACACCTCTGAATGCCGGTGCAAGGTCCCAGATTTTCACAGCCGAGCGACTAGAGAATTGGCCCAGCACCATCTCCAGCAAATAAAACGGCTTTCCTACGATGAACAGGATAATAATGTACGGTATCAGAAACGCCCCCCCGCCGTTCTCGTAAGCCGTGAAGGGGAACCGCCAGACGTTGCCGAGGCCAACCGACATGGCGATGCAGGACAACAGGAATTCCCGGTCGTTTCCCCATTGTTGTCGCTTCGTTGTCGGCTTCGTGGCGAAAAAACACATGTATCGTTTGAAAACGTCAAATTTTCCATTCCAAAAAGTCTCTTCGTTCGAAAAAAATCGAATCGCCGGAGTAATGTTCGTAATCTCGATCGTCGCGAGAATTTCAAAAAATTATCTTGCGATTTTACACAATATATCGGCCAGGTATCTCGGTTTTCTGCATATTTTACTGATTTCAAGAAATCATTGTGTTTCTCAAGAAAAATAAAAAAATAAGGCTACATGTTGCAAGAGAAACTTACTGCATGTCATTTCTCGCCTACGACGTCACAAAACCAATATGGCTGGCGAAGGGAGCCGAGTTAAAATAAAAAAATATTAATTTTCTGTCGCAAAACGTCTCTTTATTCGAAAAGGAAAACTAATCGCAAGAGTAGCATCTGTAATCTTAATCGCCACTTGACATTTTTCCGAGAGGCGGCTTTTTTCCCCATAAATAGAATTAATCGCTAGCAAACGTGTGTACCGTTTGAAAATTTTTAATTTTCCGCTGCGAAATATCCTCTCGTCCTCTCGAAAAAGAATACTAATCGCCTTCGTAATCTTGATCGCCGTCCGAAACTCGACTTTTCTTTCTCCGCCGGTAGAATTATTCGCAAGAGAATCGATATCTACACGTTTTATTTCCGTTAAACTAAGATAACTAACCGCTTGGGTTTCACGAAGACCAGGTCCATTAGCGTCGACGTTATGGCAGCTCACGGTGTCGTCCGCAACGAAGGCTTCATTTATCACGCCGCTCGAGACCGTGAACGATACCTGAAACAATCGAGCGACCACAGCCCATCAGTCCCCGGGTTACACACCTTTTCCTCCCCTCCCCCCTGTTGTTCAACAAATAGGAAAACACATTACTTATGTGTGACGCGCATCAACAAGCAGAAATGCAAAATTAAGAGATCTTTTCTTACAAAGCTCGATTATCGATCGCTTCGATGCTCAATAATTTATATGCAGACGCGATTCCGAGAATTCCGTCCGTGATTACATTGAGAAAGAAAAGAATACTTAATTTATCTATATAAGATATTTGAGAGATACGGGGTTTGTTCCTCTCGCGGAAAAATAAGGTTTATTTCTGCGAAAAAGGACCTTATATCCCGCAAATAAAGCGCTTTTTTTCTCAGCGTAGTAATCACGACCGTAGCAACGGAAATGGACGTTAAGTCATTACCGGCGTTTACCTTCGAAACGCAACTCGACGAAGTCCGACGAGTGGAACGCGCGTACTTTATATATATCCAGTGAACATCAGCTAACAGTAACGCAACATCAATGTTACAATTTCTCACTCGACAACGTGACTATTACACAACACGCGTATTACATTGCATTTACATCATTGCGTTCGCACACATGCGGAAGAAAGTACCAGATTCAAGTAAAACAATCGCTTTGATATTCCTCGGCGTCAAATAACATTCACTTGATCCAAGTGAAATATTTGTCAGATAAATTATCCAAATAAAATCTGTTTGCTTGGTCCAAATGAAAATTTCACCGAAGAGTGTCGGAGTAATTATTTACTTGAATCCAGGACTTTTTCCCGGTGTGTGTAATATTTTTTGTCCGCCCGTCGCGATGAATAAGCGAGATTACACACCGGTGAGCGCACCGGCCGTTTTATGCTCTCCTGATTCTTTGTTTACGTACCTTTCGTTCCATTCTGTTCCGGCGGATGATTTATCCCTTCAGCTACTCGACCTCCGCATCACGCGTCTTACCTAATCCGCCACGATTTCAGAGATTTCCAATTAAAATACACACTATAGTCCCTTCCGTCACCGTCGCGCCGACATGGACTCAGGAGATATTAACAATGCGTGTGAATTTATCCCGGGAATTCAGCATTATTCGTATGACTAATTCGACGGAGTCCGCGCGGACACGCGCGGGCGAACGCGTCTTCAACGTCCGTCTCTATCGGGAATTTAAACTCTTCCCAGATGAAGATGTAAACTGACGCTCCGAGACGCGATCGGTGTTGGTTGGAACGGACATTAATCGAGAAGCGCCCGGTAATTTCAGTGGTGATTGATCACCGAGTAATCATCGACGGAAAACTGCCGGCCCGTACACGAGGAAAATCCCAGCGTGCGTTCGAGGTAAACGTTGCCGTAACTCCGACCAAGAAGAGAAGGGCCGAGATCGGAGGCGTAAAGCGGGGCGGAATTTAATGTGCGGGGAAAGATTCGCGTCAGCAGTCGCGGAAATGTCAAACGTTTTCGGCAGCGGGGCGAGGGACTCGCTGAATTGCGGGAGATAATCGTCGGGTGAAACACGTAGCACCGCGAGTGATTCCCACCGAGTAATTCGGCGGCCGAAGCCGCCAGATTCTCGCGTTAAGCCATTCTATTCAGCGTCCGTGAGAGTACACGGAGAAAAGCGCTCAACGATTACTCCGATGCTCGTTGGCAAGTTTTTACTTGGATCAAGCAAGATTTACTTGTGCGTGTCGTTGCGCGAACGCATAATTCGTTCGGTGGACACCGTCTTTTTTGAAATAAGGGCGAACGCGCCGATTTTGTCGATTCAACTGTCTTTCATTCTCAACACACAGCTATCGAAAACGAGATGATTTATCGCGGGAATTTACTCGTCGCACAGGTCAAACTGTTTACATTGAAGGAAGAAAGCGCTACGCTTCAAGTAAATGTCCGCTAAGGAATATTTCGGAACGACGATCATTTTACTCGGATTAAGTAAATATTATTTGAACGTAGCACTTTCTTTTCTTTTTCAATGTGCAACGTTCAAGCAATGTTTACTTGATCCGAGTAAAGGAATTATCCCCGATACCCCTTGACAAATGTTTACTCGAACGTCACACTTTTTTCTCCCTCTCACTGTGCAGTTGTTAAAATAACGCATAACCGATTGCGCGACACGGCATTACCGTAATTCCCGTTCGCAAGGACGCGTCGTCCTAATTATCATTCGCGTGATTGCCGAAAAGCTCCGCGATTATGTACGCTCCAGTTTAATTAATATGCACAAAAGTGATAAACAACTCTCGCGAGTTGTGCGCACGATCGCGATCGACCGAGCACACGAGATGTAAACGAGCGATGATTCTTGCAAATGAGTGATCGACGTCAGCCGATCTCTTTATAAATATGTACGTACTGTAATCGGCCGATTGAGCCAATAATAGGTGCGTCGTGAGTCGCGAGATGAGAAAGACTGACGCGCTGTATATCATAAAACTGTATTACGGAGGAACGAAAGGATTAGACGAAATAGCCGTGTACACTATCAATAAGATAACGCCCGTACATCGAGAGACGTGTATTGCTCGAGCAATAATATTAGCGCGCGGCCGATGGAAATATCCGCAGGATCGTGGAATCCGTCGTGCGGAAAGCGAAGGAAGAAAAAGAATCAGGAAGGAAGGAGAGAAAAAGTCGCCTAAAGGCCTAATAATGCCCCGGGCGGGCGAATCCCGCGCGATAATTCGTGGGACCGAGATTTTGCGATGCGTTTGTGAGGCTTGAAATGCCGTGTGAACACTCACGAGTAATGATGTACGTTTGAAGTCATCAGCGGCGGAGGATTCAGTTGTAGGCGCAGCCGAGTCCTCTCGTCCTTCCGCAATTTTCGACGACTGCCGTTTGAAAAATGCATATTTCACCGTGCGAGAAAAATGGCGCCCCTTGGAGCGAACGGTGGCGCCAACTCGTTGTCCCGCGAGCGAAGCTTATGATCGATCGGTAAGGTAGCGCGCTGCTCGAGTTACCGACCGTGGGTAACAAGGGCGACGATGTGTCCGACTGGCTGGAGCCAATTAGCGCTTAGACATCCGCTAATTTCAAATGTTACTACACGATAAAGTACGTGTTCCGCGTCGTTGGCTTCCGAACGGACGGTTGGAATTTCGTCACAGTTGTCGATGAGCGTTTATACCGCTGATTTTCACGTCGCTGAGAAACGATGGCAGGGTGAGTTGACCTGGAAATAGTATATTTGTAGGTTCCTGGGGAAAAATGATTATGTACGATTATATATAATTATGTAAAATCATAAGTGAATTTTGCTCATATATATGGTTACATATATGATCATGTATGTTCTACTCTGTACGAAAGAAAGTGATGTTATGTTTAATTTAATTTAACTAAACATTTAATTAAACGTCGATATCATGTGCTGTCAAAAGCATTTACTTCGATTGTATTTGCATATCATTTGTAAATAACAATATTTTTTCGTTGTGGAAGTATGTGTCATTATTTGTAGTCACATGAGCAAATTTCACATATGATCTTTTCCCTGGGTTTGTTTGCCTCAGTTTAATTGTAAACATGATTTCCTCATTTGTAGCGCAGAGGCAGAACCTGTGTCCACCGCAGAACTGACAGGCCCGGACGACGAGCAGGTGATCGTAAACCTGATACAATCCTTGATGAAGAATATTCAGACGAGGGATTTGCTGCGGGACGATTTGCGCCAGAAACGTATGATTGATTCTCCGGACCTTTTGAAACGACCTTAGTAACAATTGTTTCGAGATCGATGCAAAATAGTCCTTTCAGAAAATAATTTTAGAAACATACTGGTGGAGTTGGACCGTGAGAACTCGTCTCTGCAGGTCGAGAATGCTTCACTGAGAAATTACAGTGATCAACAGAGAAAGATAGTGAGAACATCCTTGTTGATGATACATACTTATGCTTTTGTTTTTAATTTTCTCAAGGTTGTCCCGTAAATTTCTTAGATTTCTTCATTGGAGGAGCGTACCTGTAAGTTGGACAACCAGGTCGACAGCTTGCTGTATAAGTTAAATAATGCGAATGATGCTTTGAGGAACACGCAACAGGAGGTAAACGGAGTTTTGCTTTGTAATTTGATGTTATGCTTTATTACATTTATATAATTAATGCAGTCAATGTGTAGATTCTAACGGAAGATGGATATGCAGAATTAACTTCCGTGTGCATAGGTGAGAGACAGAGACAGGCAGCTGAAACAACACGCGATAGATAAACAGAAGATAATAGAGAAATGCAGCAACAAGATACGAGCTGAGATTGACAGGATGACAAGAGAATTTGAGACGAAGCTGCACGAGCAACGTGAACGGTTGGAGGTACGTTTTAACTCGTTTAATTATTATTATATTATTACTAATTTTCTCGCTCTTCGATAAACATGTCGATTGTACTTTCAAAATATATATGCAACATTTTTCATTATAATTGCCCAAATATTGAACCGTGTCGAGCCACTTTCAGAGTCACATCAAGAAGCAGGAGGAGAAATTGAAATTGATGAAGCAGATACTCGCAAATAACGACAACACGTCCGATAACGTCGCAGTCGCGGCACAACCGAATCCAAAACCGAGAACGGAGGCACCGGAGGAGGAGCCAGTCTCGACGATACTCGCGAAGAAGCTTTCGACGGCGGAAACCATCGATTCTCAAACCCCGTCGACGTCCACGATCGGGTCGGCCGACGCCACAACGAAATCAGACGCGGAAGCGACGAGGAACGTCTCGAAGGATTCAGTTGAACCGTACAAGCCGAGTAGAAGAGTAATTCTTCTTTCCTCAAAATAAAGCCATACCCTCCGTCTTCCGTCAAAGTTTACCTGATCGTGCTGTGTGCTGATCGCAATATAATGTGTACGTAGGATAAAGTCCCGGTGGTGAATCCGAGGTATCAATCGCGAAACGCGAACAAATGGATAGACCATCGTCCCGGCCGGTTGGTACCCGTCGGTACGATCCTCCAGCCGCAGACACCGAGCAAACGCAGCGTCACGAAACTGACAGATCCGAAGCCCTTCACGTCCAGATCCGCCAGGTACTGCTTGTACGCCCAGGAACAGGATACGGACGGTGAGCTCGAGACCAGGCTGTACAAGGTGAGTCTCACCGTTCGGGCGTTGTTCTCGAAGACACCCCGGGAAAAAATGATCATATATAATCATATAAAGTTACACATGAATTTTGCCCATATATGTGGCCACAAATATTATGTCTACACGAAAGAAAAATTGTTATGTCATTTAATTAAATGTCGATATCATATGCTGTCAGAAACACAAACAGCCAGAAGCAAAAAAAAAACGTTTGGATTTACTTCGATTGTATTTGCATATAGTTTGTAAAGAACAGTATTTTTTCGTTGTGGATGTATAATTGTATATATTTAAATTTATAGGCAAGTTTCATGTGTGATCTTTTTTTTTCCCCGGGATGACATACTCGTATCTTGAGAAGAGTAAGGCCCGGAAGATCCTGGTTTTATTTACGGGGTTTCAAGCTTATAAATCTCTCTTAGTATATCGGCCTCTTGCGACGTGCAGGTACAATTGTACGTCTGAACTTTCAGGCGAATGTGTTGCCGACGAGCGGAGGAGGGGCGCAGGTTGTGTTTAACGATATAGAGTGTCTGAAACAAGTGTCCCCGGCGAGACAAAAGCAACAAAGTAGGCTGGTAGACGCAGAAAATAGCTCGGTACACTCGTAAGCGTACCTCGCACTCGGCAGAAGAATCTCCCGGTTTACGCTCGCCGGAAAACCCCGAGAAAGCTAGTCGTTCGCAAAATTGGCAATACTCGTCGTCGTTTATTCGTCGCTCAATAAAGACCTGTAGGAAGACTTATAAGAGCAAGTGCTGGTTAAAAATGTGTAAAGAGCAACCGTACAGTTGAGGCTTCCGATTACTCGCTGCGTCTTTGTTTGATGACGTCAGAAGCTCAGAAATACAGGAGGCTGGATATTCCGTGTTAGAAACGTAACGTTTATTTTCCCCATTCGCTCTCAAGCCGTGGAACACAACAACACCGTTCGACGCTTTGATTCCAAAATATCCATATACATCGTAGTATGTGGCGAATTGGAAGACGGATATTCTCTCTCTCTCTCTCTCTTTCTCACAGATCTACGTTGATCGTGAGACCTACAGTGAGACGTTTCGACGTAAGGGCGAGAGCTACGAGAGAGCGCTATCTTACACACACACACACGTACGATAATAATGCGCAGCAAGAACAACTCCGCATACCGATGAATCTCAGTTTATTTTTAATGCGAACAAAGACTCCTTTTATTATCGTTGCCACACACAAGGACGCGTGCTAAACGGGATGGATGCGATTTGTCTGTTTGCCTTGTTTTGTTTTTTTCATTTTCATTAAATAAAACTGTGTGTGACACGCTTTGAAATAGTTTCCCGCTCGATTGCGAACTAGCCACCATGTATTTTATCTTACATACGACTGACGATCACGCACAAAGGATTGTACTCTCCGAAAACACAAAGTGTTCCGCAACAGATGTCGGTAATATACATACAGACACACATACATACACCCTCCCCCCCCCCTCCTTTCATCTATCACNTATATATATATATATATATATATATATATATATACGTACATACAAAATTATATACCAAGTATCAAGACTAGATGAATATATTAATCATTAGAATAATTAGTCATTATATTATATTCGGGTCTAACAAATTATATAAAAGAGTGTATCGTTAGATTATTCAAAGATATTGTCTTACGCAACGCTGCATATCCTCGCTCTTCCTTCACACGGTGTACAAACTCGCCTGACAATATCGTGCCGTTATAGAGACTCTCCCTCGCCAGCTCACCTCTCGTGCTGAATCCCGTCGATTTACGCGGTGATAACGTGGTGAAATCAAGCTAAGAGACGCGAGTCGTTCGCGCGATAAGCCTTCGAGGTAAACAATAATGTATCATATATATGTATCATTGTGCAAAAGGAAATTCGCGGTGCTTGCTGTAACCCCCTCCCCCCTCTCTTTTTTCTCAGAAGTACGGTATATATCTCTTATCCGTTACAATCCCTTTTTTCCCCCTTCAGAAGAAGAAGAAACCGCTATTGTCGTAACGATGAGTAAGGTCCGTGCGCGACGAGTATCAAAGAGATATGTATCGTGCCTCGTTCTTCGCAAAGACTCCGAGCTTCGTTTCCCTACGGATCAACCTTTGTCCCCTGTTACGAAGTGTAACCGAACTTGCTGTCCGTACAAAGCGTCACACATCGACTCACCGTAGTAATCGTTGAATACGTTATATTTAACCGAACCAGAGAGACCAGACGTCTGGAGTGTAACATTTATTCGTGGCTCTTGTATATGCATTACATACACGTATGTGTGTGCGTGTGTGTTTGTGTGTGTACGTCTGTCTATGTATATGTGAGTGTACGTAACGTGTACACTGACCTCGGCACACGAGAAGTGTCGCTCATCACTCTCTCGTGTGACCGCGTCGATTACCTTGAGACGTTCGGTAGCTTCCTCGAGATGATTACGTTTCGCGACGAACGATTCGGTGCTACACGCTCGACGAAAGCGCCGCATTTGTTTCTCGCGATCAGGATCCCGCCTTCGGGACTTATTGCAACGGTAACATCGAGTTGAATATCTGCTCTTCTTTTTTTTTTCTTTTTTCCTGTAACCTACAGTACGCATCTGACTATTGCCCGTCGATCGCTGTTTAATCGACATACTCCCGCGAAGTATCACGGCTACTGATATATCGGTTAAAGAGGGAGGGAGAGGGGGAAAGAGAGAGAGAGAGATAGAAGCATTGTGCGGTTTCGAGAATTCCGTCTAATTCACGCAGATATCATCCCTACCACCCGATTCGCACGTAGTACAATGGAAACTGATCCTCGCTCGGTCCTACGCGAGTCGTCGTCAAATATCGCGTATCCGTTCTTTCGAAAATCCGTGCATGTGCGTGGTGTGCGGAAAACAAGACGGGGGGGGGGGGCGCGTTTGTCATTGCGTTTGTAAAGATCCCTCCACGCAGCCGCGGTATTCGTGTGTGCGTGTCGCCTGCACGTTCCGCCTCGAGGAGGTGCGAGAGGAACTCGGAGAGGTTCACGCCTGAAGATCACGCGCGACGTACATACGACGATCGAGACTGTGCGAGGCAACAACGCGCGCGGATTGGTCGACGATAATAAGGTCGAGAATGAGAATGACCTGGCGTCGGACTGCGCGTGAATGAGAATCATTGTCGATAAAAAATATCGGCTAAACTCTCTCCTTCTCCGGGAGACGAGACGAGCGACGACCTCGCTACGACGATTATTCTATCCGCGATATCGCGCGCGATATCGACGAAAGCGTTTATTATTTAAGGAGAATACCGGTGCCGGCGGCAGACACGCAGTGTCCGAAGTTTGCCGAACCGGAGACCGCGGGATGATCGTGCATCTCCAAAGACCCTGCAAGTGCAAGTTGCGGTTTTCTTTTTTTTTTTGTTTTCCTCTGCTCCGTTGTAACGCGACTTCACTCCGACGGTACGCACACAACAAGCGGTAATATCGTCGTAAGATTCCCTCGGCTCTCGCACAGGCTTGGACCGGATCGACCGCTGTCTATTCTATGGCTTTGCTCATGAACTCTATAAATCGTTTTCCGTATTGTTCTGGATCACAGGTGGATATACCGTCGACGTTAGCACCGTACTTCACTGTCTTGGCCGCTTTCGCCGCTTGCTTGCGCACACCGTAATGTGTCAGCACGTCTATTATGGCCAGGAAGTAGATCTCCTTCGTAGGAGCACCTGCGAGAACACACAAGTGACACGGGTGAGTACATTCTTTACATCCGCATCTAAGGGAAGAAATGCGTTTCGCTTCGCTAGAAAATATACTTTCGGAGCTTTCCTGGACGCACAGCGAACCTAAATTTTTTAATTTCTTTTCTTTCTTTTTTTTTATGTGAAAGCATCATGTATAACCGACTTTCTTTACCAGTAATTAATATTCACATTAATTATCCCCCTTGTAAAAATTCCCCCAAATTTTACAGCAAGTGTTGCGAAAAATACTGCCTCTCCTGGCTAAGGCGGTATTTGCAAAACTTGCTATCAAGTCCGGATGAATTTTAAAAGCGGAATATGAATATTAATTGCGGGTGGAAAATAAGTTCGACGTATTTAGAGTTCGCTGTGCGAGCAGAGTCCAGCTGTTCGGGGGGGAAGTACCTTCTTTACTAGGAATAGCGTAAATGTCTAGTTCAGGTATGATCGCGTCCTCGTACTGTAAACTGGTGTCGCGCATCAGCGCGGCGTGCGGCGACTCGGGAGGCGTTGCCATGCTGGTGAGCGCGCCGACGCCGCCCCAACCCCACAGGCGGCTAGGCAAACGAGACATTGACGGGTGAGAGAATCATCACGATGTGGAGAAGGACGAGAAAGAGAGAGACACCGTCGCCCAGACTTACTCTCCCGCCGGGCCTCGGGACTCCAGTCCGCTGCCGGACTCACTGTCATCCTCCTCCTCGTGATTATCCTCGTCCTCTTCCCTCTCCGCGCGCTCTCTGCTCTCTTGTTCGGCGCGTGCGCAATCGTGCAGACCGAGCAGCAAGGAGTAATCCATCAGGTGTAGTCTCGTCAGGAACTAGAAGAGTGATCTCTCGGACTCTTTGCCGGACTCGGTCGACAGAAAGTACACGCAAGTGACTCTCGGTGAGGCTCTCGATCGCGAAGATCGTATGAACTTACTTACTTCTACGTCGGCGGTTAGGGTTTCTATTAGCTTAGCTTTGGCCTCTTCTCCGATGTAGATCTTCATGCCCTCCTTGACGAAGTCGTTGTCCTTGTAAGTGGGAAGATCCTTCTCCTTCTCCTTGTCCGACGCCTCCCGGTCCACCGTCGAGCCCTTCAGGTCGAATTTCTTGTGGGTGGTCAAGTGATTCGAGAACACGTTCCTTATGGCGACCACGTAGTGCTCGACACCGTCGACGGTCAGCCGATACATACCCAGGTATTGCGGCAACAGTGTCTTCCCGTGTCGCTCGACGATGTACTGCAAGGTGATTGTGGATAATTCGTTGAGACAAACTGTAATTCACCACCCTCCCGAGATCGACGATCAATCCCCCCCGTTCTCCTCGATCTCTCGCGTTACTTACGGGATGATACTGTTTCAAGAACGAGTGCATCCTCTCCACTTCCTCGCTCGTGAGGGTCTTAATGATGAACAGCTTGTCATAGGACTGGTAGAACTTCGCGCCGCTCTTTCCGGACGAGTCGTCGAGCACCGGCTGCGATCTGGAAAAAGAAGCAAGAGCTGCGGGAAGCTACGTCGAGCGCGCGCACATGCAGGAGTAGAGTGTGAGAGAAAGTCAAACGAATGCTTCAAAATTCGTATGAAACTCGCCGGGCCGGCAGGACTACATGGCAGAGCATGGTGTTGGTAAACACAAATGACTAATCGCCTCGTCGTGGTGGTGGAATTATTAAACAAGTAACAAAGTGGGTGGTTCTGATATTATTAGCCGGAGAGATATATATATGTCTGAAGAAGCGTATGTACGTATGTGTGTGTGTGTGTGTTTAGGTAAAATAATTCGAACGATATCATAAAAGTTAAACAGAGGGTCGATTGCACTCTAACGCACGAATTATTTAATTAGTGAACGATTATACGAGTCGTTAGAGTCAGCGTATGTATTATTATTACTATTATTATTAGTATTATTGGTCTCGCCGTCCTGATTGTCTCAATTATTATTAATCATCGAGATGACTGATGATCATGATCATTATTGCTGATCGTCGTGATCGACAAAGCAAATTGTTAGTGATCTCCAGCTATCCTCCTAAGCTGAACAACACCTTCGTGATGACATTCTTGAAAACAACTTTGCGCCATGCTTGATTTAATCGGGGAAAAGCTCTCGAGGGGGAGTGGGGGGGGGGGCAGTTCGCGAGTTCAAGTGTGCTCGAGCTGCCGCTGTTTTGCGAATGTGACCGTGTGAATAACAATCGTTAAAGATTATGTTGCTTTAGTCACGCCGATCCTCGTCCCCTCGGCTTTGTATGAGGCTCGCTCGACTTCAACCGGTGTTAGGAGGGTAAGAGAGAGAGAGAGAGAGAGAGAGAGAGATAAAAAAAACATAATGACACAGCACAGCACGGCAAAATCAAGTTTTGTTGTCTCTAACCTCAGGCGTTTTGGTTTAAAACCGTAGGTACGCAGCGGTTTGTTTAGAATCGAAATTTGCGAGGAGACAGAAGGAGAGGAAAGAGTAATCGACGGGGTGGTAGCGGAGCGCTGAACCAAGTGACGAGTCCTTCTGCAGACGGAAACCAAATCCGAGCGTTGCTTCGCTCGCGACGGATTAAACGCCCGACATCTATTACATCAAAATCCTTGCGTTACAAGTGGTGGCAGGAACAACGGGACGGGACGGCACACGCACACTCTCCCCGCTCGTGCCTAACCGTTACTACCGAGAAGTCGGTCCCGACCGACGTGAACGTGTCGTGGAAAACCGTGCGGAACCGCGAGCGGAAATTCGATCTGAATCTAGAAAGAGATTCGCATCGTCTCGGGTGTGTCTACCGTATCACACACACATATATACACACAGAAAAGAAGGTCCCTTTGGATTCAGTATACGTGTTTAACTTGGGTTTGTTTAATGCAATCAACGTGATATCAAATGTCATTTTGTTTGAATGAGACAAAATGTTGGTTTTGAGTAAATCATATTTGATTAAAAAAAAATAGTATTATTCGGAGGAAATAATATTTCATTTTTTTTTTAAGAAAAAAAATTAAATATTCTCCACTGAGACAAAAAAGTTCATTGGTATTTTTCTAATTCTAGTATTACTTTTTTTCACATAATCTATTACTTGCGACAAACATCGTAATGTTTGGGTGAAAATACGAGGAGAACATGTTAACTTGGCAAATATTGTGACACCGTTTGTGAAACCAAACAATCCAACTGAATCAAACATTCGTTGATTTGGTCCGTTCCAAGAGACAAATTCGACCCAATCCAAAAGATCTTATCAAATCCAAGGAAATCTTCCTCTGTGCGCCTAACTAGGAATAAATCCGCAGAAAATCATGCGTGTAACGCGACGGGATGGCATTACCTCGTCATCGACTCCTTGTAATCGAGATCGTCTATGCCGAACCTCTCTCGCAAATTCCTAAAGACTAACGGGCAATATTCTTTGATCTTGAAGTGGGATGGCATGTTCTCCCTGCAAAGGAAAGAGACAGCGCGTTATACGGTGTATCCCCTGCGGTGTATATTAATAGCCCCCGCCCTATGCAAAAATGTGCACGCAGGGGTGGTATGCTCGAACCAAAGATACGCGTATTTGCGTCTTATTAGCGTCAACGAATCCAAAGTTACACAAGAGCGCTTGCCAACTTATCACCTTGCCGCTGAGTACTATATACAGAGAGCGGACGATATATCGCTTAAATATATTTCTGAGATTGTCTCGTTGCAATCGTGTGGACACGGAGTTCCTCGAGTATATTTAGAAAGCCCGCTCTCACCACGGACGGTTACATACTCACAATCGGTTGGCAAAATACAGCCGAGGAGATGCGTGTTACAAGGAGACAAATGAAATCCCCGCATTATTGTGCGCACGAGACGTCGGGACGCGACGTACAACAATGCGGCGGTGAACTTACTTGTTGAAGAGATGGTTATCCACCTTTAACTTGCTGTAAGCTCTGAAATCGTCCGGCAAGAGCATTACTGGAATGTTAACGTGACTAAGTTCGTTTATCTGCAATGCAGCAAACACAATACATAGATAATCATAAATTTATCTCGCTTGCATGGGAAAATTAAGCTTAATGAATTGAGTTCAGAGGTCGAATATCTCTCTCTCTCTCTCTCTCTCTCTCTCAATAAAACGATCTGTCATTGAGAACCAAGGTGGATGGTGGTGGGGAAACGGCACGGATTGATAAATTCTGAAACGTCATATACGCGCGCGGTTGCTACGTGTTATACATACATGTATATACATATAAACGTACACGCGCGCGCATACACACACGAGATGCCGTGCGGTGTATAAATCGGAAGACGCGGACTCAATAATAATTATGAGTCATTGCGATCGACACGGTGAACGGGTCGCTGATTCGCGCGCGCGTTCGCCCGGCGGAAAAATCGCGACGCAGGCGGCGTGCGCGCACCGCGTCGGGAGAAACAAATAATCCCGCGGAGAAATGGGAAAATGGCATGACGATGACGTACGATCTTCCGTAAGCTGTCATCCGTGCAAATTGATGGGCGAGAGCGCTCTCCTCGCGCCCGACGAGTCGAACGCTCGCGGGGGCCGCCGAGGAGAGCGAGGGAAAGAGAGAGAGAGAGAGAGAAAGGAAGGGGATAGAGACAGGGAGGAAAAGACAGGCTCGCACTTACCGTGTGATTAACACCCCACATAAACACGCTGAGCAGCGGCTCGTTCGCGCGGAACAGCTTAACCTTCTGGTGCTTCACCCGAAAGTGTTTCTTTTTCAACTTGCTGAGCCCGCTGCTCGACATCTGCGGCAGACTCGACATCCTAGCTGTGGCGAGGGCGGCTCGCTACACCGCGACGGGAGCTGGTGGAAGCCGCGTAAAAGTCACCGTCGCCCGACGACGAAGAAGCTTTTTCGCTCTCTCTCTCTCTTTCTTTCTCTCTCTCTCGGCTGTCGACGACTCCCAGCCCGACCGACACTTACACCTAGACTTTGGCCGAGCTCGAACGCGCAAGGGACGGCCCTCTTCTCCGTCGTGGGTTTACCTTTACATCGTATATCGTCGGTCGCCGCAGCGAGCTCTCTCTCTCTCTCTCCGTCTCACGTACCCGCGGCGAATCGTTCTCTCGCCTTATCAGCCGACGGGCCGGAACACGCCCATGAATCGCGAACGGATCCTCGTCGACGCGATGCGTCACACACACGACTCGACGACGATCGGCACTACGTAGTCGTTGAGAGTTCGCGATCACCGTCGCTCGGAGACCACCTCGCCGCGCACTTTGCTGCCTCTCCCTTCGCGCCCCACCACGTCCCCCGCCCGGTCGAGAACGACGTAGTCGCTGCGATCGCGCGCGCGGCGGCGGGCGGCTGATCGAGCTCCTTTTAAAAATGGCGAACGTCCCGGAACAGCTCCCGCAGCTGGTGTAGCTCGAGTCCGGGTGCGGGAAATGATGTCCCGGTGATGATCAAATCGTCGAGTGTTCCCGGCGAAACGCATGAATTACCGTGACGGATGGTGACAGACTGTCGTCTTCGCGCCGTTGGGCGACTCGAAGTTACCTGACGTTAGCCGCCATTGAATCGCGGCTGCTGAGCGATTGGCAGGATTGACGAGAGCGGCCGATCGTGGCCAGTGTTCTCAAGTTGGGGGATCCAGTGCAGCTAGGCTACACTTCCCGTTCTATCGGCGTTTTCCCGTGTTTTAACTCGGAGAAATCATGTTTGTTTCTCAAACTAGTTTTGGAGCCTTTCTTGCGAATTTACCTAACCATATACGGGGCCCGTTTTTTACAATCAAGACTATAAAAATTGATAATAATTGAACAATAGAAATTGACCAATCATAGTCGAATATGAAGAGAATAGTCAACTGTAATTGGTCAATTTCTTAAGGCTGAAGGCTTGAAACATCTATTGTAAACCAGGACTAAGTGTCGGTGTACAATAAGTATTTTAAGCCTTAAGAAATTGACCAATCACTAATTTAATTAATTATTCTCTTCACACTCGACTGTGATTGGTCAATTTCTTAAGGTATAATATAATACCTATTGTAGACCGACACTATTACTGTTAAGACTTAATGCAAGATTGTAGACAAGGAGATAGTTGTGTTTATATTTAAGACCGTCTTAAGTTTATCTTCAGGTGTTTCGGAGCCAATGAAATGAGCTATACAGCCTCTGAAGATGAATTTAAGACAGTTTCAATTATAAGATCCGACTACGAATACCGGCCCATGATAAAGAAATTTTCGCTCTTTTGGTCCCGATGAATTAAAAACTTCTCTGTCAATCGAATAAGATTTTGGAACATGACCCACGAATCTTTTCGTTGATGACTTTCAGCGTGATTGATACCGCTAACGATTTTTCCCTCTGGCTGCGTCTCGATATTCACTACAGTGCTGAATATCTATAATATACGTGACATAAACTATAAATTTCCAGCGTTCGCGGTGAATCTTGGAACGCAGCCTCTGAGCACTGGGTCAGTGAGCTTGAATTTGTACTTTCTACACTTCGTCACCCCGCTTTCATTCCCTCCTTTCCGAACATTTGAATATATGTATTCGTTTCGTTCTAAATCTCGCTTCCCCTTTCTTCGTTCTCTCGCTCTCTCCCTCCTCCTTTCTCTCTGTCGTGCGAACGTAACGCGTGTATCGCTTTATTCGCGCTTTAAACGCGGAAAGTGCAGATAAGCGGCGTGAATCGTCATCGTGAGGACGAGCTTGGAACACGCGTGGAGGATTCATTACAAAACAAGGCCCGCGCGTGCAGCACGTAAAGATGGAAGCGAATGCGACGGCTAATCCGCGTCCGAAAAAAATGCACAATAATTACGAGGATGAGGAAGAGCGGAAGCACTTCCAGAGGATCGTCGCCGCGTTCAAGTACTACAAGTGAGTGTATATCCGACGATAAGCCATAAATCCGGTCGGTGTCGGTCGGTCCTCTTATCTTTCGTTGGTTCTTTTATCCTTAATTACCAGCGATGATCGGCTTAATTTAATGTGTGTAAATTGTTCGTATCGGCGATGACCCTTAAGTCAAGGCGTAATATTGCTGGTTTATTTGTTTACTTACTTTTTTTTCTGTGGACTTAATCTAACGAATTATAATCATTTGTAGAGAGATCATTTCTCAAATTATTTATCTGCTGTTTATCCCTTACCTCCTTCTGTTTCTGCACAGACCACACTCGTTGTCAAGGGTAAAGAAATCGGAATCCTATCTTCTCACTCTGCCAACGCACCATCAGAAACTTTTGTCAAAGTACAGGGACCATCTGCAGGAGGTAAAGCGTTGCATCGAGAACAATGATCACATTATAAAACTCATTATAAAGGATGTAGCTCATATATTCGAGAATGTTCATCCAGCTGCTGCACAGGCTGATAGTGTAAGAAAATATTTATAGATATATAGATATATTTCTTCATATGACATATATATATAGCATTCTGTTGTATAATTTAATGTCTGATTGCAGACATTAAATCCACGCCCTGTGATGGTGGACCAAGAGAAGGTCCAAGCTACCATTAAGCAATTGGTACGCGATTGGAGCGTAGAGGGTACAGAAGAACGAACAGCATGTTATCAACCTATTATAGAGGAAATATTGAATCAGTTTCCATTAGACCAATGGTATGGTAACCTATTACTAACCTACTATACGCTGCATTACTCTATTCCCAATTATATATCCTAATTATTGCATTAAGAGAAAAAGTAACAGGGGAAACTTATGCGGAAGTTTAAAAATTTCACACTGCACATTTTATCACTGATACTTTTTGAAAAAAGAAAAAAAAAAGAAAAAAAAAGGAAGGAATATAGTCGCACTAAGAATTTACATTTAAGAAAATGGACAAGTCTGTGAAAAAAGTTGCAGCAGCAAGATCTTCAATGTACTCCAGAAGTTTCCCTTGCGAGTTGCATTAGAACGTAGTTAAGGAGAATATCGAATGATAGGTAAATTTCCAGTACGCCGTCGAACGTATATATCTTAGTACCTGGTGCAGGATTGGGCCGACTTGCCTTTGAGATTGCAAGGCGCGGATACACTTGTCAGGGGAACGAATTTTCATTGTTCATGTTGTTCGCATCGAACTTTGTACTGAACAAGTAAGTAAGCAATGAAAGAATAGTTTCATTATGTCGGTTGTAATTTGTGAATTCGTAACGTAACTTTTAACATTGACGCAGATGTCGGGAAGTGAACTTGTATCAAGTGCATCCTTGGGTACACCAATATATGAATAACTTGAAACCGGAACATCAGACGCAAGCAGTCTCCTTCCCCGATGTGAGCCCGAGCGATCTTCCAGGAACCGCACAATTCTCCATGACTGCGGGGGACTTTTTAGAGGTAACCTGCGGTATTTCTCGAAACCCGGACGATACTCTCCCCCCGCTCGACGGCATTAAAAATTCGAGAAATATCCCTTTCAGGTTTATACAGAGGACAATCACTGGGACTGCGTAGCAACATGCTTCTTCATAGACTGTGCCAACAATGTTGTACAATTCATTGAGACGATTTATAAGATTTTGAAGCCAGGTGGAGTGTGGATAAATCTCGGACCGTTGCTGTATCACTTCAGTGATTTGCCAAACGAGGAATCGATCGAGCCGAGTTACGACGCCATTCGCGAAGTTATCCTGGGCTTCGGCTTCCGGTTGGAGGTAACAGTTGCCGTCTGACACCCGGGCAAATTCTTGGAAATATCCTCGGAAAGGGAGTATTCTTACTTTACCAACGTGTTGTGTTGTATCTTTCAGAAGGAAGAGACGCAAGTGAAAACGCGTTACGCCCAGAACATCAATAGTATGCTGCAATGCGAGTACAACAGCGTGTACTTCGTCTGTCGAAAGCTCCACCAACATATAGACAACGTAAATCATAATCATAGGAATTGCTTGGACAGCAACGGCGCACAAGAACAAGAGAATTAAGAATGGAACGCCGTATATATATATAATATATATATATACATACATACATACATATATATATTTTACTCACGCGAGGAAAACATGTTGAATGCTAAAAAGTTGTTACATATATTTAAGTACAATCAACTTTCTCTATCTATTATTTAGTAAGTATACCATCGTGTAAAGTTGGCGAGTCTGCATAATACGTAAGACATTTTTACATGTTCACCTTTATGATCAATTTATTTGAGCCTAAGATTTATTTCGTATGTGCCAGTAAGACAGTACCGCTACAGTGAGTTCAAGCATGGGGTTTAGTATTGTTGAAAAAAAAAAAGAAAAGAACAATGGACGAGCTGGTTTCTTTCCCCGGAATCGACTGAGATATCGCGTATAGTAGATAAATTATTTTCTGAGATTATAAATCGCGTTAACTTTCTCACATATTGCGTGAGATCAGACAATATTCAGGTGTGTATGTTCTCCTTTCGTTATATCGCGAATCGAGCGTCCGGCGAACTTGACCGAACGTCTCGAGACAAGTCAGCGAATACATTATACGGACAGGCGGCTTTATATACATATATCCGTAATATGTAGTCGTTATATTACAGTTAGGAAACGAAACAGATACGCATCCACTTTCCACTTTGTTATAAGTTTTTATTGAGATATTGTACGAATAATGCGGCGATCTGATCGATCCCACTCTGTTGCATTTTACTGTAAGTTAAAAACTGCCTGCGTAATCTTAGAAGATGCGCGGGCGCGGCCGAATTGCACACTGTCACACTGCAACCCGGTACCTTTATGTCGTTGTTGATTCCCAATTGTTTCGCTGACAATATCGCCTTTGTGATGAAAGAAAAGAAAAAAAGAGTTGTATGTTACTACAATATACATATGTACACATATAGCACCTATAGTGTATATATACATATATAGACCGTCCGATAGAGAATATCGCGTGTACACGTTACGTCGACAGATCTTATATTGTACAGTGTGAGGGGGAGAGAAAAAGAGAGAGATTGTTTCAAGAACAAAAGAAAAATACAGGAAAATGCAGCGTTTGCATTCCGATGCGCAAATCGTTCTTGTTGTTGAAATCGACTATTCTGATATGTACATAAGTTAACTATCTCTGCCATAGCTACGTCGTACAATTGTGATTAAATGAAAAAAAAAAGAAACGACTCACGTTTATCACGTCTTGCGTTATCGAGTCCAGTTCGTACAGGTAATTCGTCGATGCTAACGGTGGCTGAAAGATGAATTCATTCACGTGAGATGTCGGACGAATTATTCGGGAAACACGAATGAACACGATACCAACACACTGAGTACTGAGATTCGGTTTCGGCGCTTTCACCTCGTAGAGCGACTTGTAAATCTCCTCACCGACCAATTCGTCGTCCGGTGTGACCGCGAAAAGCGGCGCGTCCCATCGATTTCTACCTTCTGGTGCTTCGTATCTGTTGGATTCAATGTTCAAACGTGAAATCTGAAGAACGTATTTGCGTTGCTTGTGATGTCACTATGTGACTACCTCGCGACAAGGGCGTCAAAATTTTCTCGGCTGTACTGGTCGGACTTGGTTCGTTTGTTGTTCAACATCCAAGCGTGCTCGACCGGTATATCACAGTGTATCGTGCATTGGGGAGTTTTGTACAATTTTGTCATACAATAGATCTCATACCGGTATCCTTTGATGTAATTACTGCCGTCGAATATCAACAGATTACGTGTGTCGAGTCTGCGCTGAATATCCGACTTCATGGCGCTCCTGACAGCTTTCTCTTTCTTTGAATCTGAAATATAATTTACCTGGATTCACTGTTTCTTGATTAGCACGATCAGACGTACAATTATTAAGTGACAATCGTGTCGCAACTTAAGACTCCCACTGACCGGCGTAAAATGTATTCTTATCATAACCTGCCGTAACTATCGCGTCGGATTCGCTAATTATCTCCACGCTTTGCCCGGTGCTTTCTAATCTCTTCTTGAAGTAGTCTTTCAGTTCGAGACCCCTGGTCGTTTTACCGCTACACGGATTGCCCGTTATCACTATGAGTGGCATTTTAATCTAATAGTCAAACGTCGGTGCGAGAAGTCTCAATGAAGAATTCACACTATCCCGCCACAGCCTGCGAAAAGCTGGAACAAAGACGCAATAAAATGAGTTAAACGTGCGAATTACTTTGTTAAGTAAGGTTAGTTAGACCAAAACATAACCTAAACATACAATCTTCGCATAACCTTCATGTAACAAACTATAGTGATAAATTTAAAACTTTATGAATGTGCAAAATTTGCATGATATATTTTACGTCTCTTAAATTACGTGTTTCAAAAAATGTATACTTATTTTGTTGCATACCATATCGTATGTACAAACAGCATGCTCCGCCAAGTACCGATAGGTATAACCACAAGAAATCTTCCCACTGGCCCGTCAGAGAAAGTAGCAGGAAAGTTCTTTTTATTGGCTAGTTACAAATGTAGCATGATGCCAACCTCTAAGAGAAAGGTGCAGTCATCTTTTCAACAAGTTCGACTGCTTCTAGTAAATTCAATAGGAACGCCTCATGCAGCCATTGACTAAATTTTATCTCGTGTTGATATGCAACCAATGAAACGGTCCTGTGTTGTAAGCATGCGCCTTGTGTGTCCGGCATGTTGTGGATGAGTGACGTATGGATGGGGCTTCGTAATTCCCAAAAGCTTGTAACCACACGAGACGAGATCTCGTCAAATCTAGTGTCAACAGCCATATTCCTGAAGAGGAGTTTTACGTGTATCCGGGTTTTAACGCGATTACATCTTGTGATAACCGCGTTTTATCGTCTTCCACATCAAAATTTGTCTTTAGCATAATCGAAAACGGCAATTTTCTCTCTGTTGTCGGTATCACGGTAAAAATCGCACGTGCTGATACGTTCTGAACGTGAGTGCACGACGCGAAGACGCGGTTCAACGTAAACATCATGACCGCCCTTTACTTGGAACATTATCTCGACAGTATGTAATTAGATCGCTTGCGAATTTGTTTTTTTACACAGATACACCATTTCTTTCTGTATGACGCAAGAATTGCTTTGATTTACATCTTCGTGTACTCTTGCCGTTGGAGAGATTAGGAGCGCGTTTTGGAGGTTAAGATTTGCAGGTTAAGGCGTGAAGGAGGGAAAAGCAAAAGTAGGAAGGCGAAGAAAGTGTAGTGGATGTACAGATTTATTATTTGTTATTTTATACCTTGCAACCGTCTACTTTTGTCTCCTCGTACTTGGAGGATAATTATGCAGAAAATTATAATTTCCTATTAAATCGAGGGACCTGAGTTAATTAAGTTTTAAATGATTAAATAATTTTAATTTCATTGTTAATTTTTAATTCTTTAAATCTTTAATTCAATAACTTTAATTGATAACTTTATTTGATAAAGTTTGAAATGTATCGACAAACTGATATTCATGTTTTATAATTTAAAGTGCGTATCTTCGACTGTGAAAATAATTTTGCAGAAAATTATAATTTTCTGAGAAATTGAAGAACTGATGAGAAGTTGACTTGATGAGACTTGAGTCAAGTTTTAAGAAAATCAACAAATAGATATTGATATTTTATGATTTTTTTATTATTTTTTTTACTTGAATAGGTTTTAAAGGAAATTAATTTTACACTAACTTATCAGATCTTGCTGTATTAAAACTGAAAAATATGTATGCTGCGTTGTTGACTCATGTATTTCCAAAGGAGCTCTATGATGAAGTTAGGGATAAGCTTAACGATCGAATAGCAGGTTTGTGACAGAATAGAAGCTAAGAAGATATAATAAAGATATTTTTTTCAGTTTTTTATCATTCTTTTTTTATTATTCTACCTTCTTTTTCATTATCTCAATTTTTATTTTTTTATTTCAATTTATCAACTTATGTTTATGTTTTTATTATATTATTTTGTTGTATGCATTTTAAGGAGAAAGAAATATTTTGAATATTTCTATATTAATGTCTTGTATTTTTTCTATCTGTCATCAATGGTCTAAGACCGTCGTGTGTATGTCACAGGTCTCGAGCACTTGCCTATCGAGTTGCAGAGGAATTTCACGTTAATGCGGGACTTGGACGCCAGAGCTCAGATTTTGATGAAGGACATCGACAAGCTAGCGGACGAATACTTGAGAAACATAAAGAAAGAGTCACCGGAGAAGAGCAAAGAACAGATCTCACATATTCAGAGCCTCTTTAACAAGGCCAAGGAATATGGCGACGACAAAGTCCAACTCGCTATACAGACCTACGAATTAGTCGACAAGCACATCAGGAGGTTAGACTCTGACCTGGCGAGGTTTGAGGCTGAAATACAGGACAAGGCATTGAACAGTAGCAGAGCGCAAGAGGAGGGTAACGCCAGCAAGAAGGGAAGAAAGAAACTGAAGGAGGAGAAGAAGAAGAAGAAGGGTAATGCGGCCAGCAGTGAAGACGAATTCAAAGCGCCGAGGAAGAAGCAGAAGAAAGGTATGTTCTTCTTGCTCTCAAAATTTTTCATTTTGCAGATCTTCCCTGAATATTTTACCGGAAGTACTATGAAATCAGTGAAAAGTGAAATGAGAGTTATCGAAAAATTATTGGATATATTTCAAAATGAATCATAATTTCCTCTATGAAGTTTCATCTAGTACTGTGAAATATAAGGAAAGTTAAATCATACCGTTGAAAAGTAATAAAAAATTTTTTGAAATATATATATCATGAAATTTATTGAATTTAGTTGAAAACTAAATTTTTATTGAAATATTGATGGGATAATAATGAAATGAGGTTGATTGAGAGGGAATTTCAAGCAATTTCAGAAAAATTTCATGATTTTTTCGGTAAAATATTTCCATCTGGGTCTTCAGCTCGCGATGATTTCTCATCTTGTGAATCTCGTGATTATTATCTCGCCGTTGCTACATGCGAATATATAAACATACGTATTTATATCAGGTGGCTCCGTTGCTTCAGCATCATCTACCGGTGCTGTGGGCAGCGGTGCTCAAGTGGATGCTACGCCATTGGGACATCCAGCCGATGTCTTGGACATGCCCGTTGACCCCAACGAACCTACTTACTGCCTCTGCCATCAAGTGTCATACGGAGAAATGATCGGTTGTGACAATCCAGACGTAAGTTCTACTTTGCCACTCATGCTTCGGTTGTGTTCTTTGATCTTCCTTTACTTTTCACACGAATTGTAACGCGAAGTTGATCGTTACCGAAGAGAAGTAATCGATGGTTTCCTGTGTTATTCTTGACAGTGCCCGATAGAGTGGTTCCACTTCGCGTGTGTGGGTCTAATAACCAAACCCAAGGGGAAGTGGTATTGTCCCAAATGTACTCAGGACCGCAAGAAGAAATAAGTCCTAAGAAGATTGGAGCGTGCGCTCGCACGTCTCGTCGCATATTTATGTAAACAGAAGGAAAGACTATCGTACGTTATTTCTAAAATTAGAATGTAACTTTTTCATATTTAGGCGTAGAGGTATAAATGGTTTTATATAAGAGAACGATGTTACGGGAGCGAATTTTACGGGAAAGGAGGGAAAACAATGGAAGGATGCAGGACTGCATTTTCATTGCATCTATTGCTGATGATGACGTCGATATCCGTTCGTTTCCATTTATCGATACGACGAAGTGCGCGCGAATCGTCTACAGTTCTCGTCAATGTAATATGATATCCTCACCGTGCAATAGGATCTCGTGCCGCAGGCTTTTCTTAATGTTATCTTATATTGAAGAGGGCTTGGAATATGCGTTTGCATCATGCGTGCAAGTGTAATCGGACGGTTCAAATGAACTTTTATTGTCAATTTTAGATGTAATGGAAGCACAGTTAGAACGTAAGCTCATCACAGACGGTGAACACTTGAGAATCGGCCGTTCTCGCGTCGCTTCGCCTTCTCTTCACACATCGGGATAGTAATTTATTGATGTTGATGCCATCGCATAAAAATCGCTTTGTATTTTTGCATTCTTTCGCACGGCCGTTTCTTGAATACCTGTGATTTGCTGACTTATTGTGATTTTTACGCGAAATGTAGCATTATGAAAGAGAAAGAGAGAGAAAGGAGAGAAAGAGTAATAATTTTAATATATTAGCACTATATGGATATATATGAAAGTTATTACTGTTTTTATATTTTATAAATGGAAATTCCCAGCGTGTGCACATTATATGCGTATATATGTCCGTACGCGTAATGGGGGCGGATTCGTATATACGCGTATATGTCGGCGTGGAAATAAGCTTGCATCGGAGAAGAAACGGGTGTATATGTTATGCAAATAAAAGAAAATTTAATCGTACGTGAGATTGAAAAAAATATATCTATATATATTTGATTTACGGTAACGTAAATCCCGAGCCTGCCAGTATATCTACCTGTATATCCGTCGCCAAATATTTACAAAATCTATTTACAAGCGTTGTCAATCAGCTAGCAATAGTACCGTATCGTATAACAATGCCCGAGTCGCGAATAAAGTCTAAAAATCGCCGATCGTCCCGACTATCGGAGGGACGTCACGAGTTTTTCAATTAGCGATCATCTACAGCTCCTTGTCGCTCAACAGCGCTAATTAAGCCCGTATCAGACTACCTGTCTTGGAAATTGAGGATCACGGGACAGAAACTGCAATTCGACAAATTGACCAATCTCGATCCCGGCTCTCTCTCTCTTTGTTCGCACGATCCTTAATTTCCGGTAGCCAGTCCGAAACTTCAGAATGCGTTTCTGGAATGAGTTCTTCGTGGCGTCTTCGATCTCATCAATGTAAAGCTACTCTCCGACAAACGTACGAATAAATCACTAGCGGTACGCCTAGCGCGTGCGAGATTACAAACAACTTACAGAATAAATAACGACGTGTGAATATTCGAACGAGTATCAAAAAAGACCGGACTAGAACAGAGCGCGAAGCCCACGCGCTTCAGGGAATGCCCGACTGTCTGTTGCAGCATTGGCTGGGCGGCGCGGTCCAGTTGTACTGATAACTCATGCGGTTCCTCACTTCCTTCGAGCACAACGCCCCAGAGGCCTGGTAATACTCGTGCATGCTCCTCATGTTCTGTATAGTTTGCTTGTGAGTAATAATGTATTGGTTGGAGCAGCCGCGCGACCTGTACTCCGTGTCGAAGCGCACGTCGTGCTTCCTCTCGATGTTCGCCAACGGTGCCAGCCAGAGACCGACGGACACGTCCTCCGAATTGTGCAGCCTGAAGCGAGAGGTTGGCGAATGACTCCCCGCGATCTCGGAAGGTACGTTCCTCCGGCGAAATCCATTCGCCGAACGAATGAATCTCGCGGGATGAATGAATCAAATGGATGAAGGCTGGGTTGGGAAATAACGAGTCACTTGTAACGTCCTTGGGGAAAGTGACTTTTCAGAATAACGACTTGGAAAGGACGTTATTTTATTTTTTCTTCCCCCTTTTGTTTTAGCAACGAGTTTAATCGTTACTTTGTTCAATAGGTAATGGTGATGAATTATTTTGAGAAGGTGAAGAACTTACGTCCGTTTTTACTGCGATGGTTTAAATCTAATTGACGACTAACTCAACAGAATTGACCAATCGCATCGGTCAGTCCGGCTAATCGGCCAATCGTTAATCGTCGGTTATATTTAAACCATAATGGTGCGCTGAGAAAAAGATTTCTTCGAATTTCATCAATTCTGTTGGTTTCAGTGACGCGTTAACGAAGCCACTTGTGAAGCCTTAACTTTCCCAAACTTAAGGCGAGGGTGAATCATCAATGCTCACTTGAGGATATCCGTGTTGCTCGCGATAAACTTGACGAGATTGTAGGACAAGATGTAGCCGCCTCCTAAGGCATACGGTAGGTAATAATCGCAGAGGATCCAGTCGGTCTCCTTCCACGGGCCGCTCCTCTTCACCTGCGCCCGGCCGTTGAAGAAGCCCCAGTAGAGCTCTCGCCTGGTGCCCTTGCTCTCCCACCTGTCCAGCTCCTTCAGGATCCTGTGTACCAGCACGTAGGAGTCGTCGTCGCACTTCAGCAGGAAGTCAAAGTCGTAGTGCTCGTAGGTGCTCTTGAGCGCGTGCAGCACCTTCTTCGTCAGCGTGCCGTACGAGTCCTGGAGTCTGGGTAGCAGCAACAGGTCGTTGAACTTATCCCTCTCCGACAATAGGGTGTTCCTCTGCTCCGGCAGGATGTCCAGGGTGCCGACTACGAACAGGGGACGCACCATGGCGTTGTGATCCACCAGCCAGGTCTTGCGGATGGTGTCCCGGCGCTCCAGGTTGTCCGGGCTGCTTAGAATCAGCACGACCAGTCTGTACTTGCTTTTATCCTCCGTCGCGGGAGACTCGTTCGTCGAGCATCCCCGGGCCGGCAAGTAGCGCACACACAGGAAGACGAATGCCAACACCAGGACGAACAGCAGCGCGTTCGAGCGGACGAACAGCTTCCGGCGGCTCATCGGCGATAATTTCGGCGCGAGGACGAAGCGCAGATGCGTCATGAGAAATTCCGTCGAGTCAGCGGCGGCCCGATTTTGGATTCCGCCGCAGAGAATACCGAGAGAGAAAGAGAGAGAGAGAGAGAGAGAGAGAGAGAGAGAGAAAAATGAACGGCTTCGAATTCGAGGGCGGCTCCTCGTGCCGGTCGCGCGATCCTGAACCCGTGGCCGCTGGTATCTCACATCGTTGCGTTGCCTTCGAGTCGTCTCTCGTGAACTTTGACCTCGTAAATTCGAGCAGTACCACGGAAACGCAATAGAGACGCCGAGTGCAGGTTTCAACGGCAGATTTCGATCCGGTCGGCACAATACCTGGCTCTTGTTTCTCCACGAAAGGAAATTCCAAGGTCTATTCGGTGTAAAACGGAAATCCCATCGGGCTTTGTCACTCGTGGATTTAAGTGATAATTCGAGTAACGACGGTTACACGGACGAGCACTGTCAAACGTCAACGATCAGCTGCATCCCGCGATCAGCTGACCGGCTCCTCCCCTCCCCATACCGCAGGCTTCAGGTTAGGTTGCACCATTTTGCACCGGACAGGACTGAGCGCGGGTCGGCACCGAGTGCACCGCTGGTGCGAGCCTCCTGTACGCCCGCTGAAACACTCGCGGCACCTGGTGAGTGCACGACATTAGCGCATTTCTCTCCGAGGATCTCGAAAATGATATTGAAACTGGAACATCAGTCATTTGCACTAGTTACCAGTTTATACAAGCGATGTATAACCTACAATGAAAACTGACCTCGTTATCGGAAAACTTATGTGCCACCTCTAAAAAGTTTTATATTTCCGGGATAATATGTCTTTCATTCGAGTAAGTAAATAGTCGTCATCATTGCCAATAGATGATGACGAGAGGAAATCGAATACTACTTGCATATTCTGTATGTTCAAATCACCTATGCCAATTCGCGCCGCCATATTTTGCACGCAACCGGCACCGTTTCTCGGAGCTCGGTGCTGAATTTCTGTACTGAAAGTGCGGAAACTCAGCACTAGATTTGCCGATAAAACAGCGCGCACGATCTTCGTGTGCACTGAAATCCCCAGTGAAACACGAAGTCCGTGACTAATGCGCGCTTAGTGCGCACCAGAGTATCGATTATGTAATTTTTCCCATAGGGCGGAAAAGTGAAATATTTCCAAATTGTGAAATTTTCACGAATTCAGGCTAAAAGAGAAGATTCATTACATCTAGACGGCTGTAAATATTCCCTTCCCGTGTGAACTCGTCAAATGTATAAATTTCACGTAAAAGTATAAATTTTACGAATTATAAGTTTTCTAATTTGAAAATATTTCGCTTTTCATTTTACAAGTTTCCGTCCTGTGAGAAAAGTTACACGATCGATACTGAGTTCTGCCGAAGAACGCCGTTAGTTGCATTTCGCAATGACAGAGGTCTTTCCAAAGCTAACCTAACCTAAGCTAAGCTGACCCTAACCTTCGATCAATTGTTATTTTTCTTGAAACTTAGGTATCACAAAAACATGGTTTTCAATTTCGAATTATTCTATCAGCACTTAAAGAGTTCAAATTACAATCTCGTCTCACAGGACAGTTCAGTTCAGTTGATGCGATTCTTTTATTTTTAGAAATCATTCTGCTGAATGGTTATCGGATAAGCAATAAACACGTGAGGATTATGGAGGTTATCGAATTGGTGTCCGATGATGACCAATCGGACGAAGCTGCACGTAGAAGCAAATCCAAAGCGGGCAACAGTAACTGCATTAATTTCAAATGTCAGTCCGGAGTAGATATGAAACCGGCGCCTTCCTTTGCCTGTGCTTATTATGGTGTCACCAGTGAGAGGAAGAAACGTGTAATATGCAAAGAATGCTTTAACACTGCTCTGCAGCATCAACAGGTGTGCGCAATTTCATTTAAAAATTTTATTGAGATAAATTAAGAATTATCTGTGTATATGATTACTATTATATATATATATATATATGTGTATATATATGTATATATACATACACAGGATGTCCCAAAAAAATATATTCTGAATGATTGTAAAGTCAGCATTCATTATATTAATTATATATTAACCTGTTAACCGGGGAATTCCTTTTTTAATTACGCAACATATAACGGGTGCGTACTCTTTCAACACATATTTCAAGGACGTATTCATATGTCCTATCCGTACCCGATATTGTTTACGTTTGACGTATTTATACGTCCCGCTCGGTTAACAAGTTAAGAGATGTTAGATACGATGTAATAATTGCCACAATCATGTTTAAATTTACAGCGACTGGTGACAGCCCTTGTGCAAAATAAACCACTATTAAGTTGTGACTTTCCAGATCACACGATGGAAGTAGAAATTTCCGACAGCGATGAGTCTGACAGTGAGGAGAAAAGAGAAGCGGACGTTGAAGGTATACTAAACTTCTAATATCATTCCTAAGCAGTAGAAATTTAAGAGAAAGAGAGAAAAGAGGAAATAATTAAATCAAATCTGATTTTATAAAATCTAGGTGATCTAAGTATCTGTCTGAAAGGTATCATAGTAGTTCTATTCTTACAGAGCAATATGTACCTGAAGATATATTCGTGGACATTAAAGATAAATTGGACGATACATTAATGTATATCTCTAAAAAGTACAATATCAAACATCAAATTGAGGTAGCTTGCACAGACCTGAAGAAGAAGTGGAAAACCATAAGCGGTAAAATTACGTCCTCTTCCGACTTGCACGCGCAATCTGTTTATTGTATCCTATTGTTTATCAATAGCAACGAATCATGATCTTGACATGGAAATACGGGGAGTGATGAAGACCATGGACAAATTGCGCAACGATCTGTACGATGAGTACAAACCGCAGATTAAAATGCTCGAGGAACTTCAGATAAACGACGGGCCTGTTGCCGAGTCTCTCTGTCCGTTTGTGGCGACGAAGAAGGTTACACAAGTACGCGTTCAATCTGCCGCACTTTCGCATGACAACCAAGTGGAGATTTTACCGATCGAACGGGACGGCAAGCAGATGATGGTCCCCGATTTACCTCCGACCGGGCCGCTCGTGAAAACTGCCCCGGAAGTGGATAACTTCGTTTTCGCCATGAAAACTCCTTCCCAGGCTTGGATAAAAGGAAAGGTGCGCACGATGCAGCAGTATAAAATAATGCCCTACCATCTTTATCAGACAATCCCACAAGTATGTACAGTACGGCGACTCTTGTTTTTTTGTAGGTCCATTACATGATCACGCAAAATCCGTGGTGCGCTCGTGTGAAGCTACTGAATGTTAAGACTAACAAGGAACGCCCAAACATGAAGACCGTTTACGGCAAACACGTAGCGATAGCTCAAATCTGCAAAGTTATAATACCGGTTGGGACGCGAGTTATCGCCATATTCAACGACGCCACTGACAGCGGCTTCTTCAGCGGAATAATCGCCGAGACGCCCAAGTCCACGAACAAGTACAGGTGAGCGGCATTTTGCGCGAACGTCTGGGAAAATATCTCCCGTGTGGAGGCTCGTGAGCTTCGGAATCTTCTTCCCGCAGGTACTTGGTGTTCTTCGACGACGGTTACGCGCAGTATATCACCCACCAACGTATCCACGTAGTTTGGGAGAGCTCGCCGCACGTTTGGGAAGACGTGCCGATCGACTCGCGGGACTTCGTGAAGAAATACCTGGAGTCGTACCCGGAGAGGCCGATGGTGAAGCTGCAGGCTGGCCAGATAGTGAAGACCGAGTGGAACGGCAAGTGGTGGGTCGCGAGAGTGATACAGGTGGACGCGAGTTTGGTGCAGATGTACTTCGACGCCGACGGTAGGACCGAGTGGATTTACCGCGGATCCGCTAGATTAGGCCCGCTCTATTTCGAGCTGATGAAGGCCTCCGCAAGGCAACAGGGCAACAAGACGCACCACGTGTCGAGCATCGCCCACAATCGGCTGCCGCGCATCGCCGCGGCCTCCAACGTGAGTGTCGCCTCACATCGACGTGGAAACTCCACGTTCGAAGTAGAGATGTGTGAACATACAGTAGAAAATATCGATATTTCTTACTGTATCGCTCATCTCTGATTCGAAGTGTCGAGGTAACTTCCCGATGGTGAATTTCTTATGCGTTGTGTCATCGCACCTTCTTACAGAAAAGCAATCTGCCGTATGTCGAGTACACATCCAACGTGGAAGCGGACGAGGAAGTAACGCAGAATGCGCGAGCGGCGAAGGCAACGGTCGTGACGAACGCGATGCCCGCCGCCGCACCGGCACCCGCTGCACCGGCACCCGCCGCACTGCAACAGTCTCGAGCGGTAGCGAAGAAAAGCACTACCAAGAGACCCATCAACGTGGACAGCGCGGCGACAACGGCAATGACACCGTACAATCCTCCGACGGAAATGAAGCCGTCTCATAGTATCGTTGTGAGTAAATTGTCATTAAATGATTCAACAAAATGGCCATACGTTGCTGTTAATTAAAAAGCATCAAGATCAGCTGTTGCCCCATCTTTTGGTCGCTTCCGTACCACTGAATATCTAACTTTTTTCCTACAATTTTTCCTCCAATAAATAATAGTGATAATTATCGTATACATAATATAGTAAGATAATTATATATATATATATATATATTTCTTAATAATAGTAATATGTATAATTTATATATTTATCAATTATTTATAATTACAATTTACAAGTAGTGTTAATTATTATTACGTGGCTGTTACGTGATATATTTATATAGTAATTAGCTCGATTGATCGGATAATTCGATTTCTCCGATGCCTCCTCGTCCTTTTCCAGTTTTACCACACCAAGAGGAAATACGAGCCGAAGAAGTACGTTTTGCACAAGTGCTCGTCAAAGTGCACCAAGGGCATCAAGGTTTCGCAGGATGACTTGAAAGGGCTGCCGCCGCTTGCCATTCCCTTGTTGTGCGGATGGCACCGGCAGCTCTGTAAATTCTCCAAGACCAAAAAGGTGATACTGTATCAGGCACCGTGCGGCATCAGGCTACGAAATATGGAGGAGCTGCACCGTTATCTCCGCGCCACCGGCAGCACCTTGTCCGTTGATCTGTTCGACTTCGACTACTGGGTGCGCGCCTTCGCAGACTTCATCGTGGAGAAATGCTTCATCAACATCAAAGTGAGTCGACGTAAAGATCCATTTAGGAACAGCACGAATTATTCATAAGGTACCGACATTCCATAGATGTTAGAGAACGCTTGTATTGTGGGCCAATCAGAAAGTTTGGCTCGGCATTTTGCCTTTGACGATAAACTGGCCATCTCTTTTGCGATGAAAGTACAAGAATATTTCCAGGACGTTGGCGAAGGATCATAAGGTCGGTTCTTTCCAGCCAAACTGTGTCGAACTTTCTTCTGTTAGGATGGAACAAGTCTACAACCTGACGTAGAAAGAGAAAGAAACGAAGTTTCCATCGCAGTTCAGCTGAAAAGAATAGACTTACAGACAATGGCAGTGATCGTTCACTCGATGAATTTCATTGAATGCATCAAAGGCAGATTTGACTCAAAACTCGCCGAACCGAACTTCGTGACTGACCCGATATATTTCAATCCTGTAAATATATGGATAGTGTTGATCGTTTTTGTTTCTGTCTGAAAGGATCTCAGTTACGGCGTGGAGAACGTGCCGATACCGTGCGTGAACGACTTGGACCACACCCAACCGGACACCATAAGGTACACCACGCGCAGAGAGCCAACGGAAGGTGTCCACTTGAATCTGGATCCGGCGTTCTTATGCAGCTGTGACTGCGAGGACGACTGTCAGGTACGAGAAACTCTGGAGATGAACGCTTGTTATTTGTTAACACGAGCTCGAACTTACTCCCCTTCACCACGATGTGCCACAGGACAAAAGCAAATGCCAATGTTGGCAATTGACAATACAAGGTGCGACCTTGGGGGGCAAGGTACCGGACACCGCTGTCGGCTACGTCTACAAACGTCTGCCCGAGCCGGTGACCACCGGGATTTACGAGTGCAACTCGGGATGCAAGTGTTCGGTGAAGACCTGCCTAAACAGAGTGGTTCAGCATCCGCTCCGGCTGAAACTGCAGGTGTTCAAAACCGGACCGCGTGGTTGGGGTATCAGATGTCTCAACGACATCCCACATGGCGCTTTCATCTGCATCTACGCAGGCAGACTGCTCACTGAACAGGTACCGATCACCGGAATCTACCCAGGTTTTTTACTTACCTGTGTATCGATCTGTAGATCTGTCATTCCATCTGTTTCTTGACGCACAGGGCGCCAACGAAGGCGGCAAGAATTACGGCGACGAGTATCTGGCCGAGTTGGACTACGTGGAGGTGGTGGAAGGTATCAAGGAAGGTTACGAGAGCGACGTTCTCGAAGCAGAAGAGCCAGCGTCACCCGCGGACGACATTGACAAGAAAGACAGCGTAAGCGACGAAGAGGAGGAGGACAATTCGAAGGACAATACCTATGATTCGGACGAAGATTTCATTACGACATATTTGAAAAACCATTCGTTCAAGACGTCGGAATCTTCGTCTATCAGGTATATTCATCCCGAATTTAATCTGAATTCTGTTGCATTCGATTTTCGAAATATCGCTGCGATTTGAGAATCCGTTTTTTCTCACCGAGTGTCATTGTTGCTTTGACAAAATAACAATACATATAACAATATCTTAGATAATAATTATACTTTGACTGTCATGACATCTGTGCGAATAGCTTATTGTAACATCGGTCAGTTGGTAAAAGAATACAAGAAGAGTTTTGTTACTAGGAAGCGCTTAAGGAAACGGAAAAAGAGCGGGAAGAAGGACAACGCGCGAGATTTGCCAGAAGTTTTGGAAGAGAGCAGCGAGGACGGGATTACCACGAAAAGCTCGGAGAAGTCATCCGCGAGTGAGAATCGTTTGGCGGATCAGGATGTGGCTAACGTCAGCGACGACGATGACAGTAGAAACAATATAAGGGAACCGAGCAGATTCGAGCCGAGCGTAGAGCCAACGCAAATAGAAAGACCGACGTTCAAATCTGTGAGAGACTTCTTCGGTGAAGATGAGGCTGTTTATATCATGGACGCCAAGACGACCGGAAATATCGGTCGTTATTTGAATGTAAGTAAAATTAATTAGACAAATATCTCGATATGCTGTTGTTTGTTGAAGCTGAGCTTGTTTCAACTCATTTAGCTTCTTAAGAAGGCTGTAAGTCCCCTGCATCGTATTTTCAGTGGCACATCAAGGAAGCCATTCGTAAATTTAGTATTTATCAAGCAAAATTACATTTCCCTACTTTTATTTCACTACCTAATAAATAAATGTTAATTTGAAACGAAGTTGAATAAACATATGTACACAATGTTACGAATACGAAAATATTGTTTTTTTATTTTTTTTTTTATTAATGCTATATTTATGCGTCAGTCGATCTAACAGAGATGCACAGATAATAGAAAGAAATACATAAATGTTTAAATATGTGCATATATATTATTTATTTCGAATATGATTGTAAATTATAAATTTAACATCGCTGTGTATTTAAAAAAACAAAATAGTCAATAATTCTGAACTTTGTGTGTAATGTTATTAAGATTTTATTTTTAATTTAGAAAATATTAAAAATAGAAATTACAAATAACACGCTCAAGGAGTACGTATAAAAAGCGTCAAATTTAGTTGCAAATATCTTAGCTTTCGAATGCTCAAGCATTTTCTAACTACACGTGCAGGTAATATTTCAGTGTGTACATAATGCTAGTTTCATCGAATTCTTATCAAACTAATTTCATCTTACAATCTTCTTAATCACATTTCGAGAAGAAGCTATACTCAATAATGATAAGAAGACGAAATAAAATTCTATTCTTATTTTAATAATGTAACGCTCAAATACCGATACATCTTTCGAGACATTTCATTTTGTAAATGAATTTTTGGTGATTACGTATAAAATGAGTGCGTTGCTTTTCTTTCAGCACTCGTGTGATCCGAACATCTTCGTGCAAAACGTTTTCGTCGATACGCACGACGTGCGCTTCCCATGGGTGGCGTTCTTCGCGTTGCAGTACATAAAAGCCGGCCAAGAGCTCACGTGGAATTACAGCTACGACGTAGGCAGCATACCGGGCAAAGTGATCATTTGCAAGTGCGGTGCGGCCAACTGCAGGGGCCGTCTTCTGTGAGCTGTGTGCGCTTTTATATGCAGGTTTTTTTTTTCGTTTTTTTTTTTTTATTGACGAGTTTGTTCTTTATACAAACAGAATACGTTTTCACCGGCAAAAACCGCTAATTGATAATACGTGCCACGAGTATCATATCCCTTCGTCATTATTTATTCTTACCGATATCTATACCATACAAACATGTGAAAACGAGAAATGTGCGTATGTGTGTACATGTGTTTTTTTTAGAGATTTCGTTTGTACAATGACTCGNATATATATATATATATATATATATGACTCCACTTCTGATAAATTATTTACAAAAGATGTGTTTTGCAGTTTATACAAGTATTTCGAACTATTAAAGAACAGATACGATTTTATAATAATATGCTAAAAGACTGGATTATTAACCTATTTTTATTTCGTTTAAAAGGTATTTATGTAGTGGGTATACAGGACATGAGCGCGAATGTGGCATAGCGCACTGGTCTACTATGCTTAGCGGTTCGATCCCCCTCCCGGTAGAAGACAAAAATATTTACGCTCGTATATCTTCTCGGAAGGCAATGGCAAATCACCGAGAGAGAGAGAGAGAGAGAGTATCCTTGCCATGAGAGAGAACCTCTATAAAATAATGTACCGTTCGGAACTGGCGTTAAACTTTGTATGTCTTCATAATATATGCCTGTGTATAATCAGCATGCGCACCACAGGCAACATATGAGAAGAAAGGTCAACCACGCCTGGATACGGGCAACAGGACTCAAAGGAGATACAGGATCGTAAGGAACGAGAGAGTGATATTCATAACAATGAATGTATTTGCTTGTTATTTTTGATTATTGTACATTCTTAGCATCCATTAGACACATTACACGTTGGTAGAGCATTGCAAAGACACTACTACTTCTTTGATCGCAATTTACATAGATCTCGTTGGAAAATTCAACTCAGCACACAGGAGTAGTCTCGAAGGAGTTTTTTTTTTCGGCATTTTGTTCAAAACGCACAAATAATCCTCCGTCAATTCGACGGAAAAGTATTAAATTAAAATGGAGTAATAATGATTCAACACACGATCGCGCGCGCATACGTGACATAAAAATGTATAAAAAGGTTCCCCAAGATTTATAAATTAATAACAAAGAGAATGTAAAAGTCGTACGTACCGTCTTATAGAGAATATATCAAAATACATAATATTATGTATATATATATATGTGTGTGTGTGTGTGTGTGTGTGTGTGTGTGTGTGTGTGTGTGTGTACGATCGTTAAGTTTAAATTAAAATTAACCTTCGTAATCGGTCTTAGCTACGAAAGAACAATATCGTTATTACAAATTCGTAGACTTATGCGTATGTTTAGAACCATGAAGAATTAATTAACCGCGCAAGAATATGAGCTCTTCATTATACACTCTTGACACATGCAGTATATTATTTTATTATTATTTTTTTTATTATTATAAAACAGCATCCACGTACCTATGTTCATTAATTTAGAGTGCATAAATATGTGATACCCCTAATCATAAGCGAGAAATCAAAATCAAGCTGTGGTGGAATACTCTCTTTCTCCCTCTCTTTCTCTCTCACTCTCTCTATGAGGAACATTAACATACTAAAGTAACAAAATTATGATTCCGCATTTTATTCGGCTTTATGCTAGTGGAGTTTCAGGAGCTGTTTAATTTCGTCTTTCTCAGCCGCGTCCAGATAGCTCGTGCCATCCGGTGTTAAGCCATCTGGCTTAGCACCTTTCTCTAGCAACAGTTTTACACAATTTGTATGCCCTTCCCAGATTGCTGCCAATAATGTTGTGATCCCATGCTTGTCCGTAGCCTGTGAAAAACAAAGTTACCTTTGAAAAGTTCTCCCAATAGGTGTTATCATCACAATTATACATGATTCATATTTAACTTTGAAGATCATCAATTATATAAAATTACTAAGCAATATATTATCCTACAATATTAATCGTGAATTGTGCTGTTAATTTGAGCCAATTGATTTCAACCAATTGTTGTTTAGTTGTCTAAAGTTGTCATGAAGTGTTAATATTTTGTTGGAACTCACATTGGCATTTGCTCCTTTCTCCAGCAAGTATCTGACAACTTCGTTCTGACCATAATCAGCTGCATAATGTAGAGGCGTTCTTCCATCAATCATTTGATTTACATCAATATTCTAGGAGTAACAATGAAATAATAATCAGCCGATCAGAAATAGATATCTTTACTTTTTGACATGAATAAATGATCAGTTGGCAATTAACGAGATGCTACTATAATAGTACTTGATTATATCTTTTGTTACATCAGGACCAGAATCTTTCTAAGAGAGCTACAAAGCATTTAATACACTCTAGTATAAGATTAGACAACTGTGATACAAGCGAGCAGTAACTAAATTACAAACAAGTGACATTAGACATGAGATTCTACAAAACCGTCACGTTTCAGTGTCTCTTGTGAGACGTTGTTAGAAGGTATCATTCTTTTGTGATTTCTCATCTATTAGTGAAATAATTAAATCATGATGAGGTTTTATTGACAAGATTTTCATATTCTAATGTACACAGATAGCTCTTCCCAAGAGCTTCCATATCACTAAATTCATTACCATTTTTTAGATCACTCATCCAGAATTAAAATTATGGAAAGTAAAATTCGCAGCATTTCAAATTGCGTGTATGTGAGAGAAAAGATAAAATTTGCCAGATAAGATCGAAGCATACTGATACATTCGAGAGGCGCGCTGTAATTATTCATGCAGTACATGCAAGTACTTCCGGCGATCGAGGTGTGCGCATTTACTTCCTAATTACTCGACGGCTTTTCGGCGTATCTAACAGTCTAGAATGGGGCGTTGTGCTTAGCATACGGCGCGGTCAGAGTATGTGTGTGTGTGTGTGTGTGTGCAAAACAATTTTTACAAAAAGCGGATCGACATGTCATATTTGCCTTGTTCTCGACGATATCTCGCACTTGCTCGAGATCGCCATTCTTTATCCCCCAAACGAGCTCGCTCATTTTCGTCGTCGCTTTTACAGGCTTAGAGACACGACGAACAGTACACTGCCGTACTTCCACTTTCCTCTTATCCGTTTCGTGCTTCAATCATTCGCCCATGAAATTTGACGAAGCAACCGTGCACCCACCAAGAGAGAGTCTCGTTATGCGGCTGCTGATGATCTGTGCGCGATACCAACCCACGAGAATCAAATGCCAGCTTATTTCACTTGCATTCTCCCCTGTATGTACTTTCTTGCAGAATCAGCAATTTTTACCAATTTCCCGCTTCTTTCTCTCATTACGTTAAAGCACATATCTGTCTCATTTTAAGTATAAAAAACGTAATTGGTGTAATTAAACGGAACAAATCCATTCTCATTTATAGGTCTGCTCGTCTTGTTGATCTGCACTTCGCTACACTTTCTGTGCTTCAAATGACACGAGTGTATGGGTTTGGTGAGAAATAATCAGAAAGAGAAAGAGAGAGAGAGAGAGAGAGAGAGTTTACGAAAGAATTTGTAGAATTTAAAAAGAAAGGGGAGATATATCATCAATATTTAATAATTAAGTCTTCGGAGAATTAATTTCAAAAACAAGCACGAGTCTTCAAAAAGTCGTGGGTTGACCATCATTGAGTCATACGGAATTGCGACCGACTTCATGCAATTGCGACTGATCGGGGAGTGAGGGGGCTGGTCAAGCAGGTTTCAGATATCGAGCAATGTTTATTCCCGAAACTAATTCGTAACAAATAATATTTCACTGCCGTTACTTCGAGAGAGACACACACAGTTACTTCGGCAGAATGGCATCGCTTGCTCGCGTCGGTATCGCGAGGCTCGGATACAATAACCTCACTAAACAATTATGTAAGGTTAGTACTTAACAGATTTGTTTCTTGATATGAAAAAGGGTGTCCTGTAAAAACAATTTATTTTAATAGCGAGAGAGAAAAAAATCACCGATACATAATGTTCTCCATAGAATAAGAAATATATAAACGATGTTAAATATAGGTTAGGTTAGAGTTACGTATGATTACAACTGTTATGTTACAAGTTACAACAGTTGTAGCGATGCGGGCTGAAGAGATGTCTAAAAAAGACAAAGATACAACAATTATAATTTATAAGTAGAAATTACAGATTATGTTAATATATAATAAAATATGCGATCTGTCACTCGAATATTCAGATGCAGCTGTCTCACTGGTATCCCACACGAATTATGTACAGGTAACTGCCGGCAATGTGACACAAGTGGCTTTCATCACTAGGAAGGCCAAAAGAGTGAACATACGACCGAAAATTCGGCCGTATGACTACATGAACAAAAGTTATACTATGTGGGACCAGCTGTTTGATCCGATGATCGACAGACTAGACGACAATTCCAAGGTGATCGTCGTCGAGGGTCCACCCACTGTAGGCAAGGCTAAGTTCGCCCAGAAGTTGGCGGATGAACTCGAAATGATATATTTACCACCGCCGACCTTCGACGAGTATTACATAACCCCATATGGATACGATTTGCGCACGTTGGACCACAAACTGTCACCAGGTGCGCAGTCGTGCGACTTGGAGAAGTTTCTGAAGGATCCGTTCCACGTTAACGTGCCCATGTTTCAATTTCACTACTTTCAACTTAAGTATGATCAATATATCACTGCTATGTTGCACTTACTGTCGACCGGCCAGGGGATAGTGCTCAACCGCTCTTTCTACACCAATTTCGTATACGCGAAAGCGATGATGAATGCGGGCTATATGCGTCCTGAGGCGCTGCGCTTTCACAATGAAGTTGTAGAAATCGCAGAGGCAGCAGTGATGAGGCCTCACTTGATTATTTATCTGGACCTGCCTGTTAATGTCATCAAGGTAATTTTGTTTCATTATCATTATATATTATATATTTTATCTGGATATGTTCTCTCCGTAGTTTAGGAAATTGTCGCGAAATATTCAAAGAGCCTTCGAATATTTTTAAAGTAATATTAAACGCTTTGAAAAGAACCACGTCTAAAAGAAATGAAGCATTTACAAGTTAATGAATCCAAAATTTTTGCGCGATGCCTTAAGTATTTCATCACATATTTATCTTACTTCAGCTTTTATATCTACAAAACAAAGTTGGCGGATCTCGTAGATTCCAGTGTTAGAACTTGCAAATGCTTCACAAGTGTCTTTGTATTTATTATTTGAATTGTTTCACACGCGACATCTTGTACTTAGATTATCTTTCGTTACTTCCAAATGTGCTCGACGATTGCAGGAAAGAATAAAAAAGCGAGCTATACCGTACGAGGTGAATTCGAAAGTTTTAACAACAGAGTATCTCACAGATGTGGAAGATGTGTACAAGCAAGATTATCTGAGGCGCGAAATGACTCATTCTCACGTATTGATTTACGACTGGACGCAAGAGGGGGATATTACGTATGTGATTGACGATATCGAGGAATTGAACTTTGAAGAGTACGATCTAAAGGGCAAAATGTCGGAGTGGATTTTCGAGAATGTACAACAGCTCCGTATCAAGAGAACGTATTTCCAAGACAGATTTTATCTGCATAAAGATTATTATTATATCGACTTTAATGTCATTGAATTAGCATATTCACCTGAGGAAGCAAAAGAACAAACTGAATTGTACATGACGGTATGTATCTGATTGATTCACAAATCAATTATTGTGATATATTAATATTTTCTTACGTTTTCCTATAATCTTATATCTTACATCACATCACATGCAATATATTTATTTCGGTCACAAGATTGTTTAACGTTCAGAAACGAGCCATATTATAAAGCTTATCGAGCTTCGTCCAGAGATTACGCGAAGAAACGAGATTGATTGGGAAGTTCGACAAATATTATTCAGATATCTCTACATTGTGTAAGTTTATTGATCTCGTCGCGCAGGTGCCTGGTGAGAAATACGATAAGGGATTCAACGAGGTAGATAAAGGAATTCTATTTAAGGCGGCTTTCCCTCCGGTGTTTACGAGCATTAGGAATCACCCACGTGATGTGGAAGTGCTGCGAGAAGAATTTAAGAAACTCAAAGCTATCGCGAAGTTTTGAGAACTAAGGGAATATGTTCGCATATATATATATGTAGGGAAGAGAATAGAACTTGTAAACAGTGGCTGAAGCAAAAATAAATTGCTGTTGTAAAGTAAACATCGTTTGAACGATTTTTTTTTTTAAGAATTGTGTTAGCGGTACAATAATTCGACTCCTGGATAACTGATTATAATTCGATTTTATATTTGAGATCATCTCTAGTTTATCTCCAGATGACGCACAGCCAATGAAACGGCCTTTCCGGCATCGAAAAATGGTAACTCAATGGGTGAGATGATCTTACTTTCGAGTAGTACCAACTCAACGAATAGGATTATCTCGAAGTCGGTATTTTTAAAATCTTTTTTCCCTCTTTCTCTCTCTCTCCCTCTCTCTCGCTTGAATATTGCTCATCGGCTTCATTTTATTTTTAGCTATTCGCGGTTTTCGGAAAATTCGAGATCCGCGCGTTTTGGGAGTTCTAGAGAACAACCCGCTGTACAGAACTGCGCACGCGCAGACGGCCGCGCACATTTTCTCCCGTGTCGCTCGCTTCTCGTGTCGCATGTGATTTTTGGCAGACGCGAATCCGACTACAAGTTAGTAAAGCCAGGCGTTCTGAGGCCAATGTCGTGGAAGGCCGTCGCATTCGCCGTTCAACGATCTCACCGGTGTTTGATGAGTCTCGACGGAGTAAGCGAACGATACTGCTGCTCGCCGAGCGATCGCATTTGTCGACCGCGCGACAAACGTTGCGGACGCGTTGCTTCCTCCTCGCTACGATCTATATCGGACGGTGGAAAGGACGCTGCTGCTCGTCCGCGGATGCGTACACCGATGGTGAGTACGAGAGACAGCGAGACCAATCGACGACTTTCTCAGCCTCGTGGCTCTGTATTAGGGAAAAACTGCGCTCGGCTTTCCGCAGGGGCCGATCGAGGCCTTCCATGCTCTTCAGTGTCACGTATTGTGTCCTCACTCCAGATCTTGCTGAGTATCACACACACACACACACACACTTACAGATTATTGTTTTTATTAAGATTTTTTTATCGTTGACAAAAAGTTGTAAGTTTAGTGCTGATGTGTACAGAACTTGGGCATCCTTTTAGCTTAAGGCTTGTAGATACTGGTGAAAAAACGAAGCGAGCAAAGATGGAGGTTTTACTTGAGAAATTTATTCGCAACTTTTATATGAATATTCAATGAACAACTTTGAGTTTCAGGCTCTCTCTCACATTTTTTTTTTTACCTCTTATATATGTATTTGGTGAGTATAGATCTAATTCTGTATGTATATTTTATAGGTGTAGCCATGGTTGAGATACCGAAGGATTGTGTCTTGCAGTGGGCGGGCCATGCTGGATATATTACGGAAAGATTCAGTGGTCTGTTGGCACGTCAGGCTCTAGTCGATGTCACATTGATCTGCGACGAACAAAAACTACGTGTTCACAAGCTGGTTTTAGCTTCGAATAGTGTATACTTCGAGGTATGTATGCAAACTTTGTGGAAAGAATAAATAGACTGTAGGTTTAATATCCATATTTTATGTGCATTTTGAAAACGGAATCTGTATATTCAATATGCTAGTTTAATTGTTCTTTTACTTGGATTTCATTGGTTCTTTTTGACCATCAGCGCGTATCTTTTACGTAAATGTATTTACCTTATTGGTATGTCATGTATCAATATTAACAGATGTTGGTGATGATGGTATTATATACTCCATTAGCATCTCATTCTCTATATTTCTTAAACATATCATTAAGTGTTATCACATTGAAACAAGAAGCATTGAAACATTCCTTTCTCTGTCTACATAAGCTTTTATAAGTTATTGTTGTAGCTGAAGATACAGTTTTAATAGAATAGTCATGATATATATTTCATAGATATAGTGCAAAAAGATTCTTGAAAAGTATTATGTAAAAGTGGAAGGAGGGGGAGTAATTTATTTTTATTTATGCTTGTTGCAGAGCAAATTATTTCACTCTCATTGTGAAATATGTTGATTAATATTTCGATACGCATCTCTATTTTTCCTTGCAGATCTGCTGATGACTGAGCAGTATCATTAAGATTTTGTTGAATGAGCTTTAAGGATCTCTTATTCTCTATTATAATTGTTTTTTTATTGTTTATCTATATAATTATTTAATGATAAATGGAACTCCTTAATTGTTTGTACTCGATGAAGCAAGGTAATGATAATTCGACCTTATATTTTAATAATCACACTTATCGTCTTAATTTAACGAATAGACAGCTTCCTTATGTACCATATTTTTGAAAACGTGTGAAACAGAAATTATTTACTACTGTCAGAAACACTAGAGGAACAATATCTCTTCTTCATATTTCAATGATTTAAAATTATTTGAATGTACAATGTGACAGGCTTATACAGTGTGCGTTGTTTCAAGGGGTCCTAATAATGCATACCACGAGAGAAAACTGTGTTTGACGTTTATAGAAGAGGACGATAATTATCACTAAAACCCGAAAAAAACATGTATACACAGAGAGTAACTAATTTTTATCAGCAAAAATATTACTGAGTTTGAGCATTCACGATTCTTTTCACCTGTTATTACGTAAACATGATGAAATTTCTTATAATACCCACTTCAAAATCTGGAGGAAAAGTGTATTTATGGCAGAACGATTTTGCAGGGATAATATAAGATTCGTATAAAACTAAAGAAAGCCTTGCGTATTCGGAATTTCGTTAGTTCTTTACAAACATTCGAAGAAACCAAGCTCGAAGGGCATACTTTATACAGTTTTCAAACACGACACAGCCGTTCTTTAGAAAGGTATTAAATAACTAACTCATATGATCTAAGGGTAGAGTATGTACGCTCGAGTGTCTCTATTTTCCGAGAGTACGTTTATCGTCTCATTGTTCGTGTATGCGACAAATCTATATAGAGAAATACAGAATTGCTTGCATGATGTGATTACCTCTTTTCGTGTACAAATAAGCCGGAAATCAATATCGCGCGAAATAATCTTCATACGACAGTTTAAAAAGCACATCGACGACTGAATATTAATCCTTCAACTGCTCTCAGCGGCGCAAGTGCGTTCATTCACCTGCAACTTGCTCGCTCTTGGTTCGGAGAGTGTCGAAAGCATGCGAGGAATAATTCGAGTCGTGCGCGGTTGAAGGATTAAAATTAACGTCTAAAATTACATCTATACATTTACATTTAGCTCTATCTTTCTCTCTTTATCTTTCTCTCTCGGTCTCTTTGTTATTTCTTTGCGATATTCCCTTTTTTTCGTTGTCCCGCCATAGGAAATACTACAGCAAGACTTGGGGCAAGAGCCGATTATACTTTTAAAAGACTTGGACTTTGAAATTCTGAAGGCCATGGTCGAATTCATGTATTGCGGAGAAACCACGGTGTCCCATCAATATTTGTCGTCCCTGCTCGACGCGGCGAAAATTTTCAAAGTACGTGCAATGTAAAATATCGCCATGCCGACCACAGTGTGATTTTGACACGCGAAATCTGACCTGCTCCATGTTCCCTGTAGGTGAAAGAACTGGTGTCCGTGATCGACACGATCGTCGGCACGAAAAGGATCTTGGACAACCTCGAGACAACTTGCCTGAAGCAGCAGACGGGAGACGGCAGTTTCAAAGTCGCGAACAGCTCGCTCACGGAGAACGATTACGTCCGTGTCAGATGTGATAAGCTGAGCATGGAGAACGCATCGCTCTGCGCCGCCGATAACAGCAATAACGACGTGTGTTCGATCAAGGGTCAGTCTTTGGAGAGCGACGCGATCGACGACACCGAGCACGAGTCCGAGCACACGTTGTACGAGGAGCCGGAGCTCTTCGACGTCGGGAGCGACAAAGTCGTCGCGGAGACGCCGTCGTTCTCGATGCCCGAGATCAGCGTCGACTGGCGAAGCGACGCGAACCAAGTACAAACTACGGGATGCGCACGCGGCAATAGAGACGCAATTACTTACTGCAATAATAGTCACGACTTAAAACCTATGCTCTACGAACAATGCTGTGATCTTTCCGAGGTAAGCGATCAAACTACCACCACCTCCTCTTCCTCCTCCTGCTGCTCCACGTCTCGCCTCCCGCGGGTAGACGACGAGCACCGTCTCGAGAGCAGCGCGGACGTTCCTTTTAGCAAAGTAGGCAAATGCGTCAAGGTTTACACGCACAAGCGGCGCAAGTCCGCCGACGAGATGCGCCACAAGCTCGTACACACACAATGCAACTTAGTGCCAACCCCGCCGCCCTCCACGGACTCGATTGATCTGCTGGACGAGCCGTCCGATGTGCCGGTCACTCTGCTGACCTCCCTGGACATGGAGAGCGACGAGTACATCTTGAGCCTGAGCACGGAGAGCATACAGTCCATAGTAGGTAGTACGATAAGCGACCAGCACACGGTGATCGGTTGCAAGAAGTCGAACGCGAGGCCGGTCCTGAGACGGAGCACGCGGCTGAATCAGCAGGAGAGCGATGAGGTCGCGGCGACCGAGAAGCCGTTCAAGAAAGGCAGCTCCCCCAACCGGGCGGAACCCGGTTGCGCGAAAGCGAAACGCAAAGGCAGGGAGGATCGCAAGGTGCCCGATCAGCACGTCGAGCTGCAGTCCGCCGTGAAGAGGAGCTTGAAGAACAGGAGGAGCAGCTCGAAGCTGATAGTGAGGAAGAGCGGCAAGGCGGTGGAGGAGTCGAGAACGACGAGCGGCGGAGTCAGGAGCGAGGATGCCGAAGGATACGCGAGGACGGTGTTTCGAAGCCCCGTCTCGCCGGTGAAGTTCGACACGATCGGCGGCATCGACCGCGCCCTCTGGGGCGATCGGTCCGACAAGCTGAGCGATGAGGAGAACAACGAGACGACGGACTCGCTCGTTTATTCGCCCAACAACGCGATCCCCTTCGCGGTCGGGTTGCTGCCGCTGCGCACCGCTTTGGAGAAGATGCAGGCGACGCCGGATTACCAGCCGCGCAAGACCCGCTCGTCGTTCGCTGCCCCGTCGTCGCGGCAGGACGCCAGCGCGCTCAAGCGAAAGGCGAACTGCGCCTTCCCGGACATCGCGAGGAAGCAGCAGGGCAGCGTCGGCAACGCCGCCGAGAGCCCGAAGACCGTTTGCCATATACAGATTAAAGCGGCGCCGTCGCAGGACGTGAAGAGCCGCAGGTCGCGCTTGCTCGGCGACGGCCGTCGCGAGCAGGCGATTACGCAGGTTAGTTAGGATAGGCTCGGGATGTGAGGCGGTGCTCGCGAGACGGCCGCGGGACTTCTCGTGGGAGGAGGAGGACCTTGATGAACCAGCTCTCTCTCTCTCTCTCTCTCGAGTCAAGTTGTCCCTTGGTATTCGCGGAGGGAGGGAAATGTGAGAGATTCTCAAGATTGATCATTTATTTCGTCGCCGCATGCATGGAGTGTATCATTGTACTCGTCTCCTCGAGATTCGCGCGCTGAGAATGATCTCTACAATCGATCGGGGGGGAGGGTGAACGCATAGAACTACCTTCACGATCGTGTTTTCGCATATAAGAAGGAAATTCTCTCGCGCGCGCGCGCGGCTGTCTCGTCGTGGCTCGTGTATAGATATATATATTATTGCGCAATATAATATACTTGGTGGGGAAAAAAAAAACACCGTGTGTTTCTCTTAACTCGTTCATCATGCGTACGTAAGTCTATTTTTTATAATGTTAATTTAACTGTAATTTAGCTTGGAATATTATTATTGAATCTGCAATTTTGTATAGGTGTAAGCATTGTGCTTCAACGAAGTTTAAAGAAAACATCATGTCTTTTCTTTTCTTTTTTTTTTCTCTTTTCACTTCCTTTCTTTGTTCGTGTTCGCAATCGTTTCGCAGCAAATTACAGGTAGTGATTGAGCGACGTTTTTGCACCGTTTACATTAAGCCTATCATCAAATTAACCCGTTAACCTGGTCATTACTACCTGTGAAAATGATTGTGTTTGAACACGTGAGAATGAATACTTTATAGTCCATTAGCGACTTCTATGTAAAATATATGCCCGGAATTAATTTTAAGCATTGTAAAGTGACACGCGCAATAGAGGGAGAAAGAAAGAATAAGGATAATGTTATATTTTTATAAATTTTCGTTTTTAATTATACATAACACACACACACACACATACACACACGTGCTCCCAGAAAAAAATATATCTCTGAGAGAAACGCAATCTTAATTGAGACACCTTGTACCTTCAAAAAGCATAAGAATAATAACTTTTTAATGAAACCTCGTGAGTCACATTAGCGTGTAACTTAAAATAAATTAGCGAATTGTAAAATGGAGAATAATTTGTATAAATTAAAATGTAGCGAGCATATATCGTGTTGGATAATTGTTTATTTATCGTTTCGATGTCGATCGTGTGTCTTTTTATTTAAAAGGCGTCTTCGTTAGCTGACAATTGTGTAGATGACATATTACGACTAATTTAACATAAGAATGCATGCTATATAAGCGGTAACGAAGCTCCTAGATATGCGTTGCAATAGCCACGTCGTTAAAGGGGAAAGAAGAAGAAGGAAACGAGCGCGTTCTAAATGTACAAAATGTATTTTTAACGTAACTTAATCGAACTCGCGTGATCTACGATCGTACGTCTGTTTTTTTTTTCCTTTTTTTTTTCATCTTGTACATTTAGCTGCAGTATTCTTAGAGTTAAAACGGTTGCTGCTCAATGTAAAGGGATTGTTTATCGCGATTTATGACATACAGATAGTGATGAAAAGAAGATATACATGAATGTAAATACATATATATATGTATATGTATATATATATATATATATATATATATATATATATATATATATATATATATGTATATACATATATTTTTTCACAATAAATGTTTTCGATGGGAATCGGCGACTTTCTCGTAACTCATTCCTATCTCTTTCACTTCGATATTTTCCCATAGTTGTTTCCGCGTTTTAATATCGTAGAATGTTTCAGTTCACGGTGCAAGTGCCCTTTCCCCTGTACTCGGAGCCCCAATGGGACAAGCGAAGTGCAGAAGCGGACGATTAGGAGAGAAGGTCGACGACTCGTCGGTGACTATTAATTAGCAAACTGAAATCATTCATTCTCACGACAATGACGTGTGATGTTCAGGCAATGCTCCTATCCTCAGGTATATACTCTGCGTACACAGAATATTCGCGGAACACACACACACACTGTGCGCTCTGCTTGAGTAACAATAATGATGAAAAAAAATTAGAGGCCCAAGAGGAGGTGGAAACCGGAGCGTGAACGTGAAAATAGCAATGCAACCGCACGGTCTTGACACTGCGCAGAAGGGCAGACAGAGCGAACGAAAGAGAGAGAGAGAGAGAGAGAGAGAGAGAGAGAGAAAGAGGGATTAAAAAAGAAACACAGCGGCTTCTATTTATAGCTGTGTAATTTGATTGGTCGCACGAACACGGCGACACGCGCGCAATCCATGCGCGACTTAGGCGGATCTTCATTAGTGTGTATACATACTTGCTGTTTCTTAGGTTGGTCGAGGAGAACGATCAGGCTACTCGATATCGCGTGCGTGTGCATATATATATATGTGTGTGTGTGTGTGTGTGTGTGTGTGTGTGTGTGTGTGTGTGTGTGTGTGTGTGTATGCACAATGTGCAAGAAATTGATTTCATGAATGAAGTGAGCGCAGTAACTCGCGACACATTTAGCAAGCTCCGTTTTCTTCCTCTTCTTTCTCACTCTTTTTTTCTTTGCCTCGGTCTAGCGCATGGAAGAAAAATTCTGGCGAGACTATATTGAACCACAAGGCGAGAGAGAGAGAGAGAGAGAGAGAGAGAGAGATGTGGAAATATCAGAACGGACTCAACAAAAAAGGGACGTATCTTTTCCAGAAATAGTACTTCGAATGTGTTTGCGGAATGTGCGAAAGTGGCCTCCCGTCGAGAGAAAATACCTCTCTCGGTGTGTATCAGCCGCATACTTATCTTCCGCGAAATGGCAGGTTAAAAGACGGTCGCTAACAGGTAAATCGTCGGGCGCGCGACCGCAGGTCAACGCGAGTGACTATTCCTGTTAATGAGATGTACACACGCGTACGCGGTTAAATTGCATTTTCAGTTCTCTCTCTCTCTTTTTCCCTCTCCTCCCGATCTCTCATGAGCACGCGCGCATCATCATGCAGAAATGAGTTCTTCGGTGTATAAATAACAGCCCTTAGGACTAATAAACTAGTCAACCATGTAACATCATATAATGTGATCTCGTTAACCGGGATTTCGGTGGATCTCGTCTTTCGTCGTTCGGCGATTTTTGTTCGATCGTAGTTACGTTCAATCTAAACACGATCGAACAATCGAGACCGATCGAGATCGGTTCCCGCGACTCGGCTTCGGTTGATGCAGAAATATACGTAATACGATCGTTGCGGAGGATTGTCGCTCGACGATTACGCAATGCCTACTTCCGGATCGTTCTTCGGCGAGTGAACGACGTTTGGAGTTGTTTTCCAGGCGATTTTTAGACCACAGTCGCTTCCACCGCGTTCCCCTTTCTCGTCTCAGCTCGATCGTTTTAGCAACGATCCGTTTGTCGCTCATAGCCAAGGCGCTCGTATTGAATTTTTTCTACCTGCTGATCCACATATTTATGCATTGTTCATGCGAAACAGAGAGGAGGGACGAACAATAGTCTGAAAATCGCCTTGAAAGCTGGACGATTGAGACCACCAAGCATCAGAATAACACAACATCAATGGTTGCGTTCAGAAGACCTAACGATTGTACAACGGTTGAGCAATTCGTCAACATAATTGGTCTAAATTTAGATTTAGGGATCTAACAGTAAAGACCAATAATCATTGACTACTCACTTGTGTTTTCTGACCGCAGTCAATGTTATCATTTCTCTCTAAACAATGTAACTGTTACGCAACATACACGCGCATTGTACTGTATTTACATTGTTGAGCGGGAAATTAGAATGTTAATACACGTTACGGCTAGTTGACGTTCACGTCGAGAGAGCGATCGAGGGCCTCGCTTCCGAGTCCCGATCGATCCGTCACTGTCTTCATCGATATAACTAACTGTTATCCGGCGGATTGGCTTGTGATGATCACTCGCTCGACGACGATGCGGGTGGAAATGCGCGCCGACGAACGTAACACGGGCGGACGCGTTCGCGACGCGTTAAGCTCGCGGGAGTTTAGAGAGAGAGAGAGAGCCAAGGAGAGGACGTGCCCGACGAGGTAGGTCGACGCAGTAGCGTCGCAGCAGCGGTGCAATCAATGGGCGCATATTGATCTCAACCTTTCGCGCGCGCGGAGTCTCCGCACCTGGCGAAGGCGGACGGCGCGAGAGGGTTTCTCCGCGCGGGACTATCTCTGTCGCGCGCGCGCGACTCTCTGCGTACCTTCGCTCTTCTCTTTGCTCGTCAGCATGCTCCTCTCCACGTGCTAAAACTCGAGACGATCGAGTGATTTGGAAAACCGAGTGTAAATATGACTCTTTCTTCTCTCCGGTCGGAAGAAGACGTGATTCGCGTCCGCGATGCGAGCACGTACTCCTTCTTTTCCCTAGTACGGCGCGGCTCCTGTGAGAAAATCACGTCGGTTCTCCTGCAACAGTTCGAAACGGCTTCAAAAAGAGGCGCGCTCAGACGCCGCTTCCGCCGCGACGCCGGCAGATGGCGGCGACCGCGCCGAGCATTCGGATTGGCCGCTTCGAAAGTAGTGCCAGACATGTGTCGCGTTTCCCGCCTCCGGTGCGGTTTGTGTTGTTGTGTGTGGGGGCCGCGCCAGTCCGGTGAGTCGGAGCGTAGAGACACGTAGAGAGCGGCACGTAAGGGCCTAGGCCGGAATCGAACCGCGGTGTCTTGGTCGTCGGCTCTTCTCTCTTTCTCCCACCCCTCTCTATCTGTCGTCCCTCTTTCCCTCTCTCTCTCGCTCTCTCCGGCACGCACGAACGCGCGACGCACGCAAGCAAGCAGGCGGGCGAACGAGCGAGCGAGCGAGCAAGTGAACGAGTGAGTGAGTGAGCGAGCGAGTGAGCGAGCGAGCACGCACGCACGGCAGCAGCAGCAGTGGTGGCTCCCTGTCCGCGCACTGTCCGGTGACCGACCGTGGTTCGGCTGTGTCCGTCCGTCATATTATATTCCCGGCCCGAGAGAGAGCAAGGTTGCTGGCACGTAGTTGGTGGTGTTGCGACGCAGGAGGCGGTGGGGACGGACGGACGTACGGACGTACGGCGGGTGTGCGATTCGCGGTGTGCGCGTACGAAGCGGCGGAACGAGGAGCCAGCGCGAGAGAGAGCGGTTTGGGACTGTGTGCCGGCCATGGAGAAGCGGATAGAGCTCGAGAAGCGGGGCAGAAACCCCGGCGACGTAAGGCACATCTTTTCAGTATTCTTTCATTCTCGCTTGCTGCGTTCAATCTTTATCTCCCCTTCCCACCCCGGTGTTGTGCGTCTTCTCGCCCGATGTGTGTTTCTCTCGAGTGTGTACTCTCTCTCTCTCTCTCTCTTTCTGCGATTCGCACGCGCTCCTTTATTACGTGCACAGGAGAACCCACGCATTTACGCGGTGCTCGCGTCGCGTGCCTGTGCCACGCGACGATGTGCGTCGCCGTCGTTGTCATCGTCTCTTTCTCGTTGCGTCGCGTTGCGTTGTTGTCGTTACCGCCTGGGTCCTCGCGGTTTGCGGCCGCCGCACGACCGAGTTAAACAGTCGGCGGCGGCGTTCGCCGTTGCCGCGAAAGAGGGACGGTGAGAAAGAAAGAAAGAACGAGAGAGAGAGAGAGGGAGAGAAAAGACAGAATCGCCGTGTTGCCTCTCGCGCTTTGGTGGCCGCGCGGCGACAACACCACGCATTCGCTACAATGTGGCGCGCTGCTCTGTTTCTCTCTCTCTCTCTTTCTCTGTCTGCTGTTCGCCTCGTTCTCTGCATTTCGTCTTGACGGCGACCGCGTGGCCGCCGTCGGTCCCGTGGACGGTCGTCTCCGACCGGGACACGGCATATGCACGCACTGACGATGGCCGCGAACGAGCAACGGGCATGGCGCGTTGGAGAGGCTTCTCGATTCTCTCGATCCCCCTTTCTCCCTCTCTTTCTCGCACCTTCGCACGCACTCCGCACGTCGCTTGCCTACATCCTTCCGAGTGGCTCCATTTCTTCCCCGATATTTTTCTCTCCCTTTCAGCCTGTTCGTTCGCCGCGTGTACGTCGTTCTATTTCGTTCGGTTTCTCTCTCTCACTCTCACGAGAGGCGACCGCGCGCGTCGATCGACGACGCGACCAATCGCCTTCTCTCGCCCTCGGAAGTGATCTCGCGCGGCGATCGGCATCGTGACGCGCTGTACGTCTTTCTCTCTCGCTCGCGTCTCGGTTTTCTTCGTCCTTCTCCCCGCGCGCGTCCGTCTCTCTCGCTCGCTCGCTCGTGCGAGTGAGAAATTTGGTGAACGCTACACGGGCGCAAGGGATCGAGCAGCACGGCGACAACGATGCGCGCGAGATCGCCGCGCTCTGTCGAAATGCCAGTGCACGGCGACGCGGTGGGTTACGTGTCGCCGCTGCGTGTTCCTTAATCGCGCGCGTTTATACGTACGCGATCGTTTATTCGCCGCTGCCTCGCTCTTATCGCGTCGCGAGGAGATACGTTTCGCGTTACACCGATCGCGCGCGAGAGAGAGAGAGAGAGAGCACAGCGACACGACGACGATGATTATGACGAGGACGGTAATTTCGACGAAAGGCGGTCGTTTTTCTGGTAGCGTGAAAAGTGAGACGCGCGCGATCACAGATACGCGCGTCGTGCGCGCACCAGCAGCGTGTTCCCTGCAATTAATGGTGGATCTCTCGCGGTGACTTCGTCGCTTGACTTTGTATCTGCGGATAATCGATCTCACTCGAGTTCCCTCTCTGTGTCTCTCTCTTCTCACACACATACACACACACAATTCTCTCTCTCTCTCTCTCTCTCACTCACTCACTCACTCACTCACTCACTCACTCACACGCATACGCACACACTCTCTTTTCTTTCGTCGTGTTACGCGCGGCACCGGTTACACACGCGGTGCGATATATTTTGTCGCGCGATTTCACTTCCGCGCGTTAACAGACTCAACAGACGAGGTGTGTGCGCGTTCGATTCGATTTCTGACGTAATGATGAAACTCGAACATACGCCAACTTCGCCGTGCGTGCCCCACAGCTGGATGCACGGTCCGCGCGAGTCGCGTCCTCGTAAAAATTCCTCTTGCTATCCGGTCGCGAAAATTAAATAGCGGCTAGTCACTAGTTGCATTTCGACGTGCGAAATACTCTCGTTTCGTCGTCTACCAGCTCGCGCACCTGTATGCGCGATGTATTTTGCGTACGTACACACACGCATGCAGGCACGCGAGCGCCGTAATGGGTTAACACCCAACCCAACGGAGATCGTGATGCCGATTGATTCCGGTTGAATTTCTCACCGGAATCCGCCCGTTCTTTGAGTTACAGATTCGCGCATATGTCTCTCTTTCTCTCTCTCTCTCTCTCTCTCTCTCTTCCGATATCGAGAATTCAAAGCTATTAAACATATCGACTGATGCGAAATCGCCGATAAAAATTCGGACGAGCGCGTACGCACACAGAAATCGCACTCGCGTGACGGACTACATGGCAGCGATGATGATTTCGCTATAATGTAACGCTCGAGAATATGAATCACTCCGACGACGCACCATTGTTGTTCGTGCATATGAGGGAGAAAAATCACGCCGCGATTGCCGCGAGTTAATCGTCGAGTTATCGTCGGCGCGAAGACTTAGAAATTCGTTTGCCCACCGACATGACCGCACAGTGTAATAATAAGTTACGTAAGTGATTGATGAAATCTCGCGCGCGCGTCAGTCGCGTGTCAGATGCGTGTGCGCGCGCGCGACAACGAAACCCGCCGTGAGATATCCGCCGGGATGGATTTATATCCGATCCGTGGTCAGCAGACTCTCTTTCTCTCTATGTGCGTTCCTCGAGTAAATTCGTCAAATCAGATCGATCGTACCGATAAATATATTTATACAGGTTCATGCTCGCGAGATAAGATATTCACGGGGCGAACACACGACCCGAGAATAACAAAGAAGGCTCTTACCGGCGAGAGTCGCAGGCCGCGAAATGCGACAGAGATTAATGCGACTGAGCGAGGAAAGAGAGAGAGAGAGAGAGAGGATACTTCGACGGTCGATTTTCCGGCGAAATGCGCCGCATTTTCCATTAACGCCCGCGTGGCGTGCCCGTTAATTAGGCGCGACTAATTGCGAAGAGAACCGAGTATGCGTACGCGTGATCCCGTCGTGAACTTCACACACACACAATAACCGCCGCCGGCAACATTTCCCCCCGGAAATAAGAAAAAGTGCCGGCCGATTGACACACGCCGGTGCGATAACGAGATTTCGCAGCGTGTACCTACTTTGTGTCGTTTTTCGCGATCGATCGATCGATCCTCGCGAGAATAATCGCCGAGAGGAGTGGAAATGCGAGAAGCGTCGGTCGCAGGTATACCAACGCGGGCAGAAGAGCACACGCGTTTCCGCGGTGCGTGAACTGCGTCGAGACTTCGGGGGTTGCGAATAAATCGTGGCCGAATGGAGGAGAACCGATTAATTGCGCGGCCGACGATCGATCATGCCTGTACTCGCATCCGTGAAAATCCTCGCGAATGCACACGGACAGACGTACACACACACACACACACACCCAACAGGCGACCGACGGCAGTTTACAGCATGTCTCTTAGGAAATTTCCTTTCTAGAACGCGTTGTTCTTGTCAGCGATAAAGCGTTTACGGCGCGATGATGCGCGTGCGAGAGACCGCCGGTGTGCGCCGTGCCGCCCGCTCGTCGACAATGATCGTTCTCCGGGAATCTTTCTGCTATCGGTGTGACATCGATCGGAGTGAAAAAGCCGCGACGAGGTGGTACCACTTTCGAGCGAGCCCCGAAAACGCGTCTAGTTTCTCCCTTTCTCTCTCCCTCTCCTTTCCATCGCCCGGCTTAGTCGGTTCCGTCGGCGCTGAGCAGGTATATCTCGAAAACTCGTATCAATTATTAATATGACAAGTTTGTCACAAATAATTATAATAATTTGAGTTAAGTATTAATTCGCCATCTTGATATCAGCTCCTCGCGTTCTTTTCGGCCACGTGAGCACACGATGCGTTCTTAACGAAAAAGCATTTCCGCTCGACATTGAAGAGAATCTCGGAAGTCCGTCAATCATCGGCGAGTTCCTAGTAAGTCGCGAAATGAAACGCGCGACTTCGTCTCGCGGGATGTTCGTTTCTCGCGACGTCGACGGAGATCGTCTCGCGCGATCCTGAAACGTGGAAACTATAATTCGACGGACATGACTACTTAGCCGTTGTATTTTCTAACGTCAAGGCGTCGCCACGACGGTCCCGATTAGCGAAAACGCGCGGCAGATCGCGCGAAGAGCGCGCGTGCGCACCTCGGCGCCGCGTTATGTAAATGAAACAGTCGCTCGCTCGCTCGCTGCTCCCGCGCGCGCGCACACCGCTCGTTCCGCCATGAGAGATGCGCGTGCACGCGGACGGCTGGATGTCGCCATTATGCCGCGGCGCCGGAACTCTTCCGCAGACGGAGGACACACTTCCGCCTGCCGGAGATGAAAAAGGGAGAGAATACGCGTCGCGACGCCGATACGTCGATCGCGTCGTCCCGGCGCGTGGGTACGCACCACGCGCGCTTCATGGTGTGTGTGCGTGTGTATATATGTCGCCCGCTAATCACCGCATCGCCATCTTGGACGAGTCCACTCCGTCGTCGGTGGTGACTCCGGCCGGCCGCCGCCGAGACTCACGGCGGAGGAGTCACGCGCACGTACGCATGTACGCACTCTGCTTTTTTTTCCGTCGAGGCGGCGCGACGCGACGTTATATACATAGTACCGCCGTGGTTCGCGCCTCATCGTCGTCGTGCCCGGCCGATGTCAGCCGGCATCGCCCGACTTTCTCAGGTGCATCGCCGCCGCATCGTCCACGCGGCGTCGCCCGCTCGTACGTGCGTGGGCGTTCGCAGAGCCGTAGCTAGGGTGTGGCGCAAAGCCGGGCGCCCCCTCCCCCCCGTTATCATCTCGCTTCTCGTTTACCGTGCTTCGTCGCGAAGCTTTTTGAATTGTTGACGCGCGGACTTTCGTGTTTTTACGCCGACTCACGTGAAATTGCTGAGGGATTTTGCACGGGAAAAATAATACATATGTGGAAAGAAAAATTTCGTCTCGTGCGTGGTCTCTTGCACGCGCGTATGTGTGCACGCAATGCGTACGGTAATTTCGAAGTTCGTTGGTCACTGATTCTCGGTCCTGCAGCGCGACGATTGCAAAATCGAAAATGTCACGTCGTTCGAAAAGTTCAACGACGTGACACGTACGCGGTGCCCCTCCTTGCCCTCTGCGTGACTATCATTGATCCGCTCCTATGACTCGCGTAACGATGCCCACCACCGTGATCGGCGTCAGGCATATGTCCCTGGTGGACGTGACGAAAAGCATAACAGAGTGTAGATGTACGAGGAATATCTTGATTCACACACAAACACACACACATGCGAGGAATAGTGACCGGAAACCTGACAACAAGGTCGCCCGCAAAAATTCAACTAAACGTTCAATGAGCATCCAATCGATTTGATTCATCGCCATGCTCGTGGAACGGGGGCCCTGAGACGCCGTGTTACCTCGTTATGCAAATTTACCACGCGACGTGCGGATTTCGTGACGCGGCGCATCAAGTATCCGGAGAAGCGCATCCATTGCGTCATTTGTTCCTTCGGATATCACAAGCGATGAAAGACGGAAGGGGGGAAAGGAGAATAGGAGGTGGGATCGTGTCGTTGGCGAGATGCTCCGAAAACCCGACCGGAAAAACGCGCCAAAACGGAACGGCCATTTTTTCAATGCGGATCAAGCAGCAAGAATCGACGGTGTGAAACGAAAAAAAGCAAATGCGACACCGAGATATCGATAGGGCGGAAGCATCATCGATACTTCTTCCAGCAACGAGATATCGATACCCCCCTTCCCCCCACCTCTCGTACTCGGCGTCGCGTGCCGCAGTCCATGCTTGTCGCTTGCCGGCTTTTCCGACGCCGCTAAACAAGACGCGGCATGCACTCCGCTTACCGTCACGCCTCCTCCCCTTTCTCCTTTCCCTCTCTCTCTCTCTCTCTCTCTCCAGCCGGAGAGAGAGAAAGAGAGAGCGCGCGCGCACGCCTCGTCACCCCGCACCTCCACCCCACTGACTCCTTTCCGGCTCCGCTCTCGCCCTCTCGCCTTTCTCTTTCTTCGATCAATAAAATAGCCCATCTCCCGCGAAAGCTTATCGCTCGTTTGAATTTTAGCGTAAGGACGCCGGCCGACTTTTTTCGACTGTTGCCCGTTTTACCCTGCCTTCTCTCTTTCTCTCTCTTTCCCTCGGCGATCCATCTTCTCTTTCCTCTCGTTTACGAGAGATACCGCGCAAAGTAGTGCCATACGTGCCGCGCTACTGGGCCACGATGATACGGATTTCGATCGGTCGACGTTCGTACCCGATCGGGACGCCCTGTACGTGCGTGTGCCGCGCGCTCGTTTTCGCGCTCACGAGTAATTTAATAAATACCAGTCTGGAAAATTGCACGATCCGTTTCAATTTTCCGCGCGACATGATGAGGCATTTTGTTCTATCGTATATCGCATATGCATGTTGTGCTCTGCTTTAAACGATCGACGACCGGTTCTCCCTCCCGGTTTTCTTGTTTGTTAATGTAAATAGTTATAGGTGATTCCAGTGACTCACGCGCTGTATGTGTCTCATTTCTCTGTTCTAGATCAAGGAGCTTGTTCTTGATAACTGTCGGAGTACGCAAATCGTGGGTCTGACAAGCGAGTTTGTCTCCCTAGAATCGTTAAGTCTCATCAATGTGGGTCTTACCAGTCTAAAAGGCTTCCCAAAGTTATCCAGTCTTAAGAAGGTACGTATGTACGCTTTTATCGCAAAGTAAATACTCCGACGCGATGGTTGTTGTTGAATGTTGAAAGAATGTCTAAATATTGAGCACGATTTGAGAAGGATACATTAATGATGCGTAACTCCATTTATCGTGAGAGAGCGAATCTCTCTCTCTTTCTCCTTTCACATGATGTAAAGGCAAAATGTCGTTCTGTTGTGCAGCTGGAGTTGAGCGACAATCGGATTTCGGGCGGTTTAAATCTGCTCGATTCGAGTCCCAAATTAACTCATCTGAATCTGAGTGGGAACAAGATCAAAGATCTTGACACGCTACAGCCGTTGGTAAGTTCTCACGCTTGTTACGTGCCTCGTGAGGCGCCTATTCGTCGTCGTCAAGTAAAATAAACGACAATCGCGCTAACGCAAGGTCCTTTTGTATATTTCAGAAAGAGTTCAAGAACCTCAAGAGCCTGGATCTCTTCAACAATGAAGTGACAAATATGGATAATTATAGAGAGAAAGTCTTCAATCTGATCCCTAGCTTACGATATCTTGACGGGTATGAAATTGTACAGAGAGCCGGCAGCACGCTAAATCATGTTTTTCTCTTCGCAAACCAATCAATCATTGATTTTTCTGTTAATTTTCAGATTTGACGCTGACGATGACGAAGTTGATGAAAGCGAGGACGACGAAGTCAACGGTAACGAAGACGGAGACGGCGACGCTAACGAAGAAGAAAGCGAAGACGGTTGGTTGAGAAAGTGTTTTGATATTACAATAATTACGAAAATTGTAGATGGTAATAACGTGTACTTATATTGAAATTATAGTTTCAGACGAGGAAGAGGATGATTTCGTAGCTGAATATGAAGAACCAGGATTAGACGTAGTCTACAAAGACAACCTTGAAGTGAGTTTCGTTCGCTTTGTATCTTAAATAATTTATAATGCGGAACTGCAATCGTCCACAATGTGATACCGAAGCATGCTTAGGGATGAACAGTACGTTCATTGAGTTGTTTCGCTCATTAGACGCTCATTATCCGTAACGTAATTATGAAAACGTGTGTGTAAGTTATTCTATGGCTTACAGTACAACACGACCCAGTTTTTCAATGTGATTAAAAATAAATATGTCAATATGATAGGATGACACTGACGAGGAGGATTATATGGGTGAAGAAGAAGAAGAAGACGATGATGAAGATAACGAGGACGAAGAGCAGGACGAAGAGGAAGGTACGAGATTTTTTGAATTTTTCTTACTTCCTCGCTATCGTTTCTATTTAGGATTTTGAGGTTAGCACGATGTAGTTTCTTTTAACGTAACGAAGCGAATAAGAGGAGGGAATTCGTTCGCATTATATCCGCGAAATTGATCTTCACTCACATCTCGTATTCTTTACTATTGGCTGACTTTCATTGCTTTTTACAACGGTGCTGAATTCTGTACAGAATTGTCACCTGCACGAGGAAAGAAAAGAAAACATGAAGACGGAGGCGATTCAGGGAACTAGAACACTTAAGATGGAGGCAAATTTCTGGTACTGTTGAATGAGTGTAAAATTCGTATAAATAATAACAATAATTGCGACGCCGAGTGAACAGCTGGGAATCAAACTAATCGACCGACCAATGACAGACTCTACAGTTAGTGATGTGAATTTATCAGTAAATCATTGACTGAAGGAAAATTGTCTGTGTAACAACAAAAGATTTGCCGTTGAGTAGGTGAAGTGGGATATATGAATGGTAGATTTGCGAGAGAAATAAGGGGAAGGAAATGAATGATGCTGGCATAAAAATAGGGCTGCATTCCAGCTGGACACAGCACAGTTTTAGTTATACTAACGATATTTTATATAGAGTATATAGTTAGAGTATTAGTGGTGTTGCATAGAGTGTACGGAAGATCGAATATTAAATGAATCGTGAAGAGAAAGCGAGTGAAAGAGAGGGAGAGGGCGAAATTGAAAGAGAGAGAGAGAGAGAGAGAGAGAGAGAGAGAGAGAGAGAGAGAGAGAGAGAGAGCGTATGCAGCCTGTGTATGTGTGTGTGTGTGCGTACGTGCGTGCGTGTGTACGTATGTATGTATGTATGCGCGCGAAAGAGACAGAAATAGGCAGAAGGAGGCAGTGGAGTTTTACACTTGAAGGAGCATATTTGTCTGTTAGCTCCAGTCGGCCAAAGGCTGGTCACGCTGGAATGCGGTCATCGTTAATCAGTACTAAGGTTACATAAGTTACATTTTAAATACATTATTATTGTACCGCGAAAAAAAAAATAAGTATAGAGTAAACGCGAGGAACAACTTTTGTACAGGTTTACACCATACATCGAGGTGCATTATATGCCTCTGTGATTTTTGGGACAGAAAATAAAGAGAGAGAGAGGAAGAGAGAAGTATATGTTGCTCGTGTATGTGAGCGTATATATCCGACGAGGGTGGGACGGGATCGGGAAGTAAGTCAAAAGACAAAAAAAGAAAGAAAGAAAGAAAAAAAGAAATAAAAAAAAAGGAAACCGGGAATCGCTTTAAGCGATATCGAACGCACACGTGTGCGCGCATTTCTTCCTCTAAGAAATGCACGATTCAGTATCATCAACGCGCGGGGGCTATCGATTTAGCGGATAGAAAGGTAAAAAAAAAGTAAAGAAGAGGAAATATCGTAATATCTCTTATCGTTTTCAATCGCGCGATTTCGATGACAAAGTAAGAGAGCGAGTTTAGACCGACGTTTACCCGATGAATGGAAGAAACGAAATTCCTCAGATACACCTCGATCGACGTGTTAAGCGTTGTTGCGAACGCGGACACGGTGTTATCCTAACTTAGACTTTTTTTCTAGTGAGCTTTAAGTTCCAGATATGTTTTATGTATGTACCAACGGCGATCGGCCGCTGCCCGGCGCGCATGGCTGTTAGGATTATTGTTATTTACTCTCGCGAACATTGTTCGCGTAAGGGAGAAAGAATTATTACGCTCTAACTATAACGTAAAGGAAAATCACAATTTAATTATTGCTATGATCTACAGTAACATCTCACTTTTAAACGGCAATTGTACAGCTGATGTAACTCGATTCTTTGGTTCGTTTTTTTCTTCCCTTTTTATATATACACGTATATATGTAGGACATCTCAGAGAGCTATCGTATTCTCTTTTAATTATATGTCTCGTATATATTATGCGTGAGAGAGGAGCTCGTTCTTCTTCTTTGGAAAAAAGAAAAAATTTTTCGCGCAAAGCGACACATCGATCGATAATAAATATGAAAACGAGAGTTTTGTTTGTTTTATATCTAGATGAGACGAAGTTCCTTCCATGGAAACTTAATCAAAAAGTCTTGATGGGATATTCGTTATTGAAAAAAAAAATTGGGACAACTCGCGGATTTCTCTCGAATTTTCGCTGAAGAAACACGCATTCATCAAACGATTTCCGACTGAAAGGAGATACGATAATTCTGGGACATCCTGTGTATGCCAAAGTATACAATTCTGTTAGTCGATAATTTAATTGTTTTTTTATACAACATTACGTAAACTGTAAGCGGCAGAGGCCTCGGTCTTTGGAACGAATCGCTAAAGAAACAAAAAAGTCAACATCGTGTGCGTCAAGCTATAATTAACCTTTAATTTCTGTCTCTGAAGTTACCATTGCGCTGAATACATTTCGTGATGAATGACGAAGAGTGCGAAGATGATAGTTAATGGATATTCTCATCTCAATATATTATAATTAATATTAAATTACGAGTATGATTTTTTAAGGAACAAATATTTACACTCGCGCTTTCGCACTTTTCAATTCTACCGAGATCAGAAAACGCAAAATTAGACGTAGTTGGGCGGTTAAGGAATAACGAAGGAAAAATGCGAGTAGAGCGACACACACTTAACGATACATGGGCGTAAGATAAGAAAAAGAAAGAAGGGAAGGATTTGTGCAGAGATGGATCGGATGATGTAGTTAATGGTGAGACTGTAATGAGTAAACTGGACGGGCAACCAATTAACTACGTAATCGTGTGAGAATGGATGAAGGAATGTGGTAGCAAGTGAGAATGCAAAGAGCGAGAGAGAGAGAGAGAGAGCGAGCGAGCGAGCGAGTGAGAGAGGATCGGTTTTATAAGAAAAAAAGAATAAAAATAATAATTATACGGTAGAGTCGAGGACCTGGCGCCTCCTTGTCGCCAGTTTGGTTATGGCCTTATCCAATTTTTCCAAGACTAAAGCAAATTTATATTAGGTACAATGAGTATATGTAACATGTACAGGTCCAAATCTGTAAATTTCCAATCTTGCAATTCGTAATTGCGGCTCGCGCGGAGAAAAGGCGTATTAAAGAGTTAAATTATAAATAATTAAGAATTTAAATTATAAATAATTGAGAAAATATTCCGCGCGCACCGCGACACACACGTGACACACATACAACACACACACGCACACGACATACCGTACATGCGTGACACACTTTTGTCAATTGCGATTTTGGATAGACCATTTAAGTAAGGGGAAAATGCGAAAAACAAAAAAATTTGTCTATCACCTTCTATTATCAGATATATTACATCTGTGTACTGTCTGTCTGTTTCCGTTGTTAAAATGGATTTTTATCATAACGTTTGTTTATTTCGAGCAATCCTCATCACACAAAATAAGAAAAGATAATTTATTAATAAAACCATTTACAAATCAATGATCGTGCGTCTGGTGCATACACACAACTGACGAATAAGAAACCTAGTTTTAGTTATTTTTATTACTCTTAAGTGTAAAAGCGAGCGGGGGGAGAGAACTTACTCGAGAAGAATGAGTTCATACACACACACACACGGTGTCGCAAAAAAGATAATGTTCTTCCCCGATCATTTGTTTTTTGGCGTGAATAAGATGAAAATTTTTCCCCTTATTTTTATCTTTTTTTTACCCTCATTTATATCTCCCAAAAGTTCGATGGAAATTTTATTTGAAGTTGGCGCAGTGACTCGCTCGGATTATCGCCATAACCACGGACGGTGGACCGATACCCAAATCGATCGGATGTGTACACCTATATATAAGTGAGGGTATGTATAACCAAAGAGACTGCGATTAAAGAGAGCTCTTATCTTAAGGAAGGATACATAAAATTTAGTTTGGAAGCAGAATGGCTGACTTATCATCAGTTTAATACAGTGTTTTATGTTTTAAATCTTTCGCCTGTATTCTTTCATCGATAAAAGTGCCTTAAATATGATTCCTCAGTCAATCAGGTGGTTCTCACTCAGCCACTTTCCTCGATAAAGAGAATTCAAAATACGGGCCTTTGCTCTTTAAATATCACACGATAACTGTCTGATATTTCGAGTCTTAAACTAAGAAGCGGTTCTGTTTATGATTGATGACAAATCGCTGTATAATAAAAAAAAGTGAGAAAAGATAATTTAAACATAGATCGAGGATACAAAGCACCGAGAGTACAAGTCGATCATTCTGTCGAGGCCTTTATTATTTAGCAAGAGACACAAGTCTAGTTATATCATTTATTATATTTTTCTTTACATAAAGTTTATATCAAATATTTTTCTTACTAAATATGCAAAACAAAGACAAATAATGAGATAACTAGACTCGCGTCGACTTGCCTTTTGTTGGAAAGCGATCTTTGCGTTTACGATGAATCTATCATTTAGTAATCTGTTCTCAATACTACAAGCTGTGAATAATTTGTGTTAATTCTGCGTTTTCGACGACGTTCGCGTCTAAGTGACAATAGTAATAATTTTGTACGTGAAACTCGAAGCGACGACCTCTCGACGATCGAGAGAATCGATTCGCGCGCGCACGAGAGAATCGACTCCGAGGATCGACAATCGCCGCGCACGCGCCGGCCCAAGTCGCGCCACGACAGGTGGCGTCACCAACATGGCCGCCGGTGGCTCGCGTCCACGTATCGTACCGCCGCGCTTCCAGTGCCTCTCCGCGCTCCCGTACGTGCGTTTCTGTTCTCGCGAGTTGGTGTCGCACCGCTGCCTCCCCCCTGCGCAGAGTTGCGAGCCGTCGCCGCCGCGTCCGACAAGTTGAGAGGCAGAGTGTGAGAAAGAGAGAGAAGGACACAGAGAGTTTAAGTGCTTTGGCTGTTTCCTCCGAGATCCTTCGGCGACCTGACACGACCGACCGACAAGCGCTTCAAGAGACATGGCCGAGAGTAAGGGCGCGTTAATCGCGAAGACAGTGCAAAAACATGCTGGCAGGGCGAAGGAAAAGGTGAGTGAACTAATGCTATTTCGTCGTCCTCTCTCCCGCCGACTTGCATTTCTCGCAAGATTGCCTGCGAGAAACTCGGCGAGTGTCGTATGTGCGAACGACTTCGGCACGCCGAGAGACGGAAGGATGAGAACTCGTAGATTCGCGAGCGACAGAGCCGACATAACCTCCGATTTGCGTCGGTCGCGACTTCTGACGTTCGTCGCGTCGTCCGGAAAACCGCGTTGTTTTTCCTACGGTAAAAATACTAGTCTCTCGTCGATTTGACATCGCTGGCTTAGACACGCACGCGATCGTCGTCCACGAGACGCAAGCGTAAATACAACAGTACGCGCGAATGACCTTCGCCGATTGGAGAAAGAGAGAGAGACGAATGACTCGCGAACAACAACAACAACAAAAAAGGACAACGGACGCCAGTCTTTCGCGCGTTTCGTCTGCTCTCGTCTACGCGGATTCCAGGCGAGTTCCCGCGGGAATATCGCTCTGTCGAGATACATGCGATTACGCGTCGTGACGACTCTAAGTAATTTGCGAGAGAGAGAATCGGACGCAATTTATCGGAAAGAAAAGAGCGAGAGAGAACGCGCGAGAGATGACGAGGAGTCTCGCGACCTGTTGGAAGGAAAAAGCTAGTCGAGAGGAAAAAAGAGCAATTAATGACATCATCGCGTCCTGACGGGAGATAAAAGCGCGATGAGCATCAGAGCCCCCCCTCCCCTTTCTCTATTTTCTCGACGACGATGATCGCTGCTTCCCGTAGCGATGGCGCCTTCGCTGCTGCGCGTGTTCTTACGTAATTTATAGGTAAACACCTCCGTAATTCCGCGGCACGGTATTGCTCGAAATGACAATTATGCAACCGCTGTGCCTGCGTAGGAAAAAAAATGATGGTACAACGCGCACAACAGCGACCGTCGCCGTTGCACTCGTGATCAACAGACGCGTGTCTCGCTCGGCCGCATTTTTTTCTTTCTTCTTTTCGGCGAGCATTCTACGTACGTCTGACGACAATTTACGACAATGCGATTTTCGGCCGGTCGAGGCTGCCCGGCCTCGTTGACCTCTCTCATGCGTGTGTGAATAGAACATCGTTGTCATCATGGAATGTTTAGCAGCAGGTGGGATGCCTCGGGCCGTAGCCGAGTCTTTTTATTCTCCCGGCTTTCTCTCCCCCTCCCCCCCCTCTTGTAATGTAATTGATCCGTAGAGACGTGACTTTCGTTCGTTGGTAAAATTTCGCGACGGGTCTTCGTGCGTCGAACCGACACATCGATTGTTTTCGATCAGAAGCGCCGTGATACGATTAAGAATGTTATGCATTATGCAGAGGCGCGGTCGAGTACACACGCAGCGCGCGCGTTTGGCGTCGCGAAACGTCTCTCGCGAACGTTTGCTGCTCACGAGAGCTCGAGATGAGAGGCGGCGAGTGTGTTTACGTGTTTCACTTTTGACGATTCACCGGCGACGAGTGGCGGGGAGTTCCTTCGCTTTTTCCGCGCGTCATTCAGACGCGAACGCAACTCGTCGTATTATTTGCGGAAACGTCGTTTGCGCGATCCACTTTTAGTTTCACTTTGCCACAATTCATCCGCGCGCGCCGGTCGGCTCNCCTCTCCCTCAGGCGCGACTAGACGATCGCATTTACGCGGGGTAATATCTTTCTCTCGCTCTTCGCTTATCTTGAATTATTTTGAATCTATGTCTAATTATGGAAGCGGGAACTGAATTTCCTCCCGCGTGTCGCGAATTCAGTTTGCGTCGTATAAGAAGAACCGAGTCTCAGGGTTGCGCAAACTTAGTTCGACGCATACAACCAAAGAAGTGGGGAAGAAAGTTTGCAACATTTCTTCTTATTATTTTTTATTACTTTTATTTTTCCAACAAGTTTCGCATTGCATCTGTATCGAATGGAATTTGTTTTGTTTCCTGGTTAAATTTCAAAATAAATTTTCAGTTAAGGGGGTTGCAAAGCGAAAGTAGTTTAATAAGAATTCGATGGAACTTGCACTCCGCGTATATTGAAAGGTTATTTAATCGATGTTAAAAAAAGATTGACCGTTCGGGAATTGAGATCTCGCGTTTAAATCGGATGCTTTTTATACGTTACATTCCTTGAGATTAACGTGTTATTTTTAATTTGTATCTTAAATATCTTCTAAGCTGAAAATGAAAATTCGACGAGGTACCAAGATATGAAGACTAATGTGTAGACATCATACATGAATCTCAGAATTAATTACCGTGTCCGGATCACAATTTATAGTAATACTCAAAATACATGTATATATATGCACATATTTAACACTTACATCTTTTGATTATCTGCGGCACTTCTATTAGATCAACTGATGCATAAATGTAACATTGATAAGAAAAATAAGGTAATATTTTAGTATTTGTAATGTTATGTATATATGTTAACCTCAACTTTGTTATGAATTAATTTTTATTATTCAAGTAATTCAGCTGAAAAAGTACTAATTTTTGATCTCTTGAAAAAAATACGACACTGAGCCTTACAATTTTCAGAAGATAAATCGGTTAAATTCAAAGTTAAATTTCAAGTTAAATCTTAATTCAAATCTTAATTCAACCTTCCGAAGATAAGTTTTTTTATTAATACACCGGATATACGTTTTTGAAGTTGAAGTTCAAAGTGTCGCGACCTTTTCGTCGCCGATAACACACTCTCACGTGTCACGTGAAATTGTGTCTCCGTCGATCTTACTTCCTCTCCTACCTCATAATTACAGAAAGAGAGAGAGAGAGAGAGAGACATTACATGAACATTCGATCGCAAGGCGCACACCGTAGATTGCGCCTCGCGATGGTGCACGTCGCATCGCTACTTCCGCACTTGGCCTCCGTTCATCCATCCGTTCCTACGTACACATGTATCCGCGCCTTTCGAGGACCCTCGTCGTTGATGTATCGCATAAGCATTGCATAACCGACTCCCCGTGTCACGCAATTCTCGTATGCACCGCGTCGTGGCTCGCACAATTTCTCAGCGGCACGCGGAAATAACAATGTTCCGCGATTTTCGCATTGCCTTCCCCTCCCGAGATTGCTCGCTCGCTCGCAATCGTTCTTTCTAAAGTTATACGAGTTCCTCTCCTCCTCTCTCCACCGACGAGGGAATAACCTCGATCTCCGGCCCCTCTCTTTCTCGCTCGTTCGCGTTTACTAGTAACGTCGAATGCGCGCATTTTTTCCTTCCTCTTTTTCCACCTTTCGCGAAACCGGGAGAGAAACGCCCTGGGATACACGCTTGGAGGTGAATAAAGGTGTCTTTATGCGCTCGGACGCGATTTCGCGCGCACTTAGACGGATTTACTGCCGCGCGCGTATGTGCGTGTAATCGATGCAGTTCGCGGTAAGGCACAGAGAGACACACGCTTTTACTTATACACCCATATCTAATCTCGGTGATTTTTCCACTGAATTCCAGTTAATTCGTGAGCGCTCCGGCATTGTGCCGCTGCGACTGACCACACGATTTATCCGGTAGAACCGGTCGTCTATAAGGCGAGTCACTCGCGTTCCTCTGTCCAAATCGAGAACTCGCGAAGAGGGAATCCGAATCGGCGGTACCGCGTCGGCGGGAGAATTCGAGACGTCCCAGCGGCGGCAAATTTATCCGAGATCGCGAGCGCACCTCCTCGCGAAAACGCTTTAAATCACCGGTGACCCGTAGTCTCTCGACCATCCTCGATATTTTAATAATATTCCCCCGGCACTTTACGACGGTATGCATATGTAAGCCTAGCTCGGTGGTCGTTATTTCGGTTCTCTTACGCGCGCGTGTGAGGTCATTATTATTTGCCGAATGTATACTCGCGCCGGTGTAAAAATACCCGGGCAGGTGACAGAGGGAGTTGACCGCAGCAATAGGAACGGTTCCACGTTTGCTCGTTATCTCAGAGCATGGGAGAGAGACTAAGAGAGAGAGAGAGAGAGAGAGAGAGAGAGAGATTGGTCCGATATTCCTTTTGAGCGACGGAGACAGAGAAGCGACGCGGTTCGCGCGCGCGTTCTTTCGGTATTTATAGCGCGAGCGAAGAGAAGAATAACACATTCGGCGGGACGCACCATCATTGTTCTTTAACTTTTCAGTGGTACGTAGCGCGCTAACAGTCCAGGATAATTATGCTACACTCTCGACGCTTGATAGCTCGTTTTTATCGTTAGCATTAATGCAGGCATCGCACCGACTAAAATTTTGAAGAGCCGGTTCTTTTTAATATGATGCGTCCGCCTCGGACCGCGAAGTAACTCTCGTCTTCGCGCCCGAAGATCGCTCGAAGACGAACATATCGACTCATTAAGGGAGTTTTAATTTTCTGCCCATTTTAATTATGACTCGTAATTAATAATAATTGACCACAATTATCTCATGAATGTTTTTTTTTTTTTAATTAAAAATCAGTTTATTTCGCGTAGGTTAAATTGAATGGGCAAATTAAATTTTATAATTTCAGAAAAGTAGATTTATTAACTCTCTAATGGTAAGCTGAGGCCAAATTGACCCTACAGCTTAATTTATTTCACAGCGTGCGCGCGCTGTTTTCTCTCCTTAAGGAATTCGCGCTATTATCTGCTTCTTTCATCCATGTTGCAGATTGATTACATTAAAAATGAACAAAACAGAGCACGGGGTCGGATTCGACCTCATCTTTCTGGATACGTTGAGAATCCACTTTGTCGTTGGAAGGTTAAAGGTTCTGCTTATTTCCTGGAAGTTCCTTATTAGCGTTAGAACCATTTTTATTGAAGGCTATAAAGATACATCTAGAAATTAGGTACCAAAAATATATAAACTGTATAATAATTATTTTAGCGATCGGTTTTATTCGATAAAATAGAAACGGCCCATAAATAGGAGGACTCTGGACGTTAACGAGTTAAACTAACGACGTTCGGGGCACGTAACTTCTAAAAAGTGATGTAACACCGCTATCGAAACGTCACTCGCGTCGGAGCGGGCGGAGTAAATA